ACAGAACATAGCGACCCTATGTACAACAGAACGAAGCACTGCCTGGTCAGTCCTGCGCCATCCTCACAATTGTTTGAGCCCATTGTTGCAGCCACTGTGTCACTCCATCTTGTCCAGGTCCTTCCTCTTTTTCACTGACCCTCCACCTTACCAAGCATGATGTCCTTCCCCAGGGACCAGTCCCTCCTGATAGCATGTCCAAAATATGTGAGATGAAGTCTTGCTATCCTTGCTTCTAAGGAGCATTCTGGCTGTACTTCTTCCAAGACAGGTTTGTTTGTTCTTCTGGCAGTGCATAATATATCCAATAGACTTTGCCAATGCCATAATTCAAATGCATCAATCTTTCTTCGGTCTTCCTTATTCATTGTCCAGCTTTCCCATGCATAGGAGGCAATTGAAAACACTGTGGCTTGGGTCAGGTACATCTTAGTCCTCAAAGTGACATCTTTGCTTTTGAATGCTTTGCAGAGGTTTTTTGCAGCAGATTTGCCCACTGCAATGCATCATTTGATTTCTTGACTGCTGCTTCTGTGCGCATTGAATGTGGATCCAAGTAAAGTTAAATCCTTGACAACTTTAATCTTTTCTCTGTTAATCGTGAAGTTGCTTATTGGTCCAGTTGTGGGGATTTTTTCTTTATGTTGAGGTGTAATCTATACTAAAGGCTCTAGTCTTTGATCTTCATCAGTAAGTGCTTCAAGTTCTCTTCACTTTCAGCAAGGAAGGTTGTGTTATCTGTATAGGTTGTTAATGAGCCTTCTTCCAATCCTTATATCACGTTCTTCTTCATATAGTCCAGCTTCTCATATTATTTGCTCAGCATACAGATTGAATAAGTTTGGTGAAAGGATACAATCCTGATGCACTCTGTTCCTGATTTGAAACTACACAGTATTTTCTCATACTGTTCGAATGACTGACTCTTGGTCTATGTACAGATTCCGCATGAGCACAATTAAGTGTTTGGGATTCCCATTCTTTGCAATGTTATCCATAATTTGTTATGATCCACACAGCTGAATGCCTTTGTGTAGTCAATAAAACACAGGTAGACATCTTTCTGGTATTCTCTGCTTTCAGCCAAGATCCATCTGATATCAGCAGTGATATCCCTCATTTCACATCCTCTTCTGAATCCAGCTTGAATTTCTGGCAGTTCCCTGTTGATGTACTGCTGCAACCATTTTTGAGTTATCTTCAGCAAAATTTTACTTGCGTGTGATATTAGTGTTATTTTTTAATAATTTCTGTGTTCTTTTGGGTCACCTTTCTTTGGAATGGGCACAAATATGGATCCCCTCCAGTTGGTTGGCCAAGTAGTTGTCTTCCAGATTTCTTGGCATAGGTGAGTGAGTGCTTCCAGTGTTGCATCTGTTTGTTGGAACATCTCAGTTGCTATTCCATCAATTCCTGAAGCCTTGTTTTTAGCCAGTGCCTTCAGTGCAGCTTGAACTTCTTCCTTCAGTACTGCTGGTTCTTGGTCATATGCTACCTCCTGAAATGGCTGGATGTTGACCAATTCTTTTTGGTACAGTGACCCTGTGTATTCCTTCCATGTTCTTTTGATGCTTCCTGCATTGTTCAATATTTTGCCCATAACCAAACCAAAAACCAAACCTGTTGCCATCAAGTTGATTCTGACTCACGGTGACCCTATATGATAGAGTAAAATTTTGCCCGTAGAATCCTTCAGTATTGCAACTCGAGGCTTCAATTTTTTTTCTTCGGTGCTTTCAGCTAGAGATACGCTGAGTGTGTTCTTCCCTTTTTATTTTCTAATTCCAGGTCTTTACACATTTCATTATAATACTTTGTCTTCTCAAACCACCCTTTGAAGTCTTCTGTTCAGCTCTTTTACTTCATCATTTCTTCCATTTGTTTTAGCTGCTCTACGGTCAAGAGCAAGTTTCAAAATCTCTTCTGACATGCATTTAGGTCTTTTCTTGTGTTTTTAATGACCTTTTACTTTCTGCATGTATGATGTCCTTGATATCATCCCACAACTTATCTGGCCTTCAGTCATTAGTGTTCAGTGCATCAAATCTGTTCTTTAAATGGTCTCTTAATTCAGGTGAGATATACTCAAGATTGTACTTTGGCTTTCATAAACTTGTTTTAATTTTCTTCAGCTTGATTTGAACTTGCATATAAGCAATTGATGATCTGTTCTGCAGTTGGTCCCTGGCCTCGTCCTGACTGATAATATTGAAGTTCTCCATTGTCTCTTGCCACAGATGTAGTCAGCTTGATTCCTGTGTGTTCCATCTGGTGAGGTCCATATGTGTAGTCACCATTTATGTTGTTGAAAAAGGGTATTTCCAATAAATAGGTCATTGGTCTTGCAAAATTCTGTCATGGAATCTCCAGTGTCATTTCTGTCACCAAGGCCATATTTTCTAACTATCGATCCTTCTTCTTTGTTTCCAACTTTCACATTCCAATCACTAGTAATTATCAGTGCATCTTGATTGCATGTTTGGTCAATTTCAGACTGCAGAAGTTGGTAAAAATCTTCTATTTTTTACCTGTGGCATTAGTGGCTGGTGCATAAATTTGAATAATAGTTGTATTAACTGATCTTCCTTGTAGGCATATGGATATTATCCTGTTACTAACAGCGCTGTACTTTAAGGTAGATCTTGAAATGTTCTTTTTGAGAATGAACACGACACCATTGCTTTTTTTAATTTGTCATTCTTGGTATAGAGTACCGTAAGATTGTTTTTTTCAGAATGGCCAATACCAGTCCATTTCAGCTCACTAATGCCTAGCATATCTATCTTCAAGTTTTCCATTTCATTTTGACAACTTCCAGTTTTCCTAGATTCATACTTCGTACTTTCCACGTTCCCATTATTAATGAATGTTTGCAGGTGTTTCTTCTAATTTTGAGTCATGCTGTGTCAGGTCTCGAAAGCTTTACTCCATCCACGTCGTTAAGGTTGACTCTTCTTTGAGGAGGCAGCTCTTCCCTAATCGTATTTTGAGTGCCTGCCAACCTGAGGGACTCATCTTTCAGCACTTTGTCAGACAATGTTTTGCTGCTATTCATAAGGTTTTCACAGGCCGATTTTCTTAGAAGTAGATCTCTAGGTCCTTTTTCCTTGTCTGTCTTAGTCTGGAAGCTCCATTGAAACTGGTCTACCATAAAGGACCCTGCTGGTATTTGAAATACTGGTACCCTAGCTTCCAGCATCACAGCAACACACAAGCCAACAAACTGACAGATGAGTGATGGCTTACATCTTATTAAATCTTCTGTCTTATTAAATGGCAACTCAGTCCTTCCAGTTGCTCAGATTAAAACCTTGGAGTCATCTCTGACTCTTCTCTTTCTTAAACACTCCACTTCTAGTCTATCAACAAACCTTAGTGATTCTGCTTTCAAAATATACTCATAATTTGACCAACTCTCATCAGCTTTACCATTAACATTCTGATCTAAGCCACCATCTTCTTTCACCTGGATTACTGTAATAACTTTCTTGCTTTTATCCTTATTGTTGGAGAAAGATGATTATAACACAGCACCTGCGCAATCATTTTAAACTTAAGGGAGAGTGTGTTCCCCCTTTTGATCAGAACTCTGCAGTGGCTCCTCATTTCAGAGTAAAAGCCAAGGGACCATGCAATATTGCCTTGCTACTCATCTGATCTCGTTTTACTGCACCATCACCCTTGTCCACTCTACTCTCACCACACTGCTTCCTTGCTATTTCTGGAGCACACCAAGATTCTCTTACCTTGGCCCTTGCATCTGTAATGCTCTTTGCATAGATACCCTTATGGCTTAATCTACTTCTTTTACGTTTGTGCTAAAATATCTTCTTATCTATGAAGTTTGCTCTGACCCCATGTATTAATCGATAGTCCTCTCTCCCTTTTCCACAGCCCCTGATCCTCTGGCCCCATTTATCTCCCTTTACCTGTTTTGTTACTAACCCTAAAAGTTTATCACCATCTAATGTATATTTGGAGCCCTGGTGGCACAGTGGTTAGAAGCTGTGGCTGCTAACCAGAAGGTCATCAGTTCAAATCCACTAGCTACTTCTTGGAAACCCTATGTGATGGTTCTCCTCTGTCCTGTAGGGTTGCTGTGAGTCAGAATTGACTCGATTGCAGTGGGTTTGTTTTTTTGTTTTAAGGTATATTTACTTGTTTATTATATATTTATTATTTGTCCTCCCTAGAATGTAGATCAGCACAATGAGGGCAGAGAATTGGTCTGTTTTGTTCACTCTTACCTCCCTAGGATCTAGAGCATTATAGGCGCTCTATAACATTTGCTAAATGAATGAGTAATGGTGGGTAGCAGATTGCAGATGGGCAGTTCGGGAGCAAGTCTGACTGGGGTCTATTCCTGCCTCTTGTCTTTTTCTTTTCTTTCCAGCCTCTACTCTTAATGGTTGTATAATTTGGGCAAGTTATTTAGTCTCTTTGGACTTCAGTTTCTTTACCTGTAAAATGAGGATACTCATTGTACCTTCTTCATAGGATTGTGGAAAAGGTTAAATGAATTAATATGTATAGTTAGCGTGCAGTAACTTGTTGAGATGTGTTAGCTTTTATTGCTGAAGTGTCTTTTGGGTGTATGGTAGGTAGACCATTTTTGGTGTAGTCCTGGACAACCTGCATCAGAATCTCCTGAGGTTTGTTCAGAATGCAGCTTACTACGCTCCAACACAGAAATCTCAGGAGGGTTCTGAAAGATCTACGTTTCATCAAGCTTTCTATGTGGCTTTTTGCATGTTACAGTCTTAGAATTATTGACTAGAGGGAGGAGTAATGGACAAAGGCTGGAGAACGTGAACCTTGAGCACGAGGAAGGGTCAGGATGAGAAGACCAAACTTTTGTACGCATGTGTATGTGTCTGGGGGTAATGCGTGGGGCTGAGAAATGGGAACTGAGAAGAAAACTGGCCCTCTGGATTTTAAAATGATCTTGTTCTGAGGAGAGAGTCAGTAGCTATGTCTAATTATTTTCCTGTCCTTGGCAGTGGGATGTTCTATGACGGGAACCACACATATCTCATTGAGCCAGAAGAAAATGACACGTCCCAAGTAAGTGCTCCTTTCATTTGCTGTGACAGAGGCTAGGGAAGGCAAATGCAAATGTTGTTCCTGAGAACTTGTCCCCCCACTTTTTCCCTCTACGTTATTCAGTTTTCACATTTTTTGGAGTCTGGATGGTAAATATGTGTTTTTTAATCAAATATTGAGTAAGTGAAAACCCCAAAAGGATTGTTGTTTTTTCTGTCTCCTCTTGTTCCCTTTATGTTGGAAATACGTTCCCTCTGAGATGTTCTGAATCCTCTGTAATCTGCTTTGATCAAATCCATAGATACGTGGCTTTCTGCTCCCTCTTTTGTCCCTACATTCCAGGTTTTTCTCTTGCCCATTGCCTTTAAGGCCTTGTGCTGATGAAGTTTAGAGAAAACTTATTCTTAATTCTGTCCCTTGCTTTAGTTGAAACTTTAATTTTCTACAAATTATAAAATTTGAGTTAATACTAATTAGAGTTAGTATTATTGACTACAGATGAACAGAAGACACTTCCATTCTAGCTCTATACACACAAGTATTCTTCCTTGTATCATGCAACATTGGTCAAATAAACAGACAAGCAAATAATTCTGAGGTAACATACTTCGTTTTGCCACCCATAAGCAATCATGTTTGAGAAAACTGTATAATATATTATTTCTGAGTACCCACTGCTGGCTGTCCTGTCACTTAGCTTGACAGTGTGAGTTTTTAAGGCAATGTGAAACTTGCTCATTTATGATATTCTAAGAAAAATTAGTAATTGAATGAATCCAGATAAAATTATTTGCATGTTCACTAATTGTTCTTAGAATAGAAGTGTGACTTTATCTTTTGCTTTTTCACAGAGCTCTGTATAACACTTGAAATTTGGAACAGGGTCTGCTTTAGGAGTCCATGTGTACCAATCATCCTGTTCCCCAAAACTGGAAAGGTGTTTAGCCCTACGGTCTTTGCCTAGCGAAGCCATTTGGCTCCTAACAGGGACAAGGATGAGTGGAAAAGAACCAGTCATAAAAAACATTAACCCATTTTCTCAGATGTCACTCTCCTTTGGGGAATTGGTGCATTCATTTATTTTCCATTACTGCGGGCTTTGGCTTCTCTGTTCATGAAGGCATTTTGCTTCTAATTGAATATCGCTCTGGTGTTGGAGAGAATACAGGAGTGAGTTGGAGGAGTTGTCCAGTGGCTCCTCTCCTCTCCTCTCCCAACCCTGGAGAATGCAGTTAAGCTGCAGTTCTTTAAAGGACCTCAGCTTCTCCACCTTTGATTGCCTGAGGCCATGAGACCCCTGGTTGTACATGCTTAATCTCTGTTGCTCATGTCATTTCAGGAAGATTTCCGATTTCATTCAGTTTACAAATCCAGACTGTTTGAATTTCCTTTGGATGACCTTCCATCTGGTATGATATTCATAGAGTGATTTTCTTTTTTTAAAGGTACAACTTCAGTAGTTAATTGTAATGTTTTACAAGTAATCTATATGTAGACTGTCATTAGCTCATGACTTCTGATAGGATTTCTAGAGGGAAAGTCAAGTCACATGGAGATGGAGAATACAATGCAAACTTACCTCAGGTTTATAATGGATGAGTCTGGAAAGATGTGGTTTGAGTACAATGAAAGAAACATTTAAGATTATAAGTCTCAAAGTCAGGTCGTTATTGTTGTTGGCTATCATCGAGTTGGCCCTAATTCATGGTGACTCCATGCACAGTGAGATTGGTCCATTGTGATCCACAGGGTTTTCATTGGCTGATTTTCAGAAGCAGATCGCTAGGCCTTTCCTCCTAGTCTGTCTTAGTCTGAAAGCTCTACTGAAACCTGCTCAGCATCATAGCAACATGCAGGCCTCTGCTGACAGATAAGTGGTGACTGTGTATGAGGTGCATTGGCCAGAAATTGAACCTGGGTCTCCCACATGGAAAAATTCTGCTACTGACCACCACTGCCCTTCAAAGTAAAATACTAAAGGAGAAGTAGTGTTAGAGTAATTTATTGGTGAAATACTGGCTCTGGAAACGTAGGAATGAACACTTAAATCTCAGTTTTGGCAACAGCTCTTTGAAATCAATATTATTATTCCCATATTTCACATGAAGAAACAGAGGCTCAGTGAGCTTGTCTCTTTTGGTGTCCCACAGCTGGTAAGGGACAGAGTGGGGGTTTGGATTATGGCACCAAGAAAATGTACCCTGGGAGAGAGAAACAGGGAAGATGGAAAAATTACCAGCTAATTGGAGCAAGTCTGAGAGCATGTCATTCATAAACTGCTTAAGAAAGTCACTTAAAAGTTTATATTATCTCCTTATTGGAAAATGAAATAAATGTTCTCTAATGTCCCTTCTTCCCTAAAATAAGTTATTGACTCTTTGACCTACTGCAATTCCCCTAAAGAGAAATAATACTCTCCCTACTTCTCTCCTGTGATCAAAGGTATAGCAAATCCTGTTATAGAAGTCATTATTTTTAAAAAATAAGCAAATGAGCACATAGATGCTCTTACTTTACACAGACTCTCAGGACAGTTTCTTCAGTTACCTTATGAAACTTTTCAAATCCGTGTTATGGGAAGAAAATAAATCATGACTAGCTGCCTGAGAATAAAGCTACAATTTAATAGGTATTACTGGAAACGGTAAGCATCAATTACTATTTAAAGAACTAAATAAAGATTCCCCAGAGAAGTTTGATTGTAGGCTTCTATGGTATAACCTTATTTTATTTTTTATCTTTGTCTAGGGTTCCTTTCCCACAGAGACTTTGGAAATGTTGGCAGCTTTTGCTGTTATTAATCATGGTTTTTAAAGAGATTTTTACTTTGAAAAGTCAACTCTACCTCAGTTTCTAGCATTCTGTTCTCATCAGAAGCTAGCACCCTTGGACTGTTAATTATAAGAATGACATTTGTCTCACAAGATGCTTAAATTTACTATGATAAATGAGAAGAAAACCAGAAATAGAAAAATAAATTTCAAAACTATAATTTTTATGAAATAAGCTGAAAATTATGCTTATTTATTTCAGGTTTAATAAAGTTGAACTGGGTCCTCTATTAGCGATTATCAGAACTTTGATCTTGCTGTGCATTGTGTATCTCCCAGAGATAGACATATAATCAGTGGTTCTCCAAAACTTGTTTCATTGTAGAACTTTTTGTTCTTTTATATGCACATCTGTTAGGACTAATGCTCGTAAAAAGACATTTCGGCTTATTTCCTATGGACGTTTTCCTTAACATTCAATTTAAAAAGATATTATATACTGTGAAGTACACAGATCTTAAGTGTACTATTTGATAGTGTCTATAGAATCCATAGTAATTTTTTTTTGGTATTGGTCAAGCTAGGTATTTATCTATCTTATTGATGTCAAAGAAGCAATTTTTGGTTTCACTTTTTTCTATTTAGATGATTTTAATTTGTTATTATTTTTCTAGCTTCTTAAGATGGAAGCTTAGATCACTAATTTTAAACTCTTTTTTCTTTTCTAATATTAGCATTTAAAGCTGTGCGTTCCCCTTTAAATACTACCTGCTTTACTTTATCCCTCACATTTTGACATGTTTTCATCATCAGGTCGAATTTTCTAATTTCCCTTGTGATTTCTTCTTTGTGTCATGAGTTATTTAGAACTGTATAGCTTAATATCCAAACATTTACATTTTTTAAATCTTGACGTCTTTGTTATTGATTTTTAATATAATTGAATTGTAAGAGAAAATGTTGTTGTGTGCCATTGAGTCAATTTTGACTCATAAAGACCCTATATGACAGAGTGGAACTGCCCCATAGGGTTTTCCAGGCTGTAATCTTTATGACAGCAGATTGCTAGGTCTTTTTTTCTAGCAGAGGTGCTGGTGGATTCGAACCGCCACCTTTCAGTTAGCAACTGAGCACTTAACCATTTCTGTGTCATCTCAATTCATTTAAATTTACTAGGAGTTGCAGTATGGCTTATAGCGTATAGTTTGTCTTGGTGAATATTGCATGTATTCTTGAAAAGGATGTATATTCTGTACTTACTAGGTGAAGTATTGAAAATGCCAATTTAGTCAAATTGGTTAATACTGTTTTTAAGCCTTCTATGTCCATATGATTTTCTGTTTACTTTTTTGGTCAATTTTGGAGGGAGGAGTATTGAAATCTCCAGCTGTAACTTTTGATTTGTTTATTTTTCTCTTCAGTTCTGTCAGTTGTTGCTTCCTTTATTTTCAAGCTCTGTTATTAAGTGCACAAATATTTGGAATTGTTGTGTCTTTTTGATGAATTGAACCTTTTATCAGTATGAAACGTTTTTCTTTCTCCCTTGTAGTGTTTATTGCCCTGAAGTTTACATAGCTCAGTGTTAATATTTCCAGCAGTTTTCCTATGATTAATGTTTGAAAGGTGTATTTTTTCCATCCTTTACACTTAAAGTGCCCCTCATACATATAGCATATAGTTAGATCTTACATTAAAAAAAAAATCTAGTCTAGTGATCTCTGCCATTTAACTGTAATATTTATTCTATTTGCATTTAATGTAATTAAATGTAATTGTTAATATGATTGGGTTTAATTCTGTCTTCTTGTTTTCCTACTTGTCCTGTCAGTTAATTGTGAAAAAGAACTTATTCCCCTCTTCACCACATCTCTTACAATCGTCCAAAGCAGCATGATGGGTGCATGTTTGAATATGGAACTATAAATAGTCAAGATTAACCTCCTAGCCTGAATTGGTATTCAGCTTATTTATCACAGAGTTTTCTGACCGTAATTACCTCTCCCTTTTGACAATGTTAGGACATGTTCTCTCTTAAAATATAAAAAATTTTCAGAAATTAGTTTAATTAGTTATTGTCTACCAATCCACTTAAGGTAATGAAAAAGAAAGCTGGACACTTAGAAAGAAGGCTGGATACTTAAGTGAGTCTTCGCGACAGCTTTGGATAAATAGATTTTTTTTGGTCATAATTCTATTGAAATTACATAGGTTGATATATATATGTATATGTATATAAATCATATATGATTTTTTCTATGAGTATAATAATGCACACATGAAAAGTGAACACATTTTTTATCACATTTTGGGACAGTGGTGTGATCTCAGAGAACTTTTGAGTTCATATCAGTAGTATCCAAGAATAATGATAAAGGTCACTCCTGGGATTACTATGCAGCATTACTCACATTAGAAGCCTCACATCTGATTCCTTCATTTTGTTCAGTCAACCATCAGAATTTTAGCAAATGTGCACCTCAGGGAGTGATTGCAATTTTTTTTTTCTCTTTGTAGGAAAATATTTCCTTATAAATATCCTGATCTTATATCCAGAGATGAATCTATATACATAAACAACTGATGTGTAATTCTGACCTGAAAGTTAGAAGGGATTCACAGTCCCAGGAGCAGAAAAAGTCTGAGATAAATTTGGTTATGGACAAAGAAGAATGTCAATTAATTGGGAAAAAAAAATCAAAACTTTAGTGCCCTATTAAAGTTTCTTAATTAATCATCTGATGAGCATGTAATTATTTGTCTTACTTGTTTCTCATTGCTTCTCTTCCTGTTGTTTATTTATTTTGCTGCCTCTGAAAGATTCATAGTGGAAGTGATGGTCAAGTTGACTATTCAGGAAATTTCTGACAAAGAATGTGATAGTATTATCAAAAGAGATACGAAAAACACTTTGAGATGAAATAGAACAGGAGTGATGTTTAATGTTTTTGTGAATTGTATTTATCCATAATATACATATTTAGTATTAATTTGAATACAACTATTTACATTAATGTTCTGTGTTATCATTAAATCAACATTATATATTATTATAACATTCATGAGAAGGAAGGGAGCTAGTAAAAATTCGATTGCCTTGTACTAAAGAATACTAGTAAATGCTCTACATCAATTTAAATTTATTTTTATTTCTTTTTAGAATTCCAACAAGTAAACATCACTTCACCAAAATTTATTTTGAAGCCAAGACCAAAAAGGAGTAAAAGGCAGGTATGTGCCCACAGAGGTATGTTGTGATGTTTTAAAACACTTGGCAACTGCCAGCGTTGGAATCTACATTAAGTCTCTGTGAGAGGGTTAAGTACTCCTTCAGGTATTTGTCAGGGTGTGGTAAACAGTAGGGATCCTAGATCTGTAGAAGCAGTGGATGTGAGGCCATATTATCTCAAAGACTCTAAAAGAATCCTAGGTAGTGCTGATAATGTGCTTCTTTGTCATATAGATGGACTATGGGGCCTGGCTGGTGGCTTCTCAGGGTCTTTCTACTATAGGCCTCTTTCCTTGCCTGGGTATGTACTGCATCATAGAGTCTATGTGTATGATACTTACCCTTGTATTTATTCTGTTAAAGATACTATCCTTAGCTGTGAGTGACTCCATAAGGTTTTGAAGCCACAAAATGCTCCCGTCTCACTTGAGCTTTTTTGGAGTCCAGGATATAAGTGTTATGAATGTTCAAATGGATATTGGACTTAATAAAAATAGCAACTGTTTGTACAGTGCTTTAAACCATATGAAGTAGGTGCTGATATTCCCCTTTCACAGGAAGAAAAGTGACGGCTCTGAAATATGAAAATGATTTGCCCAGAATTATAGAGCTGCCCAATTAAATTATAGACAAAATCCAGACATCATCACCAAGGTGGTGATGGTTTGTGTGCATATGCATGTGTGTATGTGTGTGTGTTTGCATGCTAGGCATAAACAAAGAAGCAAACAAAAAACAGGATTGGGGAAATAGATCTCTAATAACATCAAGCAGTTGAAAGAACCAGATATCATCTTTTTATTACCTAGAAATCAAATATGTTTGTGGACAGATTTCTAATGTGAACAATAATTGCTAAATTTTATTTTGTCTTTACCAATTAGCTGGCCCTGTTTTAACAATTTTCATTGTAATAACACATTTAATTCTCAGAAGAACTTTATGGGGAACGTATTATCATTATCCCCATTTTGCCAATAAGGAAATTGAAGATTAAGACGGTTAGGAAGCTTGCCCAGGATTTCATAGGGTTACCCCGTGGTGGAGCTGGGATTCTGATGTAGGAAGTCTAGTCCCAGAATGGTGTTTATGTTCTGTATGCTGCCTCTCAGAAGCCCATGTGTTCCAAGAATTGCTACCATGAGCTTTATACATCGTGTGAACATCTGTATATGTATAAGAATGGAATGGAAACACATATGTCGTGAGGCCCTGATTCCTGTTAAATAGATAAAAAATTCATCATCAGGACTTAATTTGAAATAGTATTTATTTTCATGAATTATGAACCGCAAGAATAGGATAATTTTTTCTTTAGACACATGCCTTGAAGTTCATAAACATTGGCAACGTTTAGTCATTTCCTAAGCAGACAAACCTTTGATTTCTCTTTCTGAGAAAGCTGTGGTTCCGTGGAGGTGAGGTGCTATAAAAACATCTGGCTAATGTGGCAACTCTCTGATGTTAAGAAAATGTTGAGACTTGTTGGAAAGTCTACTGTATTAACTAGTAAGTCTCAGGTCCTTCCTACAATTAGCAAAGGAGATCTTATCAATCTAAAAACACCCATTTAAACAAAAAAAAAAAAAAAGAGAGAGAGTGATTTTCTCATTGGGTGCAGTTTAGCGTTACTGTAAATTCTCCTCACAATTATAGTCCTCTTATCCTCTATCAATTAAAGGAGACTTTAAAAGAAACTTTTGAAGCTTAGAAACGCAGTTAGTAATGAGGCAAATCCATGTAGCAGCAATTGTTTATTTGAGTGCAGCGTATTCAACATAAATATTCACAAATTGATTTAAGTTTGATTGTATACCCTCATCACAAAAATGGCCCTAAGGCAAGGGAACAAAAAGATTTGCTGAAAAAATGTGTATTGAAGCATGGCATAAAGGAAAAAGTTATTTTACAGCTCTTGTTGAAGACTAAGTTATAGACTAACTGCAGAGAACAAAGGATATGGCTGCCATAGTGGCTCTTGATTTAGTGGTCATGATTTTGAAGGTGGAGAAAATTTGTTGTTGAGCAAACAAATGTAGCTGTGATGGAGGTTGTCTGGGGGCTCTTAAAACTGTCATAACAAAGCCCTGTGTCATTTGGGGGAATTCCTGGAACCATACCAGAGGAAAGGGTGTGTTCCATTCCCAAATTGGGAGATTACAGAGTAAAAGTGCTAATCTGTCCACTCCCTGTACCTTCTCAGAGATCCTCAGGAGTCTAAATTAAACCAAAAAGAATGCTTTTCATGTTTTACTGTTTCTAAGATAAATTGTTAAATGAAAATAGAACAATTCAGAAAAGAGTGAAATAAATAGAAGTATAAAATAGATAATTCATATTTGATTTTATATGTATAAATATTTGTGGAAGAAACCAGTAACTGTGTTGTACCCACTGTAGGGAAAGGGTAGAAACTGGATAGATTGGAGATGGAGGTGAGAGGAAGACTTTCCTTCATTCTATACCTGTTTATAATTTTTAAATTTTTGAACCATATATGTATATTACGTACTCAAAAACTAAGTAAATTGATGAAAATGTTAAAGCATAAATATTAATGGAATAAAAGGAGAAAATTTTGTTTTATTTGTCCCATATGTTTTAGCTTTCACAGCCAAGTTTAGGAGGCTTATTTAGGTGTTGTTTCCTTTACTGTATTGCAGCTTCGCCGACATCCTCGTAACGTAGAGGAGGAAACCAAATATATTGAACTGATGATTGTGAATGATCATCTCATGGTAGGATTTGAGAAATATTGATTTGAACTTGTCCATGCATAGGGTGAAACATATGGGTTCAGAAATATGTTCAGAAGAAACTAGGAGACCCCCAAGTTGTAACATGGAGAGGTCTTCGTGTAACCAGACATATTTGTTATCCAGTAACAAACTGCAAGTAAGAAAACACTTTTGGGTAGAAGTAACTAGCAATAATTTGTGAGGTTCAGAAATGTTTCTTTGACTCATAATATCAACTTTTTGGATTTTTTTGATTAATAAAGGTGCTGATATTTGAATCTTACTAAAATGGCAAGGTTTAAAAAAAAATAGAAATATCCATTTTATATAGTGAAGCAGTAATGATCTGATGTTTTAGTTTGCAATGAACAGCTTTATCCTAATAAAAGAAAAGCAGACAGTTTTTCTGTTTCTGTCTTGTCACACTGAAAACCATATGGTAATGCTCATGTAGCCAAGCAATGAAGATGGTTAGGATAAGAACTTGCCAAAACTCTCATCTTGTTGAGTCAATTATTTTGACCCAGATTATCTGTATTCAATTCATAGGCATGTTGCAGTCAGTGTGATTAAATTCATAGCAAAGCAGTGAGTTATAATTGTCCCATGTAACCAGAGTTTTAATCAAACTCATTATGTGATGCATGTTGCTAAATGTTATTTAAGGTGTAAGTGCATTTTGATATACTGTATTTTTACACAAATAACGCATATCTTCTGTGTTCATTTGCCAACCATTCCCTTCTACTACGAGGTATTTTCATAAATGCGCTATGCTAATTTTTTTTACAGCAACATGTAAGAAAAAATTGGCATAGTGGCATTTACAAAAATACCTTGTGGTGGGAGGGAGTGGTTGGCAAACAACGTAGAAGGCATGCATTATTTGCATAAATATATGGTACTTCGAATGATGTATTTGAGGGAAAATGTGTCATTTATTTATATATGTTAAATAATTTTGGTATTCTTAATGTTATTGTTACCCCTAATATTATTATTATTAGTAATAATAATAATACAATTGGGGTTGAGTGTTGCTTCCTATAAAGTGCTTTATTGTTCAGTTTCAAACTAAGTTTTCTCTTTCTACCTATTTGAATCCAGCAAATGTTACTGTTCCCTGGGATTTTTACAAAATAAGTTAAAGGAACATATATTTTAGCTAGTCACAAATTCAGATGTTTACAGAGCCCAGTTAGATAACACAAGTGAAGTGATCCAGATGTAAAAGAATAGGGAGGCATGAGGCCTGTGGCAAAAGGGCAGGCACATGGCCTGTACAGAGGGAGCTAATTTTAAGTGAAGACAAAAATCAGATTTTACAGGACAGTTCCAGATTTTTAAAATACCATTGAGGGTGAACAAAAGATACATGTGTACCACATCTAGCCTGTGAGCCACCTTTTATGACCCTTATCTTAGTTAGGACTTTCTTTTTCTTGATGAGTAAGTCTTAGAGAACTTGTTTATTTTTATAATTTTAGCAGTGTTCACAATCATTTTTTTCTAGCTATACCCCTACTTATATTTGTATGCATTGCAATTAATTAATAGATAACTTTCATAGGTTTTATAATTTTGAATAACAATCCTGATAAAAATAAACCTATAAAATGGTTGGAGCGAGTACTTTTTACTTCATCCAACAGATGAAAAAATTGAAGTCTCAAGCTTTTAAGAACCTTGCCTCAGAGTATATAGCATATAAAGAACTAGGTCTCAAATTTTACAATTTTACAGAAAGCCTTAGGGATCTTTCAATTAAACCCTGTTTTCTCTGCTGAGACGGTTATTTCCTGATGACTTTGAAAGCCCTTCACTTGTTTTCTTTTGCTTTCAGTTTAAAAAACATCGGCTTTCAGTTGTACATACCAATACCTATGCGAAATCTGTGGTGAACATGGCAGATTTAGTAAGTATCAGCCCAATTCTGTGTCACTGTAGAGAAGTTTTATGCCTTAGTAGTACAGATGATATGTGTCTTATACTTTCACTACTCTGAATTGCCCTTTAGCCAAGATGTCTTGTAAGTCCCTAGTAGCCTTGCAATGGGCTTTATTGACTTTAATCTGTGAGTGGGAAGGTGATAAAAGGAAATGGTCAAAGTTACCCAGAGATTTATGCCTGAAATTCATTGCTGTGTTTATCACATTGGAGAAGACAAAGGTTGAGCCATCACCTCTAACTAAGATATTCAGTGTACTTCTAACAATGGAGAAGCAGTCCAACATTTGTGCCTTTTTCGAAAGAGGGCCTGGTGTTGTGCTATGATGCATCTAATTAATTCCACTGTACCCATTTCTTCCCTTGACAACGCAGTGCGAGTACCTTCTCATTGAGTTTTAATCAGGGCCAGTCAAGGTGTAGAAATTATTTCCTTGGAGAGTCTTCATTGTTCTATTTTTTGCTGGGAGAGCCCAAGAATATGTGAATTCTTTGTCTAGGGTGCCAGAAAATGGACTCAGTGAGAGCCTTGAATAAGGGTGCAAGTATTTGTCAAAAAAACAATCTTTTGTTTCTAGCTAGTGCTCTCTTCTTTGGGTATTACTTGGTGAACAATTTGATTCTTTGTTACTCAAGAGAAATGCATGTAAATTAGAAGAAAAAAATTATCTCCGCTAAGAACAGTAGTTTCTTACCTTTATTTAAACTCAATCAATTTCCATAAAAGAAAGGAACTTCTCTAGTTCAGTTTACAAATTTGATTTTACCGCATATATAGCTGGTGTGTTCATTTTGTTATACTAGATATATAAAGACCAACTTAAGACAAGGATAGTATTGGTTGCCATGGAAACCTGGGCAGCTGACAACAAGTTCGCCATATCTGAAAATCCACTGATCACCCTACGTGAGTTTATGAAATACAGGAGGGATTTTATCAAAGAGAAAAGTGATGCAGTTCACCTTTTTTCGTACGTAACTTTTTGTAATGATTTATTACTTTCTGGTTCTGTATTGAATGTTCTATTACTTGTGACTGAGATGTATCCTTTCTATTGCATGATACAATTAGGATGTGAATTGGCAAAGACATTTAGAAGAAATTTTTAAGTATAGATTGAAATTGTCATAAAAATATAAGAGATTTAATTTTGAGTTGTTTTATTGTTACATGTCTGTTTCATTTAATTTTTCAAAGGATTTAATTAGACCAGTTACTAAGTAAAAGTACTGCTAATACTCATATAAAGTATTCTGAACAACATATTAATTATATTCTTTAAAGTTGCTGTCTTTTAAATGTTAATGTACTCTGGCTTTGGCTGTAAGGTAAGAACTTAGTATTTCTGGAGTTTATTTTTTTCTCTCACTCTTATGTTCTTTTTTTGATAACTTATGCATATTTGATGTAATAGCAAATTATATATAATAAAATTTAAAAAATCTTTTGTCTAAAGTCAGAGCTGTTGAAGAGGGTTATAAATGGAAGTAAAAGAATTTATTTTTATGGTAACTTTTTATTTTTCTGTAATTTCAAATTTATAGAAAATTGGCAAGAATGCTACAAGGAAATACAATATGCCCTTTACCCAGATTCATCAATTTATTTTATGATTTCCTCCCTCCCTCCCTCCCATCCATCCATTCATCCATCCTTCTATCCATCCATCCTTCTATCCATCCATCCAACTAGCTACTTTTTTTTCCCTGAACTGTTTGAGAGTAAGTTGGAGACCCCCTGGGCCTTTACCACTAAACACTTCAGTGTGTATTTCCTAAGAATAAGGACATTCTCTTATATAACCACAGAGCAATTATTAAAACCCTAAAATTGAACATTTTTACCATGCTTTTTTCTAATCCATAGTCCATATTCAAATTGCACCAATCATCTAAATATTTTTATAGCTATTTTTTTTCCTTACCCAGGATCCAATCCAGATCACATATTACATTTAATTGTCATGTCTTTTTAGTCTCCTTTAATCTGAAAGATTTCCTCAGCCTTCCTTTGTCTATTCTGAGGTTAACATTTGTGAAGAGTAAAGCCCAGTTATTTTGTAGGGTGTTCCTCATTTGGGTAATGTCTGATGTTTTCTCATTATGAGATTCAAGTTATACATATTTGGTAGAAATACCACAGAAGTGGTATTGTATCCTTCTCAGAATGTATCAGATGAATGATTCTTTTTTAATAGGTATAGTTCTATTCAAGATACTTATTGCTCCTTTAGGGAAACATCCCCTCATGAATCTTTTTGTTTATATATGTTTGTAAACAACTTTTACATTCCTCCTTTAACTCAGGAATATATAGTATAGAAATTTGATGTACATTGAGAAAGTAAATGTAGTAAATTAATCATGAGAAGTGCTATGGTGTTTGAACTGTGAGCAGTAAGCGTTTTTCATTTCCTTTTCTAAAAGGGGAAGTCAATTTGAGAGTAGCCGGAGCGGGGCAGCTTATATTGGTGGGATTTGCTCGTTGCTGAAAGGAGGAGGCGTGAATGAAGTAGGTGTGAACATCTGTACAATACAAAGTGGTATGATGGCTTGAAAGTGCTTTCCCAATATTTAAGAGATAAGTTCTCAGTATTCCACATACTCCAGGTGTTAGACTGTTTTATTAACAATCAATATGGCTGCTATAAATGACCAGAGGACAAAATAGGGAAATAAAGAAAGATAATATCTGATAATTCTGTTTATGTTCTGTTTAGAATAACTTCCATGAAAGACCTAGTATCAATTTATTTAGAGAGAGTCTTTACCTTGCATTGATATTTCATTGGAAATAAGGCCCTATTTATCACTTTTACTGATTCCTCAGAGAATTGAGTAGTTTCCTGAAGCATTGGGTTACTACCTAACAACCTACCAGGAAATTTTCTTCCTTTTTCATTATTTGTCAGATTTTGGGAGAAAAAAAATTACTAGGTTTAGGGTTTCAGTCTAATCCCTAAGTTAGATTCTCCATAGATAGTAAGCCTTATAGAAGTGATCTAAAGGAAAATAATTTGAATCTTTGGGAGGCAGTGTATTGAAAAAAATATCCTCAGTTCTTCTCAAGTTTCTGTTAGCCAAAGATCATCACCAAATTTCTCTGTTACCTCATGCCATTTGTTTCCTGAATCCACATTCTATTCCATTTTGGGAAATTTCAAGAGTACAAGTAGACACACAAAGATGAACAAGTTCCAAGTAATTCACACATTAATTTTTATTTTGTTTTATCAGCAGGACTCTGTCTTAATTATACATAAGTATTAAGTTTTTATGGACTTTTACAGGTGAAATTTGCATTCAGAACTAGATTTCAGTTTCCAAACCCTAAAGTGGATGATTTCCTGGCTTCTAGTCTTCCCGCTAGGACCTAACAAACATGGATTTATTTCTTACTATGTGGATAGCCTCTGCTAATGAAAGTGCTTAGAAATTAGTTATTTTCAATTATATTGTGACAGTTTCTTTGGCCCAATTAAATAAAAAACACTCTTACATATGTTTTGTTTTTGTTTTCCAGTTTGGGAAAACTGATTTAATGGCAGTCACACTTGCCCAGTCCTTAGCCCATAATATTGGTATTATCTCGGACAAAAGAAAGTTAGCAAGTGGTAAGTTTTGTACATGTGTGGCTTTATTGTATGTAAGACAGACTATAAATATTTTGGTGGCCCTCAGACACCCTTTAAACTCAGAACTGAAGTCACTCCGTAAGTCCACCCTTCAGCCAAAGATTAGACAGGTCTATAAAACAAACAATAACATGCATGAGGAATGTATTTCGTAGTACAGTCGTGTACCAAATGGGCAACACCTGCCCAAAAGCAAAGATAAGAAGGTGGAAAGGGAGGAAAACAGCATGAATGGAAATGGAGGATGCATGGTGGAGAAGGGGAGAGTGTTGACACACTGTGGGGATTGCAACCAGTGTCACAAAACAATCTGTGTATACATTGTTGAATGAGAAACTAATTTGCTCTGTAAACTTCCACCTAAAGTACAATAGAAAGAAAAAAATAAACTTTGGGGAATGGAATTCTTCAGTTGCTTGATCAAAATAGTTTGGTTGATTGTAAAAGATGTACAGACAGGGCAGACCCAGGACTTGAATGCACGTATTTCTGATTCTGAAGCTCATCTGCTTAGTGACTATACTATACTGCCTTCTAGCCATAGCCTTGGTACAGAAGCTTTTAAAAATGGACCAGAAATTGTAATAATTACTATAAGGGGCTATGAAACTGGTATCTTGTTGTGGTGCCATATAGTTCTTCAGTATTTCATTTAAGCTGTTTTAAGTGAATACTTTAAAAATATGGCCACTTTTTAAAATACCAGAAGATTGTTTTTTTCAGTAAAAATTATATACTGTTGATAGGGTCAAAGTATATTTTGGTTGTTATGTATTGCATGAAAATCTTCAACTGTAGGGAAAATTAGAAAGCAGGTATTACATTTAATAAGGTATTTAAGGAGCAAAGTAAAGATATTTTTTAAATAGGAAATAACTTTAATGCATCTGTTTACACTTTGTTAAAAAGTCATGCGTATTCATTTTCTTTCAGGTGAGTGTAAATGTGAGGACACTTGGTCTGGATGCATTATGGGAGATACCGGGTAAGCCATTTCTGTTTGAAAATAGCTCCCTACTCGTTTCTTGCTGTGCTGTTGTCTTCCTGGGAATATGACACTCCAAGACTTAATACATGCAACCTCACCACAGGCATTTATGAGAAACTAAGAAGTAGATTATCTTAATGGCCCTATATCTAAAATATTTTTACAAAAGAGTTCCCTATTTATAGTATATATAAAAATGATGTTAAGTAAGTAGACCTCAAAGACTTTTTCAGCCTTGAACTTAGGCTATAAATGTAACAAATGAGGAAAAACTTGTTGTTAGTGGCTTACCTACTTAATTCTCTTTCCTTTTATCTCCTTCAATTCTAATTACAAACAGCTTATAAACAGTAGTGTGCTGGTAAGATGACTCAGAAAACAAGAAAACAGTCCCAATTTGTAGTCGATTCCCACGATGTCAATACTCCCACCATAGTTGATATCAAACTCCCAATGTAATGTCACTGAACAAGGAGTTGCGAAGAGATGTGTACAATCTGCTCGCCTAAGAAAGGTTTTCATTTTTATACTGTCATACCCTTCATCCCCTGTCAGGTGCCCATCTTGTCTTTTATTCTTTCTAAATAAATTTTACAGCCATTCCTTTCATTCCAAGCTTATCACTACTGTCCTACCTTAAACTTTTATTGTCTTCTGCTTTTATTATTTTAATAACATTCCAATGCTCAGGCTCTCCCCTCATGAACTCCACTTTCATCATCATTAAAAAGGTGTTAAGAATGAAACAGTGAATATTTGTAAACCTACTACCCACCTAAAAAAAATAAAGTTGTTTTTTTCTCCATGATTTGTCCTCAGCCCCAGTCTTGAATGTGTTCATCTCATTCACATGTCCTTCTTTATACTTGTTATGTATATATGTGTGTGTAGTGAAGTAGTACATAGCATTGTTTTACGTATTTTCAGTTTGTATGAAAGGTATCATGCTATGTGTATTCTTCTTTAACTTGTATTTTTTGATCAGCGTTATGCTTGTGAGTTTTATCCATGTTAGAATATATAGCTCTAGTTCACTGAATGTATACAGCAAGATTTATCCATTGAATTTATGTTTCAAACACTTGAAGTATGTCATTCTCTACTGCTCAGAACTTTTGTGAGTGTCCATTGTCTAAAAAACAAGGTTCAAATTCCTTACTTCAGTATTTAGATGTCCGTAATCTTTCTTTATCCTCATTTGTAACCTCATTTGCCACTACTGTTCATGATTGGTTTGTTCACCGTAACTGTATGTGAATTTTCAGCTTCTTTTGAGTTTTCTCAAGATATCCTTCCCATCTAGAATGTCCTTCTGTTTTTCTCTATCTAACCACATTTCTAGCCATTTGAGGTTTATTATCATTTAACTCCTCTGTTACAAGTTAATTTTATATGTACTTACCCTCACCAATTAGTTATAAATTTTTGAGGAATTGTCTCTTACATAATATGTACTTTCTATTAAACCTCACACCATAGTCTCTTGTACAGACTTGATTTTCAATAAATATTTAGTGATTACATTTGAATTTTAAATTCATAAGATATGAATGACAGGGAAAATAAATGATAGAGGGAATGTATATGCAAACATGTATTTAAAAAGCATATACTTTTCAAAATATCTTTGGACTTCTGGTTAGTAGTAAGATAAAATTATTAAAATCTTTGTTCTGTAGTTGTAACTTGCCAACAGTTACTAAATTTCATGCTAGAGGTTCTTGTCTTTTAACAGCTATTTAGTATAATATAGCTTACTATTCTAATCAACTGTTAATAAAATTTTATAGATTATCTCCATAGCATTAAACATAATGTGAAACAAAATCAAATGACTACCCTAAATGGTAAATGCTAAAAACATTGGCCAGGGTACAGGCTTTGTAAAGGAAAAAAGAAAGTAATATATGTAAGAAGCTTTTCAAATAAAAGAATTTATGGATTGTTAGGAAACAGAAGTGAAGGAAATAAAGTAGTTCAGACAGCTTAAACTCCAGACTGTTTGTATCAGAGCAGCTTTACTTGGAGAGTTTGGCATGAAAAAGGTGAAAAATAATTTAGGGTAAATAATCATTGTAAATTCCATTCATTGATTCACAAATTGTTCTAGGAAGAACTAGGGATATAAATGGACATAGTTCTTGGAGGCTGTGGGGAGACTTTATATAAACCAGCCATTTTTACCTTAATTGTTTTTTTTTTCTCTTTTTATAAAAGCTCAGTGTAAAACAATTTTGAAAAATGTAGAAAATAAACTTTTTATTGCTTCTTTTCTTACCATCCAATGATAATCATGGTTAATGTTAAAATACTACTGTTTTTAAATCTACTATTTTTTTCTCAATCCATTTTTACAAATTTTGGGTCATTTGGGATACGTAGTGATTTATCCATTTTTTGCTTAGCATTATATAGTCAGCATTTTTGAGTCTTTAAATTTTATTTGTACCCTGACTATTAATAAGTACATGATATTCTATTTAATTAATACACAGTTTAGTTAACAGTTCTCTTACTTTTGAACATTTAGGTTATTTTCGTGTTTTTTGCCATTATAAATTGTGCTACCATGAATATCTTTGTCCACATATCTTTGTTCAGATAACTAATCATTTCTTCAAGAAAATTTTCAAGAAGTAGAATTACTAGACTTAAGTATAAGCTCATTTCAAAAGTTACTTAATGTATATTGCCAAATTACTCTCCAGCCAAGTTTCTTTTTCTATTTACTATTATCTTTTCTGGCATATATGTATGTATGTGTGTGTGTGTGTGTGTGTGTGTGTGTATATATATATATATGTATATATGTATATTTAATACTTAATGCTCCATCACCCCCAAACACCTTAGTTTGTATTTCCTACAAACAGGGACAGTCTCCTACGTAACCACAATAAAACCAATAAAATAATTTAATTCTTAGACCTCATTCAAGGTTTTGGCCAGTGTTTCAATATTGTTTATAGCAAAAGGTTAAGATTCAGGTATCGCGTTAGTTTCTGTATCTCTTTAGGCTCCTTCAGTCTGGAACAGTTCCTCAATCTTTCTTTGACTTTTATGACCTTGACACATTTGTAGATTGTAGGTCAGTTGTTCTGTAGAATGCTCTGCAATTTGAGTTCCAGCTCAGTTTTAATATTTAGGAAAAACTCATTAGGAAATAAATTAATCCTAAGTCTCTTTTTTTAAAAATTACAGGAACTGTCTGTGTGTATTTCCTTTCAATGTGTATATAAATAATGAACACACCATAGTCACCATTAGTCACCATATGAAGAATTTATAAATATACAGATTGAATAAAACTCATATGGACTTAATAAAAATGTTGTACATAAGTGGAATTTATTCTTTCATTTTAAGAATAATGTACAGTTTTAACAATGCACTATTTTAAGACTAACATACAAACAAGGTAAATTAAAATTGTATTTAACTATTGATTTGTTCTCTCTTATAGCTATTATCTTCCTAAAAAGTTCACCGAGTGTAATATTGAAGAATATCATGACTTCTTGAATAGTGGAGGTGGTGCCTGCCTTTTCAACAAACCTTCTAAGGTAATACATGTGAGCAGTGTTATTTATTATTAATCTTTCTGTAGTATTATAAGTATAAAATTTCAACCATTGGGTCTTATAAAAGAAAGCTTTTGAATTTGGCCTATACATAACATTTTTAGAAATACCAAATATCTCCATTTCAAAGTCAGTATTAATGTTGGGCATTTTGGGCTATATTGATAAAAATAGAAAACAGGTAGAAATAAGAGCATTTGCTTTCTGAAAGTTTTCCATTTTATTTTTACATGGGCAAATGATCATTTAGGGTTAACTTGGAAAAATGTTTTCATTTTACCTTTCTTTTCTGTTTTCTTGTTTTTTTTTTCCTTTGGATACCCACTCACAGCTCTTCCTGGTAGAAAGGAGCCATGTCTTCTCTCACCTACCACTGCCTTTCAGAATGAGCAGTACTGCTGTTATTCATGATTTGAATTATAAGTACTTTTCAATATGAAAACCAAGTCCTCTTAGAGCAGGAAAGGAGAAAGTCTTTCTGTACTTAGACTTTGTCAGAGGTGTTTACAACTTGCATTCTCTGGTTACTGATTAGAAGGCAGGTCTTCCTCCTGCCTTTTGAACACTTTGCATGTAAAGAAGAATACTTTTTCCTTGTCAGTTATGTGAATTATGACATGTTCCTGTGCACCACAGCGATATGTGGCATTGTCTTTGTGACCATTTACCTGGTTTCATTCTCTGTTCACTCTAGAGAAATTTAGGAAATGTATCCTATTGCATTGAAAAATAATCACTCTTTCTCAAAACTACAGAAGGGGTGTTTAAATGAAATCACTGCTGCTATACCTGTAAAACAGTTCAAGTCTTTTTACAAAAATAAATGAAGATTCTGAACCCAGCCTAAGAGAATAAGTACACTTTCATATGAATAAGTTTCAGTTTGGCTTTCAAAACTATCTCATTCATGATCGTTACTTTCAACGGAAAATGAAATATAAAGATGAGGTGATTTCTTTTGTAGGAGAGGAAAGGATATTGAAATCAAGTGTTTATTTTTGTTGTTGTTTATTTTGTTTTGTTCTTCCTCCTAGTTAGGTATGAAAGGGAGTGTGTGTAGATTTCCATTCTATAATACATAAATTTTGATTAACTTTGGAATGAATATTATATATCTGACACACTGCAACTATTTACTGTTTGCAAATTTTACCTATCACCGTAGGATGAATTATACTCAAAAGATAATAAAATGGATGGATGGTTAAAAAATAAGATCAGCAGTCTTAAAATGTACTCTCATACAGGCCAGAATTGCTTCAATCATAGGACAAATTATTAGTGCTGTTCTCTGCAAAGCTCTGGTAGTAGGAGGAGCTATATTTTATTTTAAATATATCAGTGGATTTATTATTTTTTGTGATGCTTCCCTCATTGTTTCTGAAATAAGTTTCTGATTCACAAGGAGAAACAATTAATAAAGGACTTTTACACAGATGATTGAACTTGATCCTTGCAACAATTCTGTGATGTAGATGGACAGCTGATATTCCTGTTCAGATATTAAACACTCAGAATCCAAGAAGGTAAACAGTTTCCCCAAGATAAATAATTGAACCAAGATTTGTATCCAGACATCGTGTCTTGAAATCTAGTTTCTAGTTCAAAATGAAATTTTAGAAGCTAATCTGGCTTGATTTTAGTCTGAATAGATCATTTTTTATTTTAGTGGCATTTACCAGATCCTAATTGATATGTATGTTTTATATATATACATGTGATTAAATGTGAAAAAGAAACAGGAGACACTTCTGTTCTAAAGTTCTTAGTTCTAAAGTCACACTTCCTAGCTTAGGAAAATAAAATATATTTTGGTATGACTGGCAGGTATGCTAGATATATAGATGTGGCACTTATGGTCTCTTGTAAAGTCTTTGATGTTGATTTTTCTGTATTTAAGTTCCCTTGTTTGGTTTTCACCCCACAGCTCCTCGACCCTCCTGAGTGTGGCAATGGCTTCATTGAAACTGGAGAGGAGTGTGACTGTGGGACTCCTGCGGTAAGTCTCTGGTTCTTCTGATAATATTTTTTAGTTAATTCAGGGTCATCCCAGGTCTACACTCTGAGATGCACAGAGGAACTGTTGTGCCCAGAAATGTTATAGAATATGCAGAAGAAAGATTATTACTGTGAGGTAGTACATTTATTTTAGAAGCTATCCTGGTACTTTTAGGAAATGACACCATTTCTGATATTTTGCAAATGTTTGTGTTCCTTAGGAATGTGTCCTTGAAGGAGCAGAATGTTGTAAGAAATGCACCTTGACTCAAGACTCTCAGTGCAGTGATGGCCTTTGTTGTAAAAAGTGCAAGGTAAGTAAATGTTCATTAATGACTAGTTGGCAGGAAATAAAAGAGCATATTTGATTAAATTGTTAACCAAAACCAAACCTGTTGCTGTGGAGCCGATTCCTACTCACAGTGACCCTACAGGACAGAACAGAACTGCCCCATAGAGTTTCCAGGGAGCGGCTAGTGGATTTGACTGCTGACCTTTTGGTTAGCAGCCGAGCTCTTAACCAATGCGCCACCAGTGCCAACTGGCAGGAAGAAAAGAGCATATTTGATTAAATTGTTACAAAACCAAACCTGTTGCCGTGGAGCCAATTCCTACTCACAGTGACCGTTTAGGACAGAACAGAACTGCCCCATAGAGTTTCCAAGGAACGGCTGGTGGATTGGACTGCTGATCTTTTGGTTAGCAGCCGAGCTCTTAACCAATGCACCACCAGGGCCAGTTGGCAGGAAGAAAAGAGCATATTTGATTAAATCATTAAGGCTGTGTAAATATAATCTACTGTCAAGATTTGTATCTAGCATGGGTTAAGTGACTAAGTGCCAGGTGCCTTACATGGATTATGGTTTATATCCTCACAAAAATCTTGCTGAGATCTAGTTACTGTTTTATTCTCATGTAAACAGAGGAGAACGCCGAGGCTTGTAGGCTTGTAGTTTGCCCAGGGTCTTACACCAAGTAAGTCAGGAAGCCAGGCCTGAACCTTGTTAATCCCAGAGCTTGCCCTCTCCATACTCCACCATGAAGAGCATGCACATTTGAGCAAAACCAGGTGTTACTAATCTTTGCATGATGTCTACCTTTCTTTGTAACCCGAACCCAAACCCAAACCCAGACCCACTGCTGTCAGGTCAATTCTGACTCATAGCAACCCTATAGGACAGAGTAGAACTGCCCCAAAGGGTCTCCAAGGCTATAAATCTTTATGGAAGCAGACTGCCACATCTTTCTCCTGCAGAGCGGCTGGTTTGTTCGAACCACCAACCTTTTGGTTAGTAGCCAAGTGCTTTAACCACTGTGCCACCAGGGCTCCCTTTTCTTTGTAAAATCAAGTGTGTATTCAATAGACCCTTCTTTCCTCGTTGCTCAGTTTGATATATCTCTTGCATTAGCTTTCATTAGAGCAAAAGGAGTACTTAACTTTACATGTATTATTGTGCATGAGAGTTTAGAATGCATTTTTATACACGTGGTCTGTTTTCATCCTCCCAATAGCATCCTCATACCCATCTCCAAATAGCCCACATTTAAATCTTTACATCAAGACTGTTATTTGGGGCTTGCCTTTCCTAAAGAAATATATTCTTTTTTTCTCTTCTCATATAAAATCTGGTATAATATTCTCCATTGTTTCTGAGGTTTAATATCTGCCTCTCCCTGTAGTCTGTATATTTTATGGAGGCAGAGCCAGGTGGTTATGAAGTAACTGGTACAAGTTCTCAGGAAGTATTTGTTGAATGAATGAATGAATATTCACAGCACTTTCTTAATCATTATTTGCTGTTGCCTCACTTTAGTCTATTAAGGGAGGGTGGGAAATGAAACTCTCATATTAAACATCTGTGTTCCAGGGATTGTGCTAAGGACTTTTAATTTATTTCATCTTTGATTAGGGTTTCTCAACCCTGGCAGTACTAAAATTTGAGGCCCAGTAATTCTTTGTTGTGTGTATCTTGTGCATTGTATGATGTTTAGCAGCATCCTGGCCTGTACCCATTAGGTGCCAGTATCATCCCTCCCAGTTGTGACTACCACACAGGTCTCCAGACTTTGCCAAATGTACTCATATGGGGCAAAATCCCCCCTGATTGTCTTAGGTAATGCTCACAGCCACACTTTTGGGATAAGCATTATTATCCCAATTTTTATAATTGAGCAAGCCAGTCTCAAGAAAGTTAATAACCTGTACAGGCTTCCTCAACTAGTGAGGAATAGATGTGGCATTACATCCCAGATATGCTGGCAGCAGTTTGTCTTGTTTCCACTATACCAGTATGTCTTCTGGCAACTTCATAAGACAAGTTAGGCACTGGCAGAAATCTCTGAAAGCGCTCTCTAAAAAAGGAAGATTAAACCATATGTGAAACAGACATTCTTTCATTTTGGCTGCCTCATCTGTTTATTCTGTCAGCTTCTCCAACTGCCGTAACAAGGGACATGGAATCATTTATTTTAACCCCCCATCTTTTAGTCTCCCCATCTGTAAAATGCATTTAATTACACCATCTTCTTTTCTTTGATTTGTAGAATTAGGCTCCTTGTGATACAATCATTTTAAGGAGCAAGTACAAAATAATAAAATTAAAATACATAAAATGAAGTGGTATAATTAACTAACACACAAAATAAGTTACAGCTGTACCAGTCAAGTAAGCTCTTCTCTGCTACTTTCTCTACCCTCAGCCCCTACTCCCACCTGCAACATGGGCTCCTAAGGGGCCATAGCGGGATAGTGAATGGGGGAGGGGGAATAGAAGAACAAGATGGAAAATTCTGTGTATCTCTTTATTCATCTTTTTCTACATGTATTTATAATAATGTATCTATAAAACAGAGTGGTAAAATTTTTCTGTAAATGTCCGAATAGTAAATATTTTAGGCTTTGTGAGTCTGAAAGTCTCTGTTGCAGCTGCTCAACGCTGCCTTTGTAACAGGAAAGCAGCCATGGGAAATATATTAACGAATGGGCCTGGTGTGCTACAATAAAACTTTATTTGAAAAAACAGGCAACCAGATGGATTTGACCCTGAAGCCATAATTTTGCAGACTCTGTCTTAAAATATTGCTTGTTTACTTGTCTATTATCTTTCTCTTCTCATTAGAATGTAAGTTCCAATAGGACAGGAATTTTAGTCAGTGTGTTTACTTTTGTATCCCAGCACTTAGAGTAAGTTCTTCTTCACTGTATACTTCTTTCAGAGGTTTCCTGGCAGTTCTTGAACTATATACTCTCATATAAACTCTGGCTCAAAACTGTTCATATTCCTACCTCAGATGTTCTAAAATTGTAGCTTGCCTCAGTTCCAAGGAGGAAGAGAATCAGAGCACATAAAATTAAATTATCTTGCTTATTTATTCTTATGGTCATTTACCCCCACAAAATTATATATTCCTCGCGAGCAGGGTTCTTGTGTCTTGTTCTCCACTGAGTCACCAGTGACTGGGACAGTGCCTGGAACACTCTATGTGCCTAGTAAATACTTGAATGGAATAAATAAACAAATTTTGTTCACACCTCCTAAAACATGTCTGTTAACATCCTGATTGGAGTTGGCAGTGTGCCCTGCATGTTGTAGGAACAGCAGGAGACTTGAATACCTGGAGGGATTGTGAGCAAGGGGAAGATGAAGTTCATACAGGGAAATTGGGAGGGCAGGTAATGCGTATGTTTGTGGGAGCAGAGACAAAAGTATAGAAGGACCCAGCTCAAAATGTTAACATTAGTTATGGGGGCAGGGAGGATTGAAGCAGGAAAGTGAAGGATGATAACTTACTTTATATATTTCTGTTTTGTGTTATAACGAGTAATCTTGCAGTTTATAAATCCAGTGAGGTTAAAAATTTATTTGTACAACTCCCATACTTACAAAAAGTATTTGAGGTGTTTGAAAACACAAAAAAACTTAACACATATAGGCACAAATAATGGAAATATTTGAACAGAATAAAAGCCCAAGATTTGTATCTATGTAAAACTGAGGCAGAAGGGAAGACGGGAAATGAGGAGCATGGGAGAGATAGCCTTGCCAGAAAATCTAACGTTTGCAGTTCATCCCAAAATGTAGCTTTGAGTTTCTTGGCAGGTACAAAAAAAAGAATAATATGATGAAGGTAGCATTAAGAATGAAGAGTGAAGTGTAAATCCAAGAGCTATTTGGAAGGAAGAATTACTAGAACTTGAACTGACTTGTCCCTTGGAGGGAGATATCATCAAGCATGGTCCTATTTTAGCAGGATATTGTAAGGTTTATGTGTGATGAATATGTAAATTACTTCATACACAAGAAACTCTCTTAAAACTATTAAAATAGCATTTTTCATTTGGTCTACTGTGGTTTTTGTGAGCTGCCACGTTAAGATAACTTAAGATATTCCTGTCCAAACAATTTTCATTTTGCTTCTTTAGATGAAACTGTGAGAGGTTTCCCCCCACCCCTTCTGCAGTTTTACGCATTGATTTTTGTTCATTTTAGTTTCAGCCTATGGGGACTGTGTGCCGAGAAGCAGTAAATGATTGTGATATTCGTGAAACGTGCTCAGGAAATTCAAGCCAGGTAATTTATAAAATAATTACTCTAAACTTGATGGAAAAAGAGGCATCTTTATCAGGCCAAAAACCAAACCCACTGCCGTCAAGTAGAATTCTGACTCATAATGACCCTACAGGACAGACTAGAACTGCCCTTATAGGGTTTCCAAGGGTGTAAATCTTTATGGAAGCAGATGGCTACATCTTTCTCCCGTAGAGCGGCTGGTGAGTTCGAACCTCCAACTTTCTGGTTAGCAGCCCAGAGCTTAGCCACTGTGCCATGAAGGCTCTTGAGGCATCTTTAAGGTCTCCTTAATAACTCTCAGGAGAAATGTCTTAATATTGAACTGACCTATAACTGCATGCATACATTAACTTTCCTGTTTTTGTTTTAAATAGGATGTAAGAGACATTTTATTTGTATCTTTTAGTGAAGGAAGAAGCAAAGATATTGACTTTTCTTCAGCTAGTTGAAACAAGAGAGTCAGCCTCCAAGGCAGAGAGACCCACAGAACGTTGGGTTCAGAGCAGGGACCAGTTTCTCTGTCTTGATTCTTGCTTATCCAGGATAGCTTGTCTAAGCCATTAAAGGCTGCTCTTGAATTTAATATCATTAGTTATAAGTAGACAAGCTAGGGAAGTTGGATAAACTTTGGAGAGGGTTCACAGATTTCATCACAGTCAGTGTATATATAAGCAGTCCTTGCACTGTAGTGCAGAACTGTAGAAATCACCATGCAGGGTGAAGCCTTGTAAAGTGATTTTAATAATCAATGGGAAAAATTACTGTTGTTCTATAACTTTAAAATCTTTTTTGTCAAAATATTAAAAACTTAACGGCTGGTTACAAATATATAGAGAAATGGAAAAAATAAGCTATTATTTATTTAAAAACCAAAAGTCCTGTTGCCATCAAGTTGATTCCCACTCATAGCAACCCTATAGCGACGTGATAGCATTAGAAATTTTGAGAAGTAAAGTATTTTTATTTCTTTGTAAAAATCCTGTTTGAAACGTGCTTGCTGCTTTCTTACTGTTTAACTTTGGTTATGAAGCATCTTTTCTATGCCTGGGTGAATTGTTGTACTCTTTTCAGACTTTGGAGCACCTTCTAACATTTTATTATTGTTTTTCAATGTTGTGAAATATCTGCGAGGGTTCCTTTAAGATGAAGTTTTTTTTACAGCATCACTTCCTCTAGGATATCTTCATCCTTTTCACAGGAACCACCTTCTTTACGTCAATTCTCCTCCACCAGGTTCCTCTGGCTGTGTATCTAGAGTCACTTGAGCTGCAGCAGTATCAACATTCCCACAGTCAGCTATTTCTTCTATAACTCTATTTACATTCCATTTGAATTCACTTCCAGTGTCATCACTTTTTCTCCTTTTTTTTTTTTCAGTTTCACTTTCATCTTTGTTGGCCAATTCCTCCTTTTGATTATCCATGTTTGTAAACCGTCACATGGGGTTATCTCTGGAAAACAAAGAGGCAGCACAACTACACACTTTGCTGTCTGTGTGTGCATTGAAGAACAGATGGGCAGTGACCAATCATTGTCAGACTTTGAAAGAAGTAATATGATAGGTCACTGATCATGATGTGCATCTGTTATTTACATAGTGATTTTGGAACTGAAGAGGTAGCAACAAAGTTTGTACTTGAGGCAGTTAACTCACAGTCAGTCTACTATGGTACCTGAAACTTGAACTGTGTTGTTGCAGGACTGGTGTTACTGAACAAGACTGTGGTAACTGAAATGCTTGTATATCAGAACTGTGTACAAAGCTAGGACTGCCTGCATATTTTTTTTCTCTAGATAAGAGAGATTCAATAGTGGTATTCTTAAATTAACCATTTAAAGTGCTTTATTATCATAGTCATCCTAAGAGATTAAAGATCTTTCGTGTTTAAAATATTTTCCTTTTTTGCTATCTAATTAGCAATATTTTTCTAAGCTAACACCTACTGATGATAAGGAGAAAATGAAATGCTTACCTTTTAGGCTCTTGGAGGCAAAGTATATTAGTACAGTTTCTTTAGAAAGTGATTATACAATAAGTAGCAGGAATTTTAAAAGAATCCTGAATCTAGAAATGATGTATGCATAAAGATGCTCTTGTTGCTTTAGCTGAAACAGTATAAATTCGAAATAATTTTAAGTGAATGTTTTAATTCATTGATTATGTGGTTTGTTAGCTCAATGCAATGTGTTACAGCTATTAGAAATAATACATACAAAAAAGTTTATTATGACATGAGGAAGTTCATGTGATGAAAGTAAAAGGAAGAAGCATAATATAAAATATTATGCACAATTTGGTATGTTTAAGAATTTCAAATTTTGTAGAAAAAGGTGGGGAGAAAATATACCAAAATAGAGAAAAATAATTGCTTTTGGATGGTGAGAATATGAGTGACTTTTGTCTTCTGTTTTTTCTACATTTTTACATTTCCTACCTTTTCTCAAATGCGTATATATTATAATGATAGAAAAAATGTATAATAAATTTTAAAACTACTGTTTACAAAATTACAAAACTGTCTTGTAATTTTCTACAGTTGCTATGAGGAAATCAAAGGGGAGTTACAGCATGCTCTAAATAGACTCCTGCTCAGAGTCATTTAAGTGAAAGGGTTGTGTGGCTTCTCATGACCAAAGACAGGAAACTGTACTTACTGCTGCATCTACACTGGCATCCTTCTTGCTTTTGTTTTGTCCGCTTGTTTTTCTTGCTCTGCATAATAGTGTGTCTATGCGAAGCAAGATTCTCTTCATGTCAGCATTGGCTGAATCCATTGCAGTTGGTTCTTTTTCTTTGCTGCTGTGTAATCATCTGTTTTTGCCTCTGGTAAGATTCATATTTTTAGGAGAAAGTGCACCAGTTGTATTTCTTCTTGCTTTCTCTTGACCTTCTTTGTTTTTCTTCTCAGCTTAAGAGACTAATCATATTATCTGACTTTATTTCTAAAATGAAAACATCAAATGGATTAGCTTAGCCTGACATTCTCCTCTGCATTTGGTTCATAGTTCTGTTCTCTTTTCCTAGTGTGCCCCTAACATCCATAAAATGGATGGATACCCATGTGATGGTGTTCAGGTAAGTCGCTTCATTTTTGCTTAACATTTTTCATGTGCACCAGCATGAAAGACATATTGAGATCTTACCAAAATAGTAAAGTCAATTTAAATGTTTCATAATCAATTCTGAAGATAAAAGTCCTCTCTAATACTCATTTACTATTTTTTCCATTTATATTTTCTTTATTTATCTGACATAAGCAGACGTTGCATTGCTAATGGGTATGCCTTTCCATTTTAGGGAATTTGTTTTGGAGGAAGATGTAAAACCAGGGATAGACAATGCAAATACATCTGGGGGCAAAGTAAGTAAATAGTGTAGCTTGATCATTTTTAAAATATGATATTCAGGCAGACTTTGCAACGACATGTGGACTTAAAGTAAATTTCTGACCACTTTATGACTGAAAGATCCTCAAAGCCACTGCAGGTCTTAGCAGGGGCACTTCTGTGGAAATTAGAGAAAGACACCTTCTTTGGGAGAACACAGCCCCACACATTTTGTCTAGTTGACAATGCCTTTGGATGAGACAGAAGGTGCCTTTGCTGCCAGGCAGAGGAAGCCCATGCCAGGCCACACAGCTTGCAGAGAAGAGCAAGCCTGGATTTTAGCTCCACTTGTACTTCTCTCAGCTGAGAGCCCTTAAGCTAAACCTGTACAACCATATGGGATGGACATGTGCCCTGGCTTGGACATCCTTGACTGAAAACTGTAGCTACTTTAGCTAGAGTTTCTTTTCCCTCCTCAAATATCTTTCTTAGCCAGCTTTCCTACTTAGAGGTAACCTTCTGCTGAGGTAGCTCTACCAAAAAGAAATTTTAATGTTATTCTTTTCAAACTTTGTCATATTTTCAGAGGAAATATATAACATTTATAGTAAAATCATATTATATCTCTAGATTTATATTTAAATGTTTTGTAATATATTTTTTTCCAGAAGTATTATTGGCTCATCCAAAAACAGTTTCTGTTCTACACTCTTTCAGAAAACAATTTGTACTAGGAAGCAAGTTATAAAAATAATGAGTTATAAGAAAATCCTTAATTATCATAAATAGTGGCTACAGTCCTTTTGGGAGGAAAAGTATATGCTTTCTTTTGAGCAGAGAGAAACATGATTGCGGATAAATTTAGTCCTGTAGGTTCATACTCTGTACAAAGAGATACATTTTCTGTTTCTTCCACTTGAGAAAAAACAGTACCTGTTAGCAAGAAGTAGGAAAAGAAACTACCAACACACACACACATATTTTTAATGTACATCAACAGTCTTCCTTTGATTAATTTGGAAAAGTACTTTTGATCTAACTCTTAGATAACTCAGTTGACCAACCCTAGCTTCAGAAAAAAATAAAAACCTGACAAAGATGCTGTCATGCCATAAGATGCTGTTTGACTCTGAAATTTAGCATGAATTCAGGCTTTTCTAAAAAGAGAGTAAAATTAAGTTGTTTTGATAGCTGTTAAGAAATAGTGAGCATAATGGACCACAACTACCACAGCCTCCACCAGACTGAGTCTAGTACAACGAGGTGGTGCCCTGCTACCACCACTGACTACTTGACAGGGATCACAACAGAGTGTCCCGGACAGAGCTGGAGAACAATGTAGAACAAAATTCTAACTCACAAAAAAAGACCAGACTTACTGGTCTGACAGAGACTAGAGAAACCCTGAGAGTATGGCCCCCGGACGCTCTTTTAGCTTAGTAATGAAATCACTCCCGAGGTTCAACCTTCAGCCAAAGATTAGACAGCTCCATAAAGCAAAACGAAACTAATGGAGGCACAACACTCCAGGAACAAGGACTAGAAGGCAGGAGGGGACAGGAAAGCTGGTAATAGGGAACTCAAGGTTGAGAAGGGATAGTGTTGACATGTTGTAGGGTTGTTAATGTTGTCATAAAACAATATATGTACTAACTGTTTAATAAGAAACTATTCTGTAAACCTTCATCTAAAGTACAATAAAAAAAGAAATAGTGAGCAAAGTAGAAATTGTACCACCATTTCCCCAATTGTTAATTATAGTGCATAACTATTTTTATAAAATTGTCTTTATGACTGATAAAAGTTGTTGAGTGAGAAAGTCATGCTTTTTATCTGTCACTGAGATGAAAGCATGGAGCATTTATTCTAGGAACTGTTTGGTGACATCTTACCCTGATTGTTGGCCAAAGGATAAGAAGTGCTGTTCTTGCAACCTATAGTCTGAATCCTCCCAGAGATCTAAATATATTTGTTTCCCAAATTTCAAACGAGCAGTCATGAAAAATATACCTGCTTCATGGATGTCTATGATATAGGAAAACTCTTGTGAACTATAGGTATAGTATTTGGAATTGGTAACACTTAGAATGAAGAAGAGTCCTTAAGTTGCAGTTTTCCCTTATTGTAAAAAATTTGAGCAGCTCACATTTCACTTCCCTCACTGATAAAACACTTTATTCTGCTTCAGAAGTGACAGCATCAGACAAATACTGCTATGAGAAACTGAATATTGAAGGGACCGAGAAGGGTAACTGTGGCAAAGACAAAGACACCTGGATACAGTGCAACAAACGGTGAGGTGGAGTAGTCAGTCCAGAGTTCATCACTCAGTCAACTGCGAACATCATTTTTTGAGTGACTGGGACTTTGCTGTTTTTTACATTCCACAAAGCATGCTCTTGCCACCTCACCTCATCTCTTCACAGTGTAAACCAGTGTTACCTATGCAGAAGGCTACCAAGTCTTGACACATACCCTGACCTGTCTCTCTCCTAAGGCCCAGGTCATGCTGGCCTCAGGACTTTCCCACCTACCAGATACCTACCAGCAGGTCAAAAGCAACAAAAATGAAAGCCACCAGGATATGGACTCAGTGCTGTTGAATTAACTGTCTTGACTTTCCTAACCCATCCCTGTTTTTGCTGAAGGTCTCAGTATCTCACTATCCATCTGCCTAGAACCCTCGGAGTGATCCGTGACTACACCTTCCCTCTAGCACACTGTCCAGTTGCCAAATCATGTCCACTCTTCCCTTTTGTCCCACACTCCCGTTTATCTTTAATTCATCCCTTTATTTCCGTTCCAATTGCCATTACCCCAACAGAGACCCATATTAACTTGTGAACTATTATAGAAGTCTCTTGATGGATTGCTATACCATCATTCTCTAGCATGCTGCCATGAGAATAAACTTCTGAATCTCTGTGACTATGTCATTTTTTTGTTCAGAATTTCACTAGTTCTACACAGCTAATTTATAGTCAGAATAGTACCCAGCATTAATTGAGCGCACCCTATGTGCTAAGCATTGTATCAAACTTTATAGAAGCTATGCTATTTAATCTTTATGGTAGTTCTTAACAATTTATGGAGGAAGAAACTCAGGCACAGTTAATTAACTTGCCCAAAGTCACGTGGCTAAGAAGTAGTAGGGGCAGAATTGGAACCCAGGCAATCTGATTGCACTCTCTCTTTAGCTACTTTGCTGAATGTCTTACTGCTCTGTTTAACAACTAGAATGGAACCTTAGCTTGGCACTGAACCTCATCTACAATTTTCCCTGAACCTACATTTTTGGTCTTTGTTTCTCTATTCCAAATTCTAGAAAACCTTATCATTCCTAACATGTGCATTATACTGCTCTAACCCTATGTCTATATTTGTGCTTTATTTCCTCCACAAGCACCCTTTATCCTGATACCATCACCAGTCAAACATTTATCCATTCTTAAAAACCCACCTTGGACAACACTTTCTCTATAAATCCTTTCCTGATTTACTATAGAAATAAATTCTCTCTCTCTTCTCCTCTAAGCTCTCACAGTCCTTTGTATTATTCTTGTGGCCCTTGTCCTAACTCTGTGTTTTATAGTTATGTGTATATGTGATTTATCTTCTCATCTAGTGTATAATTTCCCTGAGGGTAAAGATCATGTCTGATTTTCTTTATATACCGTAAAATACTAAGTAAGGTCCATGCATGTAAATGACACTCAAAAAATGTTGAATATATATCTCTTCTATGTTGAGAAAGCATTTTTGTTTATGATAGATGCAGTAAAATGATATCTTTTTACGGATGAGTTAATACATAGTTTTTTATGTTGATGATATAAACAGATCCTGATTTTCTTCTTTTTCTATCTAATAAGTCTGATAGATCCATATATTGTCTTACTGGTCTACCAGTCTTCCCAAGAAATTTATTAAGATGCTCACCATTTTCTCTATTAATAATTAAAATGTGTTGGACATAAAAAATATGTAAGACAGTGTTTAACATGATTGAAAATATTTTACAAGTTAAATTAGAGTTACATGCGATAGTAAAGGGGAATAGTGAAATATATTGAGGAAGGGATGGTGAACTTCTATGGTTGGGAATTTATAAAATATATACAACATATAATCTCTTTTTTAATTCTGGGATATCAGGTCAAGGGAAGATCTGAATTCCAAAAGAATATACATGCAAAAGTCATTCATTCACTTACCAAATATTAAAAAAAATTTAGCATATACAGTGTTGTGTTATGAGAAAAGAGATTCTGATATAAAAGAAGTCTATTTGATGGACAGTTTCCTTTAGATAAACATTTGAACTAATGAAAAGTAAAGGAAAATATAGAAAACAATTGGGATTTTGATGCACTGTAAGAGTTTCAGAAAAACACTTTTTAAAGCAGGAGGCAGACTAATCTGGGCTTATTTTGCTTGACATTTGAGTAAATAATATAGTCGATGAAAAAACAAATGCTGAATTGAGGTAAGATTATTGTTCTAACTGCAAATGATTTGTTATGTCTTTGTGGATATATAATTGGTACTCTTTTAACACAGGGATGTGCTTTGTGGTTACCTTTTATGTACCAATATTGGTAATATCCCAAGGCTTGGAGAACTCGATGGTGATATCACATCTACTTTAGTTGTGCAGCAGGGAAGAACATTAAACTGCAGGTAATTATCTAACCATTCAATGAGAACATTGTCACCTCGCTTGCTAGGAACACAGTTTAAAACTGATTCTGTCTTCAGCTCATGTGCGTATTAGTAAGCCGAAATAGAATCTAATTCATAGAGGTAATTGAGTAAATACAGATAGAAAAGAGATGAAGAGAAGATAAGAATTAGTTGAAAGCGAAATATTACGTGGTTGGTAGAGTTATATTTAGTTGATCAGTAAAATCTTCAGGATTTAGTTTGATTTTACTCTTATTAAGAAAAATGAGTGGGGACTTTTGAGTAAAAGCAGTAGATTAAATATATGCATCTACTTTTGTTCCCTTCTGAAACCTCACTAAACTAACATGAAATGGATGTTTTTTAGAATGCATACATCTACAGGGAGGCAGAGAAAGAGAGGAGACGACAGCAACAGTCTTTTGAAATGTGGAAAGCAAATGTAGGAGTGGAAAATGATTACATATTAAGTATAAGAAAGCTGAATCCTAAGCCAGTAACGGGGGAAAACTGAGAACCAGGCCAATATATGCTGTCAGTTCCCAAAAGGCTCAGAAATTAGCAGTGTCATCTACTTCTGGAAGATGGAGTAAAGGAATTGGGGGTAGGGGGTGCTGAAATAAAGAAGATAGGTAAAAATTTATTAAAGAAGCAATTAGCTCCGCAGATTACCATCTTGACTGAGTTAAACTGGGGATTGCCTACCCTTCCCATTGAAGACTTGAGCTTTAAAAACTGCAGAGGATAAAACACAAGATCTCCAAACTGGGTGATAGCAGACAATATTGGTATCACAAGTTGTGTGGCAGTGGTCCAGCCTCATTGATGTTCACAGTCAGAAAGCCCTAGAATTTCCAGTCATCTTTTTGGTCCCCCACACCAAATAGGAGCAGGGTATAAAACATTATCAGACATGTGAAGAAAGTCTCTAACATGAAAAAAAAAGACAAAAGCAAACAACCAGAAAAAAAAAACAACAACAAAAACCAATATTTACCGAGGCTTATTTCTATCATGAAACAAGAATAGGGTGCTATTTTTAAAAACGAGGTACATTCAAGAAGAAAAATATGCTGCTGGAAATTAAAAATATGATGGCAGAAATAAAACTCAGCAGCTAAAATTACCTCCCAGAAAGTAGAGCAAAAAGACAAAGAGACAAATATAGATAAAAGCTCAGTAAATTAGAATAGAAATAATAAAGAAGAGAGAAAACAGAGGAGGAGATTGTCAATGAGTCATTCAAGAGTATTGTCTAGAAACAAAGAACTTGAGTTTCCAAATTACTGGGCTCATCGAAGTGTCAGGCACTATGGGTGGAATTAGAGGTACCTTTAAACATATAATTATGAAATTTCTGATTCTTAGGACAAAGAAAAGAATCCCAAAGCTTCCAGAAAGGAGGGAAAAAAATGAAGGATCAGAAATTAGAATGGGTTAGGTTCTACCAAAAAGAGCCCCGGGAGTCAGAAGACAGTGGAGAAAATGATTTCCAAACTGGAATTCTGTACTCAGGCAAATTATCAGTCAAGTGTGCGGGTAGAAAATAAAGACATTTTTAGATATGTAAGTTTCCCCCAAATTTGCCTCCATACACCCTTTTTCAGGGAGCTACCAGAAGATGTGCTCCACCAAAATGGAATAAACCAAGAAAGAGAAAGATAGGGAGTATAGGAGACAAAGTACCCACCACGAAAGAGAAACAGGACAGTCCTCAAATTGTTAATGGTGAGGGGAAATCCAAGATCAACAGATGATCCAAGATCATCCAGACTGGAGCAGATCAAAAGATTCCAGGAGAGATTTCTCTAAGATGATGAACTGATGGTCAGACAATCTGAAGTGGTGATTTTTACAGCTAGCAGAAAGTGTGGATTAGTTTTGAATCAGTAATGATTTTGTAGAAAAGTAAAGAAACAACAAATAGATTGTTAATCTGAGGGAAAACAAAAAATTTGTACAAGAAAAGAAAGATTTAATCATGACACGTGTTGCTCAACTGAATAACCTTTAGTTATTGATTAAACTAAAATTATGATGGGAAGATAGGGGGAAGGGAGAATTGAGTGTGTGGGATGGGAGGGGGAAGACAGAGGTAACTTCTCAGATTCCATAAAGGGAAGTCAATTGATAATGCCTAAAATGGGGGGGGAAAAAAAAAAATCAAGAAATGGTAATACAAGCTCATTTTTAAAAGATATGTATATAAATAACAAAAGAATTAACAAAAGTAGCTTATGCTGCTGGTTTTTATTAGATAAATAGAAAATGGAGAAAGTGCTACTGCCCACTTTTTAGTTTTTAAACATAGTCTTCAGATGAATATGGATTAATGGAATTCCCTTTTCTTTTTGCTTCCACTTTGTTTGTAGTGGTGGCCATGTTAAGCTTGAAGAAGATGTAGATCTTGGCTATGTGGAAGATGGTACACCTTGTGGTCCCAAAATGATGTGCTTAGAACACAGGTGTCTTCCTGTGGCTTCCTTTAACTTTAGTACTTGCTTAAGCAGTAAAGAAGGCACTGTTTGTTCAGGAAATGGAGTAAGTATTCAGTATCCGGCCATGGGGCGGTATTCATTTCTTTTATATCACAGAAATAGATATGACCTTAAGCTGCTTATTTTCCAAATTATGGTGAATTAGATCAGACAAGAGACAGAAACCATGTAGTGAAAACCTGCCTCAGGAAGAACTTTGATTTTGAACTTTTTCCTACTTCCCACTCCATTGAAACTTGTTTTGAATTACAAAATCTAGGTATAGATTCTGTTTTCTGGATGAATAAATTAAGAGATATTTTTTTTTTCTTGTAATTAAAAATAAATTGGTGTCATTCTTATATGAATTTTTTTTCAGTTGCTTTTTTTGTGGGAGTACACCAATCCTATGACTCTGAGGTAGCTACTCTTCTCTGTGGCTTGGGTTGAGGTGCCAAGATTATAGCTTTATAAAGCTTTCTTCTCAGACCACTACAAAGCATCAGGCCTCCCTCTTCTTTATTAGATTTCTCTTGATCTCATTCAACTTCCTAAAAGATTAATAACATTTTGGAAGAAAGATTTTCCTCCTGTGGAAGAAAGCAGCCTTTGTATTGGATAACTGACAGATAATTATACTTCTCCTTAGTTTTTTTCATCTCTCTTCTGAAATGTAACTTAATGAAAGCCAAAACAATACTAATGTCATTGATATTTTTATATGTAAAAATTAGTTCCTCTTTTGAAAATCATTGTTCCCTTTGGGTCATCCAGTGGTCTCTAGAAAATATCTCTTTAGATTCTGACTCACAGCGACCCTACAGGACAGAGTAGAACTGTCCCATAGGGTTTCCAAGAATTCAAACTGCTGACCTTTTGGTTAGCAGCCAAGCTCTTTTTACCACTGTGCCACCAGGGCTCTAAGATCAATTCCTCTGTTAAAAATCATTGTTCCCTTTGGGTCATCCAGTGGTCTCTAGAAAATATTTAGATAATTGAGTAAGAAATAAAAGAATTGGTTTTAGAAAGAAAGTAGCAATAATTTCTTCAGTATCATCAGATTCTAAGTGTATAATAATTAGAAATTAATGTTTATTTTTCATGTCTCTGTACTAGAGAGTTGATGTTTACTCTAGGTGGACTTTGGATTTCAGGTTTGCAGTAATGAGCTGAAATGTGTGTGCAACAGACACTGGATTGGTGCAGACTGCAACACTTACTTCCCGCACAATGTTGATGCAAAGACTGGTATAACTCTGTCTGGCAACGGTAGGTACTTAATTTGGTATCATTACATAGTCGTCGTACACAGGGAAGAAAAAACTGTCTGAAATGCCCTTTAGACATTTCCATTTGAGTTATTTTTATGATAACTTAAGGAAATATAAGCTAAATCCACGTAATAATGAATTATAATGTACAACTGGGTTAAACCTTGTGAAACTTATCGTTTCCATTAACTTGTAAATGATATATAATATTCAAGTATATGTTAGTCTTCTGATTTCGCCTACCTCAGACTGAGATTTTTCAAGTATTGTAGTTATTTGAGGATGTCAAAAACCTTTCTACTCTAGTAGAAATTATAAATACTTTGAGCATTTGAAAGAAATTAAATTAAATTTAATTTAAATTTCTTCTAAATGCAGGAAGTAGTTATAATTCTTAACTATCTGAAGATAAAGGGAGAATTTTATATTTTGGAGCCTGAATAAATAAGAACACGAACAATTGAGCTAATTTTTAAATATTTTATTTATTTCAATATTTTTTATCATTCATATCCAGCCCTAGTTCTATAGCCTGAACTCTCGGTAATTCTAGAAGTAGTAACCTTGGCTAGGGTGCCTGGATGGGATTTAAGGACATGGATAAGAAATAACAAAAATGCAGTTCTAAAAGTTAGGGTGGCCCAAATGGAAAAGTAGAAATTAAATGCAGATAGTTGGAAGAATTCATATATTGGAAGTAAATATACCTTTTAAAACTATTTTATCATTTCATTATTGAATAATCTTTTATGTTAAATAATGCTCAAATCCTGAAGACCATTCATCTCTAAAGGATAAGAAGAGTATGTGCGTTCTCATTATCCAGAATGACTAAAAATCTCAGCCAATATGACTTTAATAGAGAAAGTCACAGAATGATTAAGATTTTGGAGTCCCCATTCTTAGCAATGGTTGTGTGGAGCTGGCTCCAACATTTAATGCAGACATTTAGATCCATGGATTTAAGTGCCTTCTCAGTAGTTATACCGCTACTTGGAAATAATGAAGACTAGCATCCAAGTTTATTGATCTCTGTTAACTCCCTGGAAGAAAAGGAGGGGAGAACAGATGTGGTAGGCGTGGGAGTAAGAAAATCCCAGTGACTCGGGATCCCGCGGCACCTGCATCCACCCATCCCTCGGAGGGCCTGGGCAGGCCGGAGTTGGCCAGTCTGCTCGATACCCTGGCTCTGCCATCCAGCATGACTACTGAAGATTCCCAGGCAGAGGGGCTGCTGCTTTGTTCACGGGGAATGAGAATTGACTACAGTCACCCAGGATTGCTGTTCTTTGATGTCTAGAAGGATGCCTCAGGTGTGGAGCAGACAAGGAGAGATTTGTGATGCTCTAGGTGGAAGCACTGCAATTAAACATGTGGTACAAATTATAAGAGCAAAACAGGCTTCCTGGTATCAGAGCCAGGCCTTAGATCTTCCTTTCCTGCCCTTGGGCCCTCACATTGACCTTGTTGACCAAAGCTTCGCCTGACTAGGCCCTCTTACTGCTGTGACTCTCTTAAGGATTATGTCTCAGCCTGCCTGACAACAGATGCTGGCACAACCCTGCCACTAGCAAGTCTTCAGCCTCAGCCCTGCCTTGGATTCTGCTTGCTCTGGCTCTCCACTGGTCTGGTGCAGCCTCACCTTCATGCCACACCGGCACCAAACTTCAGCTCACCAGACTATATCTGTGTCTTTGGTTTTTTTCTTCTGTAGGATGCCATATGTGTCTGTCAGTTTATCATACTGTGGGGGCTTCCATGTTGCTGTGATGCTTGAAGCTATGCCACTGGTATTCAAATATCAGCAGGGTTGCTCATGGCAGACAGGTTTCAGATGAGCTTCCAGACTAAGACAGAGTAGGAAGAAGGACCTGGCAGTCTACTTCTGAGAAGAATTAGCCAGTGAAAACCTTATGAATAGCAGCAGAACATTGTCTGTGGTGTTGGTGAAGAATGTTGAATATGCCATGGACTGCCGAAAGAGCAAACAGATCTGTTTTGGAAGACATACAACCAGAATACTCCTTAGAAGTGAGGATGATGAGACTTCATCTCACATACTTTGGACGTGTTATCAGGAGGGACCAGTCCCTGGAGAAGAAGGACATCATGCTTGGTAAACTGGAGGGTCAGCGAAAAAGACGAAGACCCTCAACAAGATGGATTGACACAATGGCTGCAACAATGGGCTCAAGCATAACAATGGTCATCAGTATGGTGCAGGACCAGGCAGTGTTTCGTTCTGTTGTACATAGGATCACTGTGAGTCGGAAATGACTCGATGGCACCTAACAACAACAACAAGGATGCCATAGCATCTTTGCCAGGACTGGAAACTACAAACCCAGTGCTTTTATCATCTACACCACCTGAGTGCTGATGATATAAATCTGTAGGCATGTTTTCTCCCTTACACCAAAAGACCCACTGCCATTGAGTCAGTCTGGACTCAGTGACCCTATAGGACCAAGGAGAACTGCCCTATAGGGTTTCTAAGGCTGTAAATCTTTATGGAAGCAGACTGCCACATCTTTCTCCTGTGTAGCAGCTGGTGGGTTTGAACCACCGACCTTTTGGTTGGCAGCCAAGCGCTTTAACCGCTGCACCACCAAGGCTCTTTCAAGAAGCTTATATTTACTTCGAGAGACATAATCAATCTCTTTCTCTCTCTCTGTCTCACACACACACACATAGAAACAGAACAATACAGGACCATGCATTATTTGTCAAAACAGAGTGATGTAAAAAATAACATTTCTAGAATTTCTGATAAAGGGTCAAAAGGAACATGGATTTCTAAAATTTCTTCCCCAAAAGGTGCTATGCAAATACGGTAATATTGGGCCACATTTTTTTTCCTTTTCTTTACTCCTCCTTCTTTTAGTTCAGTGACCTCATCAGAAAGTGCATAGAAAATGCAATGGTGTAAAAATATACTTGGACAAGAACTTAAAAAGGAACATACCCAAAGAAATTTTCAAAAACTTGACATGGAATGCTAAGTTATGGTTGATCTTTCTTCCTTTCTTTTTTTTTTTTTTAATTTCTACTTTTTCTTTTAATAATATTAGTGCGGTGATTTCAAATCTGAAGAATGAACTTCCTGAAAGACTTTTATATCAAAATTTCAATTATATACACTGACCCTTATTGTTTCTTTTCTTCCCCCAGGTGTTGCTGGTACCAATATCATAATAGGCATAATTGCTGGCACCATTTTAGTGCTGGCCCTCATATTAGGAATAACTGCGTGGGGCTATAAGTAAGTGACATGTCTCTATATTGTTACTGTCAAAACACTCTAACACATCTTGATTGAATGAAAACATCTAGAAAGTTTTATATCGTTGCATAAATACATTTGCCAGGAAAGTCATCCTGGCTTAGCATTCAATCAAAGATTATTCTTGGCATGGTTAGAAGTAATAATAATTTATTATTTTTTTCAACTTTGAGACAACTACCTTCTATTCTAAAAGTACTGAATATTATTTTAAAATCATTAAAGTGAATTAAAATTAGTCTAAATCTTGTGTTATACAAAGGCTGCTTTGGTTTTCACTTTAGTGACACAACATCTCTTGACTGATACCCATCTCCAGAAATATAGGCAAGACAGTCATTTAGAGAGCTTAGTGCTTTAATAACAACACAATGATAGCAGTACTATCAGCAAGAACAACAGCTGCAGATTCTGTTATTAAGTGCTTGCTTTGGCCGTGCAGCATGCTAAGGGCAAAAGCTGTTCGTTTCACAACCAATATGAAGGAAGCTATATTATTTGTTAAGTATATGGGTGTTTTGGGGAGGAGAAAATACTGTTCAGAGGTTTAATTTGCTAAAATTAAAATTCAACTTAAAATTACAAAATCTAAAAACCAAAATCTTCATTAGCTTCAAAGTTCATCTTATAATATTTTGGGGTTCTATTTGTAAATTTTAAGAAGTTAATAAATCATTTTTTGGGAACTTTGAGTAATATTTGATCCTCTTAAAAATTTACTAAGTAAGCACCTTCAAACTTTTTAAACTCATTTATATGTTTAATGTGTTCAGTTTCCTTTTTTAATTTCCTTTTCATATATTTCGATCTTATGATATAAAAAAATGTCCTTAATATTCAAATAACTAATTTAAATTTAATACATTAAAGCATAACATATGGTAAACCTTAAATTGCCTTCAGTAATTTAAACTGAAACTCACAGTTCTGCTGATACTTGATGATGTTACAGGTCCCCAGGCCTAGGGTTTTTCTTCACTTGCTAGGCATCCGGGCATTACCTGATTTTATAGCCTTTTTTCCTCATTAGTCATACTTAGGTCACTAAAAGATTTAGGAATTCATGTATTTTAGACTTAAATAAAATTACCTCAAGCCTTTCAAAAACATCTTTGCTCTATGAACTAATATGTGTTAAACACTCAGAGTAGTTCCTGGCCCACAGAAGACTCTGTGTACTTGTTTGCTGTTTATTACCTGACATGGTCTTAAACCAATTGAATCAAAGGAATCACCTCTAAAAGTGTGTGGGTGATTGCTTGTTGTGAGGTCAAACCCTGGAAGAGTTTCCTTTGACTGAAAAGGGAGAACAGTTAGCTTACTGCCAGGATAAACTTTGTATGCTACAAACCATTGAGATACAGAAAGACATTTGTGAAAGAATACATATGAAATAGCACAAACAACATAGTAAAGCTTAGCATAGCGTAGTTAACATAGTATTATATCTCAGAGCAGAGGACTGCAGAGTAGTTATATGTTGTCTTGATTAAATGAGCACCCAGCACCTTATCAGTTCATAGGTGTGCAATGCCTATTGGTTCTTCTAGGACAGGTCATGAGGGATGCTGTGTATTTATATTTTCACAATCTGATTTCAGTATAACATATGAATTATAAACTAATATGTCTTGAAAGGAAGGCTTTTCTATATATTTATTCTTTGATCTTTCCTCATGCCTCAGACAGATTAGCCCTATTTGGGGTCACACTATCTCCTTGACTTCCCTGATGCAGAATGTGTGTAGTAATGCCATCACAGTCATTGCTGTTTTGAAATAGCTCACTGACTTCATTTGGCCACGTGAAAACTTAAAGGAAAATTGTTAGCTCTACAATGTGTGATTTTCTGCCACCTACTGATGAAAGTTGATATTTTATTTTTACAATCTTGGAAACACCTTTCAGAAAACATAAAACATAAACATCTACTCCTGTTGCCTAGGAAATTACCCTTGTCCATTTCTTTTAATGATTAGGATTAAGAATACTTACTGTATAGGATTTTTTTTTTAATATGTGGCTATATGTGTTTAATAATTGAAAGTATTTATTTCAGTCTTTACTTTTTTATTTGCTATTTGTTTTAAAATTTTATTGTGTTTTAGATGAAAGTTTACAGCGCAAATCAGTTTCTCATTCCAAAATTTATACACAAATTGTTTTGTGAAATTGGTTACAATCCCTGCAGTGTATCAGCACTCTCCCCATTTCCGTTTCCACCTTGGGTTCTCTGTGTCCATTTGTCCAGTCTTGCTGTCCCTTCCTGCCTTGTCATCTTTGCTTTTGGGCAAGTGTTGCCCATTTGGTCTCGTATACTGGATTGAACTAAGAAGCGCGTTCCTCACGTGTGTTATTGTTTGTTTTATAGGCCTGTCTAATCTGGCTGAAAGGTAGACTTCAGGAGTGGCTTCGGTTCTGCGTTAGCAGGGTGTCCAGGGGCGATAGCATTGGGGGTTCCTTCCGTCTCTGTCAGACCAGTAATCTTGGTCTCTTTCTGTGAATTTGAATTTTGTTCTGCATTTTTTCCCGCTCTGCCCAGGACTCTTGATTGTGATCACTGTCAGAGTAGTTGCTGGTGGTAGCTGGGTACCATCTAGTTCTTCTGGGCTCAGGCTGGTGAAGCTGTGGTTCATACGGTCCGTTAGTCCTTTGGACTAATATTTTCCTTGTGTCTTTGGTTTTCTTCATTCTCCTTTGCACTGAATGTGATGGGACCAATAGATGTGTCTTAGATGGCTGCTCACAAACTTTTAAGACCCCAGATGTTACCAAAGTAGGATGTAGAACATTTTCTTTATGGACTATGTTATGACAGGTGACCTAGATGTCCCCAGAGATCATGGTCCCCAGCCCTGAACCCCAGGAACTCGGTTCCTCAAGGTGTTTAGATGTGTTTAGGAAGCTTCTGTGACTTTGCCTTGGTCAGGTTGTGCTGCCTTCCTCTATATTGTGTTGTCTCTCCCTTCACCAAAATTAACACTTATCTGCTATCTAGTTAGTAATTTCCTCTCCTTAACCCTCCCCTCCACTGTGACCATCAAAGATTGTTTATTTTTTCTGTGTGTAAACCTTTTCTTGAATTTTTATAATGGTGGCCTCATACAATATTTGTCCTTTCGTGATGACTTGTTTCACTCAGCATAATGCCCTCCAGATTCATGTTGTGAGATGTTTCACGGACGACACATCATTGTTCTTTATCATGGCATAGTATTCCATTGTGTGTTTGTACCATAATTTGTTTATCCATTCATCTGTTGATGGGCACTTAGGTTGTTTCCATCTTGTTCACTGCAGCATTACTCAATAGTAAAAATGGGTGTGCATATGTCTATTCGTGTGATTTCTTATTTTTTATGATAATTCTTTTGAGGTTTTACTTTTTTTTACTTTTATGAAAATATATTCTTTGCACATTAAGAAAAAAGACAAATCTTGTTCATACTGCAGTATCCTCTTCATAAATAACTTGAACTCAAATGGTGAAAGTGCTAGTATTACTAAAATGATTTAGAATATGTATAAAAAATAGAATGAGAATGTAGAAATTTTAGTACAGAAATCAAAATCCATGAATATGATGTTTTATATATTCTATCTGAAATGCGAAAACTAATTTAAGACCTAAGAACTTATTTCTTATTAGCCCTTCTAATTAACCCACCTCCCCTTTCTCCAAGCCTTGGGATGGGGAATAGCAGGAATAGCAAATGAGGAATATTCATGTGAACTGGTGGATGGCTTAGGTAATTAGACTGAAGGAATAAAAAGTAAAACATGTTGAACAGAAAGCTTCTAGGCATATTTTTTTCTGCATCTGATGGTTTCAGGAATGAAAAATTATAAGCAACTAATTGGCGCTTTTACCCTCATTGCCCATCATTAAACGTGATACTCACAGGGTGGATGGGCTGGCAGATGAAGGTGCTACACATGAAATCCGTGTGGAAACATTACCCTTGATCTTAGAGGAAGGAGCCCCAAAATACTCAGTAGCTTGACCTTTCTAACATGGCTTCAAATTTTTAATAATTCTGTCATGATAGTTAAAAATTAACACTTTTGAAAAAAGTCGCTGGTACCTTACTACCAAACCTTCTAGGACAGATTTGGATTAAAGTTGGTTTATTTTGGAACTCATGTAAGTATATGACCAACTAAAAAGCTGAGACTAAACTTTAAGTAAAGTATTCCCAATGTGAAGCTTCAGTAAGTAGCAATAGCTTAGGACGTCTCTAAAAGCTGTGAACTAACTCTTATTTATCATACAGGATGAAATAACACATACTGGTGTAAATTTATGCTCCCCTCTTTGAACTTCTTAGGGTTAGTTATAGTTTGTAGTATATATTCTAAAAGGAATGAATTATGATTTTACTTCTATGAAAACACAATTTAGATAAGTAACTTGCTTCATTTATTTCATTATTTAAAATCAATGTCTGAAAACCTGTATGTGAAAGAGGATTTACTGTAGAACATAACTGAATGTTTAATACAATACAATTTATGTTGAAAAAAATTTACTCTTTAATAATTGCAACTTATTCATGCTTTTAAAAATGGATAGTTATTTGATAATATGGTCACTAAACCTTTGGTATCACTTTCCTAATGACTGAGTGAAATTTTTGTGTGCATGGATTCCCTCTTTTAAATCTGCAACTCAAAATCCTCTAGTGGAGACCTTTCAATGAATGCTAGAGCTATGTATTCGTGTTTAGTACTCTCTCAGTGTACTTCATTGGTAACTAATTCTTGTTTGTTTGTTTTTTATTCTCTTCTTGTCCATGAAAAGAAACTATCGAGAACAGAGGTATGTGATGAGAGTAATCTGAACACATAACTGAAAGGTTTAAATCCTGTTGGCGTCTTTGGAATTTATACATGCAATTAGAAGTCAAGTTCACTTTCTTTTTATGCTACAATGATCATATACTAATCTTGGTTTTTCATGACCTTGAAATAATTTTAACAATGGTGCTGTGAAGTGTATTCATTTAAAGTAGAGCTGTCACTATTTAATCTTAACGGTTTATGGTTCTTTCATCCAACAATATTACAATCAGTAGAGATTCTAATTTGTGTTGTTTTTATAGTTTTTTATATATATATATATATAGATATAGATATTGATTTTTTTTCCAGCTAAAGCAAACTTCTTCTATGTTAAGGTGTCACATCTTCAGCACCTCTACTTATGTTAGTTTATTGGCTTTTCCTCTTGTTTATAACAACAATCTTGTTGACTCATACTTTCTGAGAGAATTTGTTTTTTATTTTTTGCTGTTGTTATATTAATAAGTTTGATACATAAGCAATAAAGTTTATTTGGGCACAGTGTTGCCTTCAGGGGAATGTTCTGGTACTTGATGAACCTACTTATCTCTGCATGAGAAAACATTTTTTTATTGAATAGGCAATCCTGCAGGGAGTTAAAGAAATTTGCATTGTTGGAATCTCTGATTACCTGGTGCACTTTTTTGAATAGAAAAGCCCATGGAAAAGGTCAGGCATCCCTTTTAGGGTAACCTTAAAATCTGTGTTTAACCAGCAGCATAAAAAAAGAGACAAAGCGTTTGTGTCCAAGATATTTAATGCAGACTTCTGTTTCTTTAGTTTTTTTCCTTTGTTACATTAAATGCCTGTGGCAGATTAAGAATAAGGCATAATAAGCGTGGTGATACTTTTTCAGGCCCCAATCTCAGTTTTTGTTCTTTAACAAATTAAGAAATAAAACTTTACTCTTTTGTGTCCTTTCATGTTATAATTTGAAATCCCTGTAAGACTTTTAGCCATAAGTATCTATAAACAAAAACCCATTGCTGTGGAGTTGATTCCAACTCCTAAGTATCTATAGGGTCTATATAAGTTAATGGTGCCCACGGGGCATTTAGATCCTTGTCAGTTAGAATAGATATTAGAAAATATTCCTCCTACCCTGGAGTAACTAATTCATTGTTTATGGAAAAAGTAAATCTGAGACAACAATCAATTAAGTTTTAAAAAATTTTGGAGTTTTAAATGCTTGTGTCCAAAAGCACTGGGAAAGAGCAGGTACCATTTAGGCTTTCTGTTGGGTAGAAGTTTATTAACCATATCAGAATCTAAGGTTGGTAGCTTTCTTCAATGGAAAATAAAATTAGGCAAAGAAGATTGTCAAAAATTGATGATTCCGTTTATTTCCCATAGCAGCTAAGGGTATGATGTAATTTAATATTGCTGTGTGTATAAATAGGAAAGTAAAATGTCTCAAATATATTAACATCAGCAAAGTTAAAACAGTGCTCTAATATATATTTTCACTAGAGAAACTATGCAGGATATGTCAGTTGCCTAAATTAAACAAAAATTATTAGTATGTAAACCTGCACCAATTTTTTATTTTAACTGAATATATATATAGATATAGTGAAGAAAAATGTTCCCACTCACAATCTCTTTTCTGTGCCTGATACAATTTTATGCCTTCTGGTATCACAGTCACATAATTTCATCCATCTCTTCAATCTGGTACTCCTTTTGGATATGGTTCATATTTTGAGAGGTGTCACATCTTTAGCAGATATTTGATATATTTTGATATATCTCAACATGACTTTTTACCCCCTTGCCATAGCTTGTAAATCTTAGGTTTGCACAGTGGTTCTCAAAACAGAGAAGGAAGTAGCACAGGATGGACTTTAGATCAGGAAGTCATGAATGTATAAAGATCTTATGAAGCAAATACTGTCCTCTTTTTTGAGAATACATGTTAGTGATTATAGAGAAGGTGGGAAGGCAAACAGATCAAAGCAAGCATTAAGTAGTTTACAGTCTGAAGACATACAAATTAACATATGCCCAGTTCCTAAGTATGCCAGGGAGTATAATTAAGAATTTTTAGTTGTCGTTGCCTTTAAATTAGATTTTTGTTGGAGATTCCCTGATAAGGAATCAGAAATCTTCTTGCTAGTAAGCTATCTTGAGAAATAACAAAGTTTCCCCAACTCTAAAATCAGAAAAAGTTTTTTGTTTTTTTTTTGTAATCTGTAAAGCATTGTAGTGAAGGGAAGTTATTAATATGTGGTCTTTGGCAAATTTTGTGTTTCTCTGATCTTCAATAAAAAGAGGTGGATGTAGTTGTTCTACAAGAGTGGAGCCCACATATATATTGGTTGAGCTGTTGAAAGTGTTGGAGAACATAAAGTTTTGCTTTGATACTAGATGCAAAACCATATTAAATATGTAAATATTACATGCTTATTAATGATGTAATGTCACGGAAATGCCAAATTGGGCGTAACTTTTAAATTGTTGGAGAAGACGGGCAAGTAGATTTCTGAATGAACCTGATAATCTGATAAATTTTAAACCTAAATCTTTTCTCCTGAGAATGTATCCTCAAGGTTTTCATTTTATTGAAGGAATGAGATATATGTAATTGCAAGTCTGGCAAAAGGTGAGAAGCAAGCCCACTTTTTTTTCCCTTTTTGTTTGCAAAACTACTTAATGAAAAACAGAAGCCCCTTCTTGGGCACAGTGGAGGCAGGACCGCACACCTGAACAGGATCACTTTAAATCTGCTAAATGTCTCCATGTGAAGGGTAGAACCATGAAACCAAGGAACCAGGAAGAAGCCTTAGACATTATGTAGGTAGAAGGATGGTTAGTTATCTTTTTCTTTAAAATTTTCAGTAAAGAAGACCTCCACAATTTTTTCAGTTGATTTTGCTATGTTATGGCATAATTGCTGTATACTCTGTAAAAGGAATTATAAGTTTAGGTTTTAGTTTTCAGGCAGACTTGCAAATAGCAATAGAATAAGAAACATTAATTGAACTTGGATATATAAAACATCCATATTCAGTTGAAATCTTATTCTCTTTCTTTGTGTGAAATGAACACATCATCATGATTTAACAAGAAGTGGCACAATTAGATCATGTCTTCCTGATCTGTGTTTTTACCTTAAGCAGAAGTTCTTCCTCTGCCCCATTTCTTTTCTCTCACCTGTTTAGCCACTCTGTGTTCTTCTTGTGAACCTCCCGCCTTTTCTCAGGTCTTTCTTATTTTGTTTTTATATTATTACTATTTCAGTGATAATTCACACGTCTGTCATTGTGGCTTGGTACACTATACAACATTCCTTTAAACAGTAAAGTAGCAGTTCCATTAAGAGACAGCCCAGGTACCAAACAAGCATGAGAGACTCCTTCAGCATTAAATTTTAGACTTGGTTAGATGGTTTATTTTTCATTGTATTCTCATTTTGAGTTTACAAATAATTCTTACATTAAATATTATAGTTCAGTGGATGATTTTAGTAATGATCGGATTTCTCTCATAACAAGTCCAACCATTTGCCTAAAGCCTTTTGGGATAATCTAAGAAACGTTCCTTTTTAAATTTAGAATGGCAACAACTAGATGATTTATAATTATGAACATGTTAAGAGTGGGACTGATGGTGTCTTCTGAAGTAGAGTAAGAACAAACAAGCACTAAGCATGGGCATTATAGACTGGGGAGAAGTAATACAGTTTGCATGAATCAGTTCCTCCGGAGTCATTAAGTTGTAGGGGTTGGTCCTTGTCTTAGAGAATAGGAAATACCTTCAAAAGAACGTTGTTAAACGGGATATATCAATTCAAAACACAAAATGAAGTACCAATTCAAGGTTATATAGGGGGAGGGGGCGTGGAAATAACCTGCAGTTAATGTAGGAAGATATCCTTTTTTTGAAGAAAAAGAATTCAGTTAAGTAAAATGAACAGCAGCTTTTTTTTTTCTTTTTGCCATTGTTTACAAAAAATCCATGCACATGTCTAAAATATCTACATTTAACATGTGGGAAATATGACATAGTTTTCCCAATATAAAACTTAGAAGGGTTAGGCTCCAAAATTCTATAAAACAAGTAGAACACTGAAAATTTGCAAAGAAAGCCATGATTATAATAAAGGACTAGAAAAATGAATTATATATTAAAATGTTAATGGGGTCATTTAGGTATAAGTTTGTTGTTTATTATTTATAACCAATGATGAAATGTTATTTTATTGATAATGGGAGCCCAATATTCTCTATCTTCACTAAAGGTTAAACAAGAAGAAATAAGTTTGTGATGATATGTAATAGATTAATATTAAAAAAAAATTTTGGACAGTAAAGGGTGTAAAATATTATTTTTCAGAGATCTTAAACAAAATTCATAATCTTGATCATTAACATTTTTGTGCATGTACTCTGTGAATAAAGTTACATGCAGTCCTTGTGAAATTATAAGAACGCAGAGAAGGAGTTTCTATATTTTAGGGACTTCAAAATTGAGATAGGTAAGAAATTAATCCTCCCAGGATAATAAAAACTTGGCTGTGCTCCAGAAGTACATTGAACTAAAAGTTCCTTCCATCCCTGTGACTGAAGTCCACAGTTTATAATATGTTTAGCATTTAGGATGTTTATACACTGTGTAAAAAGTGGCCATGGACTGGAGAGAAGATGTGCAGTTAAATACAAATGGGGCCCCATTCATTGTGAGAAGCAGTCCATCTACAGTGTCAGTTTAGGGAGCCTTTGAGTAAATGCCTGAATATCAGAACCATGTAAAGAGAGGGTAATCTGGGGGTAGAGTAATAGAAAAGGTCAAATATAGTTAAAAACACTTATTATTTAATTTGAATTTGGTGAGGCACATCTCATCAGCTTATGAAGATTATCCTTAAAAGTAATAGTGACAAAAATATTTGATAACCATAAAGGTTATTGTTGGGAATCCGATGTTGATGGGCACTCTCTGGTATTCTTTTATAAATACTAATATGATACTAAAGAGGAGTTTCCTCTGTGAGGTAACATATAGAACTATGATTTTGGGAGCACTTTTCAAGCATTGATGGAATATTTTACTGATACAAGGTAAAACAAAGTATGATTCCAGAGATTAAAGATCTCTTACATAGGAAGATATATCATTCGTCCTGTATTATTAACACTTAAATATGCGGGGGTGTATTATTTTTCCTTTAAAACTCATGTTTCATAATATATAATGATCGTAGAATAACCATTATGAACTGAAGTCACTTAAAGGATTAAAAATAATTTTGAAGGAAAATACATAAAAGAATTATGGTCAAATTAGTCTTATATACAAATCTAGTGAGAAAGTCTACTTTCTTTGGTTGAAATAGGAGTAGATTTAGTCAAACAAATTTAAATATGTGCTTTATATCGTTGAAAAACCTTTTCCAGAATTATAGAGATGTGTGACTATATAGCATTGAAGTAATGTGAGTATTCAGTCATTCAGAAGAAGGAATGACCAAGGATTTTAAACATTTACGACAATACGGGAATAAGTATAACCAAGGAAATATCTCGAAGTGGCATTTTTGGATAGAATTTAGCATCAGCAAGTAACCAAGATTATTATAGTAACTAAGGAAAAACCAAACGGAAAAGGAGTCAGAGAATTTGTGCTTTTATTGGAGACCTATTTAAGTACAGCTCTGTTTAAAATTCTCAGTCCCGGACTTGTTTGTGGCACCTCCAACAGTAGTACTGAATGGAACTAAATCAAGTTTCGGATGCCGTTCGCTGTTAGGGACCTTCACTTTGGCTAATGATCACATTAGCTACTGATGGAGGAGGGTTGACTGGGTGACCCTGTTTAATCATGCAGATTAAATAGATGTTGCCTTGTTACAGTCTTAACTACAGTGAGATAGAGAACTGAGGCCACCTACCAACTGCCTATAAACATCCTTCTGTAGTTTCTACAAGAATTCAGTTATTTTTTCAACCCTTTTGTGATCTTGCTAAATTATCTTCCTTCACGTAGTCTACTGTCCAGTTATAGAATGTCATTTTTGATTCACGTTTGAATCTATTTCAGTTTGTTCATGTTCCTGTTAAGTGAACGAGAAACTCCAAATTGAACACAGAACTCTAATAAAGACTTAATTGGATTAAATTATAAAACATGGCTTAGAAATTAATCAGGTCTCTTAAGATCAAATCAAGGTTACATTATATAATGCTTAGAAATCATGATTCATCAGTGAGGGTGAGAGTGGGGGTGGAGAGAAACTGTGCTTTATCTGGGCAAGGACCGTCTCTCCCAGTACCTCTCCTTCAGCACCAAATTTATTTAAAAAACAAAACTGCAGTTAACATTGCCAAGTGTAATTAAGTGACAGCAAAAAAGACTCATCTTTCCATGTTTTTCTCCTGAAATAAGGCTATATTCATCCAAACTGTAAGGACTTCTGTGATTGCATTTCTGACCTCTGTAGTTAGAATGACTTTGACTTGTCACATGTATTAATAATCTTATGTGTTGTTATAGATTTGATTCATGTAGATCATTACCCCTACCTCTTTTTTCCTGAAATAATATTTGTATATGTCTGTGTTCATGTGTGTGTCTTGTTTTCTGACTCTGAAATGTTTATTATGCCTTAGACAGTTACCCCAGGGAGATTATGTAAAAAAGCCTGGAGATGGTGACTCTTTTTATAGCGACATTCCTCCTGGAGTCAGCACAAACTCAGCATCTAGTTCTAAGAAGAGGTCTGCTTTTCTGTCGCATTTTCAGATTTCTACCTGTTCCATCACACATTATTCCATTAGTCAGAACATTTCATTATTTTGCAGCAGGTTTGATTACTTCTTCCTTCTTTCTTGAATGTTAACAAATAGTATCCTTTGTTCTTTGATTACTCTGCTTCAAAATGCCATATGCTCAGAACCACTGTTATACAAATCAGGCCACAAAATCCAAATGAAAAAAGCAGCAACCCTAAATCTGTATACAAACCCCAGGTGTTTCAGTCTTAATCTTCTAATGGCTTAAGAAAACTATACATAGTACTTAATAATATTTTAAATGGTGAGCTTTATGTCATGTTTGGTAGTCAAAGAAAAAGGTTACTGTCATGCTTCAGTAAAAGCAGTTTTTAAAATTAACTGGTAATATAAATGCTGTGTTGAATATTTTTTAATTTTAAATATAGCAAAGCTAAGCTCGCTGTGAAACAAAGATCGCTTCTCTGTGAATCATATATTTGGATATTATGATTTTGTCTTTTATTCCTGGGATGATTATTTCTAGACTTGATAACTTACAGCTTGGTTGCCAAATTAATTCATGTATGTTTAATATTTGCCTGAGTTTTTTAATAGTACAGATGGGGTTAATATAATTTATATGTCTTAAACTTTGATGCTATATTCTTGCTCTAGGATCTTAAGGTATATAAGACCATTTAAAATTCTGCATGCTTTATAATTGCTTAATAACATAAACAGAATAAATAAATAGTTGGAATGTTATAGAAAATGAGACCTATATTCACATTGAAGGGAGCTAAAATATTCCTGTGGAATAGTTTCTTTTAAGGTTGGCTATAGGGGTATAATGAATAAGAAAAAATATTTGGTAGCCCCGTGCGTTGCTTTGGTCACATTAGTTACTTTGTAGACTGAAGGGGAAATTGCTGGTTTATTGAGAAGAAACATTATCCCTTCTGGAATTCTGCACAGAGTGAATCATCTGTAAAAATTCACAATGAATCTCACTCTTTGTAAGCATTAACCAGAAAGGAAAATTGAAGGAATTTTCTGGGAGAAAACCTGTGAGATCTGGGAACATTATTTTATATAGAACTGTCATAAACATGAAGGATTGTTTTCACTTGGATAACATAGCTAGAAATATTAGTTTTGTACAAGGAGTACAACTCTATAGAAGACAAAATTTTATTCTTTTAAATAATTGGGGCCTTTTGGCTAAGAGAATAAGAAAACTAAGGAGAACTACTTAAATTTTCTCAGTATATATATTTTTCCTGGACAAATATTTAATTTTAAATTAAATAACATGGTAAATAAGTGGAACAATCAATGAGTATCCTTTTGTACAAAATATGGGTCATTCTATAATTAGCAAGCCATATTGAAAAAGCCCCAACCTAGGAATTTAATCTTGTAATAATCGCTGAGTTCCATTTATTTTCATTCATCAGTAGAAGATTCCTTTTAAAAAGGCATTTTTAGCAATTAACCAGAATGATAATGTGGTAAAGATTTTAAGTACTATATAGTGCTATTTTCTAAAGTACCTCAAAAATAGTTTAAAATATTTGAATAATACCCAGATTTTAGCAAAATTTTAAGCAGTTAAAAATTGTATATGTAGTTTGTCAAAATACGTTTCTTGCTTGGTTTAAGGTAGGTGTAAAAATTTTGCTGCTTGTACACTATTCATTTAAAGATGGTGGGATACAAATAGTAGAAAGGCTTAATGGTACATGGGCTTTGTGAGAGACACTTCCATGATAACTATCTGATACAGTTTAGTTATTGGGCAGTTAACCAACATATAGTATGGTTTTTTGTACCATATTTGTGGAGAAAATGCGAATTTTCAGAAAATAATTTTATTGTTTTTAAGAAAACCTAAATACCACTTTCATAAAGGTTGACCAGGTTTAGTTGAACAAATCTTAATGAAATCTCTTAGAAGTCCATGTTCTCATGATATTTGAATGGAAACCATTGCTTTACAATTAAGAAACATCTATGGTGGGACCCCATTATAACTCTGCTGCTGGGGTTTTATAAACCGAAATGTATAGGGAATTTGCTATATGTGGTTGCTGTGTTCTGGGAAATGTCAATTGGCTGCAGTAATAACCTGGTTCTTTTAAATTACAATGTACTGTAATGGGGTTCCATTGTATTTGACTTTTCTTAAATTGAATGTTGTGTAACTCTGCCTTCTTCATGAAGACATTTATGTTCTCTTCATTCTTTCATTTCAGATTTTTTTTTAATTTAACACACAGTAATACTTAGAAGTTTTGCTTATTTATTTCAAAACATTAATTTGAATACACTTTTGAACACTTTATAAATATTTTTAATTTCAGGTCAAATGGACTTTCTCATTCCTGGAGTGAAAGAATTCCCGACACAAAGCATATTTCAGACATCTGTGAAAATGGGCGACCTCGAAGTAACTCTTGGCAAGGTATAGGCAGCGTTCAGAATCTACCTGTCAGCGTAACCCAAGTTCTGCGTTCTGTGACTGGTTATAATCCTGCAAGCTCTTCAGCTCTTCTCCCAACAGAGAGAAGGATGTTTAGAATGAGGGTCCAGTTCTTTTTTCTTGGATGGGAAATGATGGTATTCAGTAGCATCCGTACACTAGACACATTGAGAAGGCTATACAGTGCTACAAACCCCCATATTTTAGGGTGTGCTAGTTGGGAATTGAAGCCCTGGTGGTGCAGTGGTTAAGCATTTGGCTACTAATCAAAAGGTCAGCAGTTCGAAACCACCAGCCACTCCTTGGAAACCCTATGGGGCAGTTCTACTTTGTCCTATAGGGTCACTATGAGTTGGAATTGACTCCATGACAATGGGGTTTTTTTTTAAGTTGTGAATTACATGCACTTGAAATCTTATGTTATTAGACTAGACTTAGGGCAATTGTTTATTTATATGCACATCTTGCTATAAACCATCTTTTTCAGGTAACCTGGGAGGCAACAGAAAGAAAATCAGAGGCAAAAGATTTAGACCTCGGTCTAATTCAACTGAGTAAGTCTGAACCTCTAATGGTAAAAGGCACTCCAAGATCCTATGCAATTAGTGTGAAAAGTTAATTAACCAGATAGTCAAAGAACCGTAAACCAAGCCTCTGGTGTTAGTTTTGTCTTTTCAATTCCTTTTTGCCCTTTTAAAATTAACCATGACTTTTTTCTTTTACATAGGCATCTCCGTGACTGTACCCATACCAATGTTCACTGATAGTGGGGGTCTCACCCTCGCTGCAGGCTTTGTCCTCCAGTAACCTGCCATTGCGGTGTCTTGGTTCTGTGTTTGAAGGGAATTTTGATAACATCCCTTTCTTCTCATCACCTGGATGGGGGGGTGGGGGCGGGGGTCCAGCCATTTCAGAAGGATCACCCTTCCTCTCCTTAGTACCCACGCAGCCTGGAAGCATCATGACCTGAAACCACTGCTCAGAGGTCTTCATGGCTGCAATCTAAGCATTCTCTCAGACTAATGAAACAAGTTTCCCTTTTAAATTTTCCTTCTGAGAACATTTAAAAGGGCACTTACCTCAACTTAAGGGAGTAATTGTCACTAAATGCAGCATGATCCGTTTTCAATGTTAGCTACATGGTTTTAGTGGGGGGTGGGAGTCAGAAGGTACATTTAAAGTAGTTTGCAATGAAGTAATCACCATGCACTTTTTTTGTTTATTTCTCCACTTAAGAAGTAGGAGCATAAGGAAGCTTCATCAAACTGTTACCTGTCTTCATGGAATAAAGTATACCCTTAGTATCCTTCTGGACTGACCTTGCCACCTGTTTAAATTACCTGTACTGTTTGACCCATCTAAAAGAAATTTAATTATTTCTCACTGCAGTGGTAGTTATTATTCCCAGGACCTCTATCGGTTCTTCATGCCTTAATGCTTTAAAAATCTGAATAGCAGGTGTTTGTTAACTGCTTGTCAGAAACTTATGTTAGCTTTTCCATCATATACCCTGCCTTTTTCAGTCCAGGAATAGTAACATTGCCCTGAAATTTGGACCTTCCAGCTGAATGGTATTGTCTTGTAAGTGGCTTGTCAAAGTTTACTAGAGGATACTTTCCATTACAAACAGTAGACAATTTTAAGTGATACAATTGCATGGTCCAGAGTGGCATCATAAAACTTCATCATAAATAACTAATCTATTAGAGTTTATCTTACACATTCCCAGAACGCTTGGATGCTTTAGGTCTCATTATTGATAAACTCTTCTTGGAATGTTTTTTTGGTTTGTTTTGCATGAGGTCACTTGATAAGAGCCCCTTAGCTTATCTCCACTGCTCACAAGAGTACAGATAAAACTACAGAATATTCTTTAGAACTTCATTTGTATATTATTTAGTTTCCTAACAGTATTTCCTATAACAAGGCTTTGAAAACTCCTAAGTGAAAAAGATTTAAAAAAAAAAATTCAATATTATGTTAACGCTATAAGTTTAGGACCCAGAGAAGTCTTCGTGTTTAGCAAGATTCATACGATATTTTCTAGAGTGATCACTTACTTTCTTTATTTTTGTTTAAAATCCCTACTCATATCATGTGGTTAAAAATTATCTGATGACACAGATAGCCCCTGTGAAATCTTTCCTGTGGGATAATGAAGTTATTATATTTAAGAAGACATCAAATGAAATCATTTTTGTGAGAGAGAAGCATGAGGACTCCCTCAGATTTTTCAGACTTTTCAGATTGGGTTACATGACCCATGTATTAAATGGAGCCCAGTTTGTGAAGCTGACCACTGTTCTCACATACCCTGATTGTATGCGAACTGTTTCTCTCTCTATTCTTATAAAGATTCCTAATACACAGTTTATCGAGAATTATGTTGACAGTTTTTTTTAATACTTTCCATAGTTGTTAAATAATCCCTTTTGTTTCTGATATAACAATATCATTTGTGTGACTTTAAGAGGAGCAGAATGACCACAGACAAACATAACTTTTTTACCTTTTAGATTAAGTGGTATTATCAAGTCCATTATTTCAGCATTCCCTTTAGTATCTCATCATCCCAAAGGATGATGAAAAACAGGGACATGAATTAAAACATGCACCACAAATGCATGCTCTAATTAACAAACTAAGATGTCCTTTGTGTACTGTACTGTTTTTCCACTCAAACCTTTTGCATCTTCCTCACTGTTGTACATAATGTAAAAAAAAAAAAAAAATTGGCTCAGACTTTGTATTATATATTGTGTTTTTACAGGAGGGAGCCCCAAGCATCTGAGCCTGGGCACTCCCTCGCCCAGACAGTCCCATCCCAAGGCATAAGCCCAGGGGGCTCTGACAGCCCCCAGACAGGGAGTCTGGATCACAGGTCAGTCTCCACCTGCCCCTTCATTCTGGGCTGCCACTTAATCTCCTTCCAAGTCCCTTCCTTGGCTGAGCACAGGGTCATTTGATCTCTGACTGAGCCCCATGTCTGCTCGGAGGTGCTCCCGGTCCAGCCAGCACCAGCTATTCTTCCTCCGCCTTTTCATCCTGGAGAACAGAAGGGCTCTCCTACCCCGTCTAATGCATTTTTTTTGCATGTTGCGCTACAAGCCAAGTCAAGCCACACAGGCAGGTTTAGAGCAATTTGATATGCTCCATCACTCCAGCCACCTAGAGATGTTAGGAAGCCCACTGGGAATACACTTTCACAGACAGATCCCCAGAAGGAGCAAACATCTGAGAGCTCTCTTCATCGATCACAGCTTTCTGAAATGCTCCCTGAAACAGGCAAAGCTACATCAAGTACAAATCAAGCCATTGTGGTGTGAGTTTCATGGAACAGCCATGCACCAGTCCTCTGGGCTTCTAAGATTGTCAGTGAAAGGAACAAATGTCTCCTGGAAGTGGCCATCTGCCTGTGGGTGACTCAGTTTGCTGTGTGGCTATGTTTCACCTGACTACAGCTGCATGGGCTTTTCTATGGTTTTCCCCAGGCCAGAGCATTCACCAGCCTTCATCTGTGGCTGCACTTGCTTTTTGACTTTTCCTTTTGGTTCATAGTCTCAGTGGAGATCATTATGCAAGTTTTAATTGACTGTCTCCGTGAAAAGCACAAGTTGGCAATTGTGGCTAAAGGCAAAACTAGTGTGAATTGGTCCTGAGTCAGGAGACATTGTTTTAGCAAAAATGATCTTATAAATATAAAAAGCAACAAAACCTTTCTCTTAGGAAGTAACTTCATGATGTTATTCTGTGGAGGATGTTAGTTATAGCTAATAGTAAGGGAAAGGACTATGAAAAAAGAAATCTGATTTTTAAATATATATATATATATAAAACTATTTAAATGTGTCTTGGTTTAAATGTATTTACAAACAGCTTGAACACTAAGTAAGGAGGAAAGAAGCAAACTTTAACCAAAAATAGTGTGTTTTATATTTTTCCTGATTTGTTTCCAAACACCTTAAAATTTTATAGAGCTTAGATCTTCATTGTCTGTAGTATCTCTAGAAGACCCTTTAAAAATGAGGAAACAGAGTAAAACCTCCAAAGTCTTCCAATATTGAATCTATATTCTTCAACAAAGGCAAATTCTAAAGGGATGTGGTTTTGTTTGGCTCCCAGAATAAAAATTAAAGGAAACGCTCTGAAAAGAAACAAACTTGTACCTCAAATTTTACTACCTTTTACATTTTTCTTTGCACAGTAATTCTAATCCAGACTCTGCCAGATCCATTAAGGAGATGCTAATAAGGTCATTCTTATCCTCTGGCAGTCACTCATGTTCAGACACTTGGAAAGCAACTTCTGAGAGCCATTTCCTAATGGAAACGTGAACGCGTTAGTTTGGAGTGCACAAAGAGGAGGAAGGAACATTGCAGTTGCAAGTAAATGCCTAAACCCAGCTTCAACATCATGGAGGCCTATTTGGACCACATTTATTGTGTGTTGGGCTCCAGGATTAGATGAGTGGGTCACTTTCTGCTCTTCACAGAGTGGACTGGAGAGTGCTTTCTTATTAACTCCAGCTTGGGGTCTGCTCTAACGAGTAAGACAGAGGCCCCATTAACATCCTTCCTTTCATATTGGAGAGAGATCTTAGCTCCTTTTTATTGTTCTTGGGGTGTTATATGCCCAAACACTAAGGTGGAATTGCAGCCATCTGAATATTCTCAAAAAGCACCATTATCATTTGAAAACCAAGAAGCCAAATGAGAGATGGCCTGGAAAAAGCCACTTTGGGGGTGGGTGAATTAGACCGCTGACCGTGCTATGATTGAAAGGGAGCTTCTGATTCACCTTGGGAAGCCACTGGAAAATGCTTTCCTTGAAATGTTGAATACATTCTAGAATGCCTTGAGCCTTGTTGTAGCTGAGATTATTCTCATGTCCTTGTAGAGACTGCCTCATAGTCATCCAGCATCCATCCTGGTTTATTTGCCATAGTCACTTGCATTTGGAGGGTGAAGACATCCTTGTTAAGCTTATGCTGTATATTTTCAGATTTTCTATCTTGTTCTGCTTTCTTTGTTCCTTCCATTGCTTTCTGCAGGTATTTAAACCCATGGTTCAAAAGAGACTATAATGTAGCTAAGTGGGTAGAAGATGTGAATAAAAACACTGAAGGACCATACTTTAGGTATTTTATAAATTAATTTTTTATCCTTTTTAAACTCTCCCAGCACATAGAAATACTGTACGTGTGACTGGATCTCTATCTTGTATCTCCCAATACAAGTTCCTATAGGTGGTAAAGGGTCCTTGTTTATTTGCTGCCTATTGATCTCTGTTTTTGGCTTCATGAGCAAGTCTAGTCCTTTTCTGAATGTTTCAAATGAAGCCATTTGAAAGGGTTGCCATACAGTGCATGTCCCTACCACCATCTTGAGCTTTTTAGTAGCTTTCTTTTCATTTGATGCTATGTAGTGTTCTATGGGCATGGAACATACTTTCCACTAATAAAGAACCACTATTAACCTGAAAAATTTAATTTCTAGAATCCAGTGGCTTCATAATGCATTTTTCCTACTTCCCACCTAAGAGTGCATACTGCATATGAAAACTCAAGGAAAAACATGAAAAGAAACTAAGTGAAATGTAATGGAATTTTACTTTGAGTAAAAACAATGACTTGATCTAACTTGAAGATTACTGAAATAATATTAGCCACACGAGAATGTGTGGCATGAGTTCAGATTTTATATGCTCAGTACAGACATTTGGTACCAGAGAAGGGCTGTGCTGAGCAGAGTTTTACAGATTTTAAAGAAGTATCTAAGTAAGTGTTTATGCTGTTGAGAATGTTTTTGTATAATACTTCAAATAGAACAGGATGCAAATCAGAAGCGTGTTCTTGACTCACAAAAAGTGCGGATTATCCTTACGTTTTAGAATCTAATTTACTCAGTTTACTGCAACTCTGTATAACATTAGCGGCTAGAGAGTATTTCCAAGAGCTCTTAATGGCATTTTTTTCACTCTTAATAATCTCAAAGTGATTTCCTAGAGGTAAATATCCACTTTATATCTGACTGCTTTGTAGATAACTAATGTAAAGAAGAAATGTAGCCTCAATTACTACTTCTTCTGAACACAATTTAATAATAAGATTTCAGATTACTTATTGCCATGACTTAGGTCATCATTTAACAGATATCAAAATATGTATGTGTATTTAACTCTCAGCACCCATACAAGGTGGACTTTCTCTTCCAGTGTACCATGTAGTTTAGTCATTTATAGTTTGAGAAAATGATTAGACCTCCCTGCATTTTAATTTGATTCATAACATTTGCATATACCCTAAGGAAAGCATAAAGCCTGCCTGCTTACAAAATTACACCCTGCTTTTATACCCCATCTTTCCCTCCTGCCCTGTCCCTCTGCTTATCCCACTTGCCCACAATGAACCTCATACACATATACTCACATTCAAACATCCCACCCTCACCTGTAGCTCCCAAGATGGCCAACGTCTGGAAGACAGGTAAGGTGATTTTGAATGTTCTTTGGAATCTTGGCTTACCCGCAGTCCTATTTCTCCTTTCTATTTTCCTCAGGCTTGTGGGCAGATTGTAATTTGTACCAGTCATGGAACCAAAATAGAATGACATTAGTCTCAATCATGTGGGCTAGGGTTTATATTCTTGAAGAGAGTTGATGCTTTTGTGGCAATGATTTGTGAAATGGTACCCCGGAAGAGTTGATTCACCTCCCTGGGTGAGCTGAGTAGTTTATGTGGCTCCCAGACAGGAGTTCACATTTCTTAAGATCACCCAGGTCTGCCCAGAAGCTGCATGACTAAACGCAGTTTGGATGGGGAAATGCTTTAGCACCCCCCATTGCACGTGCAGAGCTGCAAGGGCAATTTTAGAGGGCTCTTTTATCTCTTCTTTTAATATAAGATGTTGGTTTCTACACTATAGTGGATAATCACATTAAGAATTATTTTTTAAAAAGACATATTTATGTTTTAAGTTTGGATAAAGTTGTAGTAGAGGGTTATAATTTAACTTCTTTTGGATAACAAAGGCTATACTGGTAAGACTTGAAAATCGGCTATTTCCATGACAGTGGTAAATAACTGAACTTTTAAAACGATTCTAATGCAACAGAGAGGATTTTATTTACTTGCCATCTAGGCCAGGCCTCATATGGGAGGCCCAGAGTGTGTCCACATCTTGGCTTATGCTTTACCAATCCTGTGCTTAAGCTCAGACCTGTTTCATCTGCTGCCAGGTCATTCAGGATTACCTCTCCTACCAAAATCGTCAATGGGGGTAAAGGTCACCTTATTCATCACATATGTGGTATTGAGTTTGTGGCTTCCTTATCAAAATGCAGTGGAGACTTTGTGACTGCAGCAAACTGGTCCAAAAGACAGCCCAACACTTAAAGTATAGTATTCATATCACTGCAAAGAGCAAAGCAAATGCCAAAAGATTTTGAGTGATCAGAGCACCTCAGTTGTGCACCTTACCCTTTCTCATATGAAGTGGTTGCCCAAATTGTCATCGGCATGTAATCTGAGCAGGTGAGGTGAGGACAAGAGCATTATCTCACCACATTGAGATCCTGGGTGCTGTTATGTTAGTGACAGTGCTTTACAAGCTCTCAGAAGGTATCCTTACTCCTGAGTATTATCCAGTTGATTACTCATTACATCACTTTGAGTCTATTTCCATTGTCCCATGGAAAATGCAGTCTCTGAAAAGGAACTAATAATAACTATCATGTATTGAGTGCCAATTGTGTACTTTTATTTCTCATGAGGTATAGGTATTCTTATTCCCTTTTTATGGATGGAGGAAATTAAGGCACAAAGAAGTTAGATGATTTTCCCAAGGTAGCACATTAGTAAGCATCAGAACCAGAATTAGAGCCTGGGCTCTCTGAATCCGAAATCTGTTCCGTTTAGGTTTTACTGTAATTACTTAAAAACAGCAGTGTGGATAGTGACTACTTAATTCCTATCCTAGGACATTTTGTAAACCCTTTTGTATTGGGCTACTATAAAATTCTCATATGAACACAGCCAGTTGAATAAAGGTTGGACCTTTGTCCCTCACGTGTGACTGGCTCTGTGAGTGGGGGAAGAACTGATTTGAAATTTTTCTCATAGGTGTATCTATAATAGGTGAGCCCAAGAAGTGTGATGTAGCCTCAAGATACAACACAGTTCTTTGACACATGGATATACCTTCATTGTGTAATTCCAGTATGGTACCCACTATGGTTATTGTAAGGAACCCTGGTGGTGCAGTGGTTAAGTGCTCAGCTGCTAACCAAAAGGTTGGCAGTTTGAACTCAGCAGCTGCTCTGCAGCAGAAAAGACCTGGCGATCTGCTCGCATAAAGATTACAGCCTAGGAAACCCTATGGGACTGTTCTACTCTGTTATATTGAGTCACTACGAGTCAGAATCGACTCGAGGACATACAACAACAACATGGTTATTGTGGTTTGTGAAAATGTAATAATGATAATAGTTAACATCTGGTTTTAAGTGAAAATCAGAATGGGACCTACCAGGCAAGTAACTAGGGTCAGAAAAGAGCCTGGAGAAGGATCTGAAGAAATGTCTTCCTTAGATATTTGTGAGAAATTTGGAGTTTGTTTTTATTTTCCTTAAACTGATTTGCCCTGCCTTGTTCTCTACTCTCGTTCTGACTCCTACTCTGGTGCTCCCCATCCCACAGATCATGACCTTTATGCTGTCACACACAACCCGACCTCCAGGGCCTGTTGCACCTTACCCCTACTAAAACTGTCCTGCTTGACTTCTGTTCCCCTCAAGGTTCAAAGTGTCAATTAACTAGTGTGTTAACAAGAGATGTAGCGTATGTGCAGTTTCTCTGTGGTTCTGGAGAGTACCTCCTGTTTCTATTTTAACTCATTATTGGCTTTGGCCATGAGAAGATATTTGAGGGGAAGACTGGATTTTCTGCATACCTTATTGCAATGGCCTTGTATGTGTTCAAGGGTGGTCATTTGGACCAGTGACCAAGTGAATGACTGGCATGACTGAGGCTGTAAGCCAACAGCTCATGCTTATGGACACACATACTGCAGGAAATTAAAAAGAAGACTAGTTTTTCATTATCGCCTAATGTAAACAAGACTTGGTTATTTGTGAACCTGAACTTGAACTTGGACATTTTATCAGTAGTGATTTAGGCTAAAAATCTGAAACCAAGTTAATATCCCTTATTATAGGAAGATGTGTTTAAATGTCTGAAAGTTTGTCCTCATTTTACACACATTGAATTTATTTCCTAAAAATCATAGTTCTATTTGAAATGTTTTCCTAAAATTAAAGGAGAAAATTTAATTGCTGAATTACAAAAATATGCAGTGACACCCTATTAGCACTTCGGAGGATTTGAAGTACTGATATTCTTGGTTACTCCTATCTGCTCAGCTGTGGTGAGCATTAAAATAAATAGCTGCTATGTTCTAGCAGTTCACAGTAAGGCGTTGTCTTGGCAGTTTATCAAAAATAGAGGAAATGTTAGAGGAGTTACAGATTAAAAGTGAGCTGAACCACTCTTGATACTTAAAAGTGAGCAAGAATGTTCACTTGCATCTTAAGGTTTGTAGGAAAAATGGTTTCCAAACATTAACTTGAATTCAGTGTCCATAAAATGGAAACTGAGTTGAAAACTACAGCAGAACCAGAGCAAAGGATGTATAGATAGGGACCAAGATTTAAAAGGGAGGAAAAAGGACATCTTTATGCTGTTGAATACAGTACTGGCAGCAGATCATCCTCTAACCACTGCTACCCCTGCCATTCCCAGGCTGGGTCAGTCACCCACAGCTGATGAGGTACATCCTACTGAAATAAGTTCTTACAATGCAGCAGTGTAGCCAGTTCAGTGATGTGGGTCATTACCACCTTGCACCAGGAATTGAGTTCATGCATGTGTAGTGGTGACATTTGTGAATAGGGTAGCTACTGCAGACTTATCACCTCTGTTTTCCATTGATATGTTGTAAGTTGATGTTTTTCACTCTCAGCTGTTTTTTTTTTCCCCCACTTTAAAAGCAAGTTAGCACCAAAGTATGGGCTTTCCCAGTGTACCCAGCTTAGTCACATATTACCACTGCATTTGTAAAATCAAACAAATACAGCATAATACATCAACAGCTTATCCAGACCTTTCATATGGAATTATCTCCATGATAAAGAGAACCCATGTTCTCAAAACAGGAAGGGTTTTTGTTGTTGTTTTGTTTAGTTTTAGTAAAATTCCAGTCAATAAAGTATAGCCACCTTATTGACATGACAAGTGTATGTAACACTGGTATGGCTTAGAATCCTCCCCTGTAGAGAAATGCTGATTGTAGGGACTAATCAGACCATTTTTGTATGTTCTCATCAGACTCTGTTTGGCTTAAACTCTGCACTTTTACTGCGTGCATGTTTACTAATTTCTTATTAACTCCCCTGTATTGCATTTGTTCTTTCACAACTAACACACTGGCGTTTGAATGCATGAGTTTGGTGTAAACTGGTGTGCAACTTGGCAACTAATAACTATATTGTTTTGTATTTTAAGATCTTAAGATGTAATTGGAATTACTGTACTTAAAAAATTACATTAAGTGGTAAAAATAAGTCAGTATATACATATGTTTTGCACTTAATTTACCATTATGAGCTCTTAGGATATTTTATCTCTTTTCCATTTTACCTTTTTATCTGTTCTATAGGAAACTTCGTTATTGGCTTTTTAGTTGAAAAGTATGATTCTATGTACTAACATCTAAGTAATCCATTCCAATTATGAAGTTAGGAAGATAAAACTACAGCATTCCGGTGTTGTGAATGACAAAGTAACTTCCCCGTAGTTAAGCCTGTGCAGTAGTGGCCTATGAAAGTAGAACTCGGAGGATTTGATTTGAACTTATTTTTCAGATATTTGAAATTGAGATTAGGCAATCAAATGATATTTATTTCATATGTTCTCAACATCTCAGGACTTTATCTCCTGCGAAGTCTCCTTCTTCATCAACTGGATCTATTGCCTCCAGCAGAAAATACCCTTACCCAATGCCTCCACTTCCCGATGAAGAGAAGAAAGTGAACCGACAAAGTGCCAGGGTAGGTGGAAGCTTCTTCCATATGCTTACATCCTCAGTCATTAGCATTTATCTTAGGAGCGAATATTTTAAAAGAGAAAGCCATTTTTCTTTCTTAATTAAAAAAAATCAAAAAAATTAACTTTGAAAGTAAGATTTTTGGAAGTTTTTTGGTTCAGACTTCTATTTGTAAATTATCTATGTTGATAAATTCTAAAGATATTTGGTGTGTATTAACAAATAAGTTTATTTATATCTTTTATTATTCATTGTAGATAATATATTGCAACTTGGAATAGAAAAAACAGAATTTATTTTGCCTTATCAATTTTTAAACATACCTGGAAGTGATAGATTTAAGTAAATTAGCCTTGTTTATATCCCAGATTACTTACTCATGCCTTCCACTGGCTAATAGCACCCAATAGGATTTTAGGAATGGGAGCCTGTGACAGAAAATCAGACCATGTCTTGGGGATAAGGATGGAATTTGAATACTAGGAAAAGGGGCCCTGCAGTAATATTAGAAGAATATGGCAAAACGTGTGGCTCAGTTTTGCTGCTTTTTACATTTTAAAAAGTGCCAAATTTAAAAACATATGGAGGAACTGATTATTTTTATAAAAAAGTGAATCACCTGAAGTTTCCTTTAAATAGTAAGTCCCATTTTATATTGTAATCATGGTTCCATTCTGTCTCACAGCATTCCCAGAACACATCCATTATGTGAAATTTGAGATGGAGTGTTCAGAGGGGCAGACCAGCCCTTAGAGGCTTAAGTGGAAGATATAACCAAAGAATAATGGCCTTTATTGATGTCTAGGCTCTGCTGTGGTCACTTATACAATAATGTTGATCTTCTCAGAAGTAATGTTGCCCAAAAAAAAAAGTTAGAACTTTAAAAGCCTGGGCAGATTTGTTTGTCTGTGGATCCTGGTTCTTTTACCTTTTGGTTTTGAAAGATATTTCAAAGTCTCTGATCCTGAACCTAATTTATGGAGTGCAAAGTAAAAACATATCATTCAAATTTTAACTCACTCAACTCAAAGCCACTAAGAAAATACTAATCATTGATTAGCTCACATGATCAAAAGAAGACAATCGGTGTTTTTGTTAATCATAAAAAATTATCTTTACATGCTAATATGGGAAATGGTAAAAGACAGAGAAGAAGAAGAAGACTCAGATTCTCAGTACACAGTTTTCTGGCCTTAAAAAAGATTTGTTATAGGCATCTGGTTGTTCATCATACGAGTATGTGATAATGAAACCTAAGGCTCATGTCTTTCTTCTCTTCCTGGGGAATTGTCCAGGTACAACACTTCACTGTTTTTTCCACTAAATTGTTTACATTGCTCTCTTATTCCATCAAGTTGGGGACACTGTCTCCGCTGTTGTCATGCAATGGTTCAGGTTGTTTGAGACCTTCTCATATGACAGACCTGTGAAATTGGCACCTTCCTAGAAGAAATGACTGGCCCATAGCCCCTTCCTTCGGTGGAACAGAATGACTGATAAGACTGTGACCACTGGTGTAGTTGTATGAAAGGCCTGATTGGTTCTATCCCTTGTGGCACATCCACATGAGCCTCTGTGGTGAAGTCTTCCAGAATGGATGGCCCCTGTCTCTGGGCTGTCTTTGTGGGCTGGGAAGATAATCAGTCAAGCAGACCTTCCTGTCACCTTCCCCCTCCCCGCCCGTTGCAGCCACACAGACATGCCAAAGTTAGGTCTGTTTCAAGTGGTGGCTTAGAATTCTTTGCTCCTCTTTCATCACTTGTAATGACTCAGGATTCCCCTGTGTCATTCATTTGTTCCTTTCTTCTTTCTGTAAGCTGCCACTTATTATTTAATCTTCATAACCATACGTGAGGAAACTGAGGCTCTCAGAGGCCAAAGCCTAAACTTTTCATTCCTCCATCACATAATCCAAACTTAAGTTCAGATGCCACAGATACCCTGCAAGTCCCTCCTTAACCGTTTCTTTTCATTCCTCTCCACCAACAGGTATCATCAGCTCACAATGACCCTCTCATTGTGAGGGATCACACTGAGAGATCCTTTTGGTTCCCAAAGGGCATAGGGTAGGGAGGTATCTTTTGATGAAAAAAGATATATCAATATATACACATGTATACAAATATATATTTATGTAAATATAAAGCAGACCTAAGGTAGATGGCAAAGGTGGCTTTACCATAATCCTTACTGAGTAGCCAACCTGGGTATTCAGAACAAGATTTCTGTGAAGATTTGAGAGAACATATTAATGGAGCCTATGTAGAAACATCCGCTTAGTCTCTTGGCTTTTTCTCCTTTTTCTTTCCCAGAATCTCATTAGGTAACACAATGACATCCCCCAAATGTCCAGTGAAAATGGAATTTGGATGGAAATTGGATACAATCTAAGTCACACTGGTTTCAGGCTGTCTTTGTTCGTGTTTATAATAATTATATGAAAATCATGTTTTCTGGGAACACATTTTATAATCGTTTTTTTTTTAATTGGTCTTCTTTGATGTACTCAATTGGATTCATATTTAATTGTGCCAAAGTTGCTTTCAGTCCATTAAGGCAATTACTGAACGTTATAGAAGATGGATCTCAACAGGGCCAGTGTAAAGAGCTGGTGATAGAGGCAAGGAGAGGTTAAGGGTGAGGGAATTCAGGAAGTGACATCATGCCCTGAATGTACCATTTTACTCTGATAACATCAACTCCTGAGAGGGAGTACTTTTCTAGGAGGTGGGAATGGAATTGGAGACTGGATAGCCCACTCAGATTTTTAAATGGGTGATGATGGTATTGATGGAATCACATTTCCCTGAAGTCAGTGTTTCTCAGCCTTGACGGTACCTGGGAATCGTCTAGAGAACTTTTAAACTATGCTGATGCCTGTGTCTCACCCAGAGAGATTTTGATTTACTTGGTTTGGTGTGCAGCCTGGGCAGTGAAACTTTTAAAATCTCCCCAGATCATTGTAATGTGCAGCTGGAGTTGAGAACCACGGCACTAGCTGGCTGTATCAGTATTCTGTGGGAAAAGAAAGACATGTAGTTTAATATTTCAGATTTGTTTTATACACAATGTTTATTCAAAATTTCAAGTAAATTAAATAAGGATGTGAGATTTTTTGTATCAAAAGGAAGCAGTTGTTAAAAAGGTTGAGACAGAGGTTTAGAGAAAAGAGACAGCTAAAAATTAGAGTGTTTATTTTATCCATTTATTAGACTTGGCAAGAGTGTGTTTCCACAATCATATGTATGGGTGGAACCAACTAAATGTTTTTCATCTTCATGATTTAGAATATATGTTTCCTGTTTTCACAATGTATATTTTTGCCCTTCTCTGTTGTGCAGCTATGGGAGACATCCATTTAAGATCAACTGTTTACATGTGACACATCGAAACTGTTCACTTCAACTTTTATAGAAACCCAACCTCAAGGAATCACTGCAAATCTATCTGCTCTTCAGACAACCCGAAGACCCTTAGATGCCACGGAGGAGAGGAAGCTGATTACCACATCTGGATATCATTTTCTTTTTGTCATTGGCTTAGGATTTAACTGAACCATGAAAAGAACCACTGAAATGTTACACTATCACATGGAACAGTAAAGGGACTGGTATGTTAATGGATAATCCGCATGACAGATATATGTAGAACTATCACTATCTTACATGACCCAAATGTAGCAAGTTTCCTAAGGGACTATAGTGAATTCATAACTTGACATTCTGAAGCACATTCTCATTGTAGACAGTAATGCTATGTGCATGAAGCTTCTGTTTATTGTTTTCTACATTTAAGGAAACAACATCCCATAATAGCAACTAGCATGCAGGGCTAAGGCATATAGGATTTTTCTGCAGGACTTTTAAGCTTTGAAAGGCCAGTATCCCATATCTAACTTTAAACATGTATTTTTATTTTTGTTTTTTACTTTTCATATTTATATCAGCACACAAGGACAATTGTACATACGTAAACATTTTTAAAATTAAACAAAACAAACAGTTGTTACACACAAGTGTATTTTGCCAAATGCCTAAAAATAATCAGTTACAAATCACATCGTCATCATCCATCAAATGATCCTTAAAGATTGTAAGCAGATGATGTAAACATAGTGGTCAATGCGGTAAATTTGTCTCTCCATAATTAGTATTGGTCCAAAACGTGATATCCCTTTAAATTGTGGACTGTCTGGAGGTAGTTTTATTGAGTGGTTCATTGAGCAAATGAACAAAATGCCCAACAAATCTTGTGGCCTCCACAGCTTGCTGGAGCCAAGAGTTCAGTAGTGCAGCTGCTGTCCTGCCTTGAGACACTCTGCTGCTGGTCCCTGGGGATGACTCATCCAGCCTGTCCACTCGTCATCTGGTGGCATACAATGCCTGCCTCAGCAGCTGTTATCTTTCAGTACCAGAGTACACCTGCTGGTCTCACCCTGGAGGCTTGTGAGCCTCACAGTAGAATGTCCTGCTGAGATGAAACAAGTGCACCGAAGACACGTGTGAGGCTACAGCTGCTGGCAAATCTGTAGCTTCCAACTTGTTGATACTCTAATCCTTTATGGCCTGAAGTTTTATTCCTTAAAAAAAAAAACAACTTTTTAGCCACCCTTATGTGTGAAATGAATGACTTGTTTAAAAAAAAGCAAAAACTTTTACACTGTTTATTAAAGATATTTGTCATCGGTGTGACTTAAGGAGACCCAACAGGTCATTCAGCACTGACTCTGAAGCAAGATGATGAAGGTTCTACAGTCTGGGTTGGAAAGCGTCAACAGGCCAGAAGGTGCTAAATGAAGCCTCAGGCCACAGGTGTGCAGCAACTGTGAAGTTTCACAAACAGCTGGCAGGGGAAAGAATCTGATGTTTTGGACCCTGTATTTTTTTAATCTATAGAAAAGTGAGAAATCTGTATTAAAAGCCCCTCCTTTAAAACCAAAGTTTGGTAGCTATTATAATACAGCCATCTGGCTAAAAGAAAGCTACCCTAGCAAGGCTACTCTTGTGAACTCGGAAATTGATAGGATCAGTCAGATGTTCTGTATGTGAATTTTTTCAGAATTTCCTCATTTTCTGTCCTTTTTCTTGAGATGAATGGAATCTGCAGGTAAGATTTCGGAAATGCCCTCTAAATTTGCTTTTCCCCAGTAATGTCTATGGACAGACTCCATTTCCTCCCCATAACCAGTCATCTTAGGTGGCTGAATTGAAGCCTAAAGTTAGAAAGCAATGTTTCATACTCTGCGTGTTTATTTCTTCGGTAATAGACCTCTCTTCTGAAAGTCTTTGAAAACATTTAAAAAGTAATCTAAGCATCCAAAAATATATGGTATAAATCACATTTTTTTAATGACAGGAAGGGATGTGATTGCTGGTACTACCATAAAACAATCCAGTTGGACTAAGGCCTGCGTGAACATTGGGCATTGTTGCCACATGACTCAAGCCAAGGACAGAAGGGTAGACAGATTTAAAAATGTAGCAAATAAAGTGGCTTTTGACCATGATCACTTTTTAATGTGCTCTGAATGTTTTCTGGTATTGAGTGTATAAAAAGCTAATGTTATAGGGTTTATTTTGACTATAAAAGAGTTTATAGATTTGAATGTAAGGTACCTTATGCTTCCTAGTTATAGTTATACAAGCCCTAAACTGAAAGAATCTATAAATGGGCTAGCTAAGTAGTCAACAGATCTCGTTTTTACTCTTCCCTCTCCCTCTGCAAGTCTCTCTCTGTCTTCCCTCACCTTAATTATTTTTACATGAAAATTATTTCAAATGAAAATCATTATTATGTGCCTTTTGGGAGGCATGGTTGCTCCAGAGGTATATAGTTTATAGTCATCCTCCAAGTGTTTTTTTTTTTTTTTTTGAGGTGCAAAGAGATTATGATTTTAAAAGTGTAGTGACTTTAATGTTCTATTCTGGATATCCACTCTATCTCCCATGTTTAAATATTCTTAGAGTCATTTGCAGATTTCTCTGACAAGTTTAGAGTCTCAATGGATATTCTCAAGAAATCCCTATATGTGTACTCATGGTTGATGCTCTAGATGTATTTAATCTAAGCACCTGTGACTTTTTCATCCACTGAGGCAGGGAGAATGGCCCCATGGCACTAAATACAAGCAAAGCATCATTTGTTTTTAAATATCTAATTTGGAGAGAAACTTTGAGGCCAAGTAGCAGTTTGTATCATGCAATTAAGAAACATTATACCCACCTACCCACTATAAAACTGTGATACAAAACATAGGAGAGTAGTTATTTGACCCTTATGTCCATTCTATGCCTTTTCCCCCCTTCCTAAACTTTTGTGCATAGATTGACAGCCGTGATGCCTGAGATGTTCCAGTTATCCATAGTCATTAGCATGCAGTAAATCCTGACCTAAAGGAGTATTTCCATCCTTTCACTAAGAGCATCAACAGCTAGGTGTTGGGTAACCGGGAGCCCTGAAGGAACTGATTGGCAGACTAACTGGTCTCTGCATTGAGACACTCTATCTCTAGACAACAAGTAGCATCCTCCTCTGGAGTCTCCCAGCTAGAATGATCCCAGGTCACAGGCGGCCTGTGCTTATCACACAGTGCAGCATAGCGAGTGCTTTCAATTTGCTGTAGTTCCTGTATTTTTAAAGGAACTCAGTGCTTCAAGGAACGACCTGTCCTTAGAACTGTTCCTTTAAAAAATGTTGATTAATAAAGCAAACGTAGGGTTGAAATGCTAAAATATTTTTCAGTTTGAAATTGGTGCTTTATTAAGTACACTACAGTTTCTTTTTTTTAAAATTTTCTCTTTAAAAAAAAAGTGTTTAAAATTGTATTTGCACATATGGTTACCTCAGCATAGAATTTCTGAACATAAGATTTGAAGGAGTTGCTTAAAAGATAAAATTAGATATTCTGTGCACTTCCAGAGAGGGACTGTTTATGTTTGAACTCCGTAACAGGCATACATTTCTCATTCTTTTCTGTTGATTCCCTTGTAGACTTGCATAATTTAATCATATCCATTGTCCCAGATCTCTTGTGGCGACTTTACCTTTTACCTTTTTAAAATTTCTTTACTTTTACCTTTTGGCCAGAGGGAATATGATATTTCTGTTCACTTCTTCCAGTGTTTCAAAATCAAGTTCATTCATTTCACCCATTCTTCATTTCCTATTGTCATATAGTTGTTTTAACTTTATATGTTTACTGTTTTAAATATTTCCTTGTGTTATTCCACATGATAATAAATTCTTACCTAAAGAAAAGAGTATTTTATTTTACTGAATTTTACATAAACTTAAAGGGAAGGTATTGGGAAGATACTGGGTAGCTTTCAGAGTATATGGGAAGGGGAGAGAATCAGGCTTGGAACTGACAGAAGTAAAGGGAGGCAAAACAGCTGCAGCCATAGTCTGATTAGGACACCTCACATAGGCAGCATATTTTAAATATCACCTCACCATTTGTAAGTTGGCATGAATTTTCCATGAAAGGCTCGGACTCCCATTTACAGCATAATGTCAACTTTTATACTTTTTTTTTTTTCTTCCTCTACCCGTATGCTTTCCTCTAAAATTGCCACTCAAATACTTTTTAATGCATGTAGTCAAGATGAATTTCTCATTCTCACTCTACAGATAAGAGGCATACATTTCTATGGGATAGGGCTTAATTTGAGGCTCAAAGTTTTATTTTTCCCTGAGACATTTTCTGAATGGGTAAGAGTACTCTGATTTGGGGTGCAGCAAGTTTCCTCCTGGTCTGGAGAGCTAAGGACTTCCATAAACAGTGTCGTCTGTTTTTTGCATTGTGAGGTGCCCAGCCCATTCTTGCGCCCTGTATGTGAGGACGAAGAAACAGGAAGACTTGGGAGGTGGTGGGGCATTTAGTCCTGGCATAGGGGCAGAATGGAGATCCACAGGAAGAGCCCAGAAGCCAGATAAGCAGGGAGAGCACAAGATGGCCACTGGGGATGCAATGGGGGGAGGAGCTGGGTGCCTAAGATTGGTGTGCTTTGCAGTCTCACCTAGCGTTAGCTCTTTACAAATACCTCATGGTCCAGTCCATGGCAGGGCTGGTCGCACCTGTGGTGTGTCCCTGTTGCATTGTTCCAAGAACCTGTATCACACTGGGAGGTGCTTCAAGGCTGGCAGGCTTTGGGTCAAGGGCTTCATCATTTCGTCTTCCTAGGTACCCTTGAAGTCAAAATAAAAACTAAGGCAAAATTGTGCATGCTCATGTGCACGCACACATGCATGTATTTTTTTTTAAAAAAAGGCATATGAGACTAAGCAATCTTTTAAAGATATTGCACATACAAAGTTTTCAAAGAATTTATGAAAAGAATATTTTCCTCTTATGTGAAAAATATGTATATTATCTACATTTACTTTAGGCCTTCGTTTCTTTATTGTATAAGATTTCAGACTGTGGATGAGTGTTTTCAGGGTTAAGCTCTACAATAATAATGCAAATAGCCCCAAATCTTTAAATACAGCCTTGCTAAGTTATAGCAGATAATACAGAAAGTGTTGATATGAATTAATACATTTATTCAGTAATAGTGCAAGAGTTTATGCTAAATTATACATGTGTATCACTGCCTGATTAAGAAACCCCACTTTTCCTTTTAAATCCAGCACAAAATCAAACTGTGATTCTACAGCCAGTTTTTTTATGGGTAAGAATGACCAATTCCTTTGTTTCGTATGGAAAAAATTTTTTTCACACTAACTACAAAAGTGCTTAACAAAAAACATTTATTCACAGTGACTAAGCATATATACATATATATGTTTTAACTTGCTGGAAGAGACATTCCCCTCAAAACTAGCATCCCAAAAAGGTGTTCTACCTGAACATTACAGTTTGTCAGTCAGTGTGTGTGTGTGCTAGTGCTCTTCCACGTGTCATCTTCGAGGGGTGATGTCCTAGCTACAGAGAATGGAAGCCACCCCTTCGGGAAGTGTTAATAGCAGCATGGTTTCACTTCTGGAAGCCAGGTAATCACATGTATATACTTAAGATTCACATCATGTTAACATTCTCTCTGCTACTCTGCTCTTCAGGTTCTTACTGTTTAAAAAATTACCTGGTTCTGGCAAACACCAACTGCTTTCGTGAGCAAGCGTGAATTGTTTTATGGATGTTCCAGTTATATAATTGTTCTTACATTGTAGGTAAACCATCTTTTTTTTTAAAGGTCACTTTAAACTGAGGTTCAAATTTCTGGCACAATTTTATTAGTATTCACTTCTGAAGCTAGTAAGATACCATGGTTTTCTATGTTACTCTCATTGTGACATCAATAAAGTGACTTTCAATAAAAGATTTACATTATTTTGATGCACGAGTCTGACCTTGTTTTGTTTTGTTTTCCAGCCACTGTTTCTCTTTCAGACACTTTGTGGAGGACCTCTTAGAGGTTTATTTCTTCCTTTTCCATTCCACACTGCCCCAGAAGAGACCATCCGCGTATGAGAAATACAAGTCTTCTAGTAAGCTGGGTGTATTCAATTTGTTGGGCAGTTTCCTCAGCTGGGTGGCAGATCCCTTCTCTATTTTCCACCTGCCTTTCCTCATATTTAATATATACTTATTTAATATGCTCCCTTGTGCTGGACTCCAAATCATTGGGTCTTTGATGGGTTCAGTTTATGTTAATGAGCTCACTGCCTAAAACACTGTTCAACCCTGGCGTTTTCATCTTCTTGCAGTCACCATTTTACCTGCCAGTCATAACCCTGGTATTTGCAGTTTCCTTGCCTTCAACTCACAGTCTGCACAGGAAAAAAAGTAGTTGTAAGTAGTGAAGGTACTGTTTAAATGTGAGGAAAACAGAAGAATGTCACTGGCTACGGGTTTGTACATTTAATATGAGATTTAAAAATATGGTGATTGTATATACCTACATTTCTTGTATTTCTGTTTACATATTAGGCAGTAAGATGAACACTGAAACAGTAACAAACACAGTTAAGCAAAAGCAGAGTCTAGCTCAAAGACAGCAGAAGTTTAGATGTTTTCGCTCCCACGCCATCTCATGGACTGGTGGTACCACTTGGAACATCATGCTGGAGACTAAACTCCACTTGGCTCAATAGGAGTGAGAGCTGTGATTGATTAAATAGGACAGCCATGGTAAAAATCTACTCCAACTGCCTCCAGGAAACACCAGGTCTCCTGCATCTGCATTCTTAAGGAAGTTCCTGAACTGTTACAGTTTATAAATCAAGAATCTTCTGAAGCACACAACTGAAGTGCACATCTCCAAAATAAAGTTAAATCCTGAGTTGGGGCAACTAGAGGAAACAAATTAATTCTCCAAGTAACTGAAGTATTCCACTAGATGAACTGAAGCATCCAGCTAGATACTTTAAGAAAAAAAATAAACCAAGAAATGGTTTTAACAAAGTAGGTGAGGCTTTGCTGGAATTGTACAATGAATGAAACACAGAACCCAACATAAAATAGAAATAAGGCAACATGAGATACACTTGTAATGAAGACTTTGGCTGTAATTAAAGAAAGGGGATGGATACGTCAGATTTGTCAAGGGGAAGGAAACTGTCTAACTACAGGGACATCCTGAAGACTAGGCTCCTTGCTTTCAGAAAGAAACGGTTAAAGTGGAGGAGACTTGCTGTGATATATCAACAATTAAAGCTGAATTAATTGCATGTTTCAAGAGACAGGTTTTATAGTACCTTGTATTCAGAACCACAGTTAATGCAACACACTGGGAATTACTAAAGCAGGATGGTTCAAACATGACCCATAACCATGAGTCAATAAGGGCCTTCTTCCTTAAGAATCACCCTATATTTATACTCAGCCAGGAAAGTACCATGTCCTTGAACTATGATTTCCTCAGAGAAAGTGAGTTTGAACCAAACACGAGGTTTTAGGATGCTGAAGGTGAGCCTCCTTCAGCCCTTTTTTGGATAGCTCTGGCTTAAGGAAGGCCTTTTGGCCTTGCAGACAATACATTTGGAATGAAACTTAAACTCACCACATAATATATAGCAGGCTGGCTCACATTCTGATATGTAGCTGTGGCACAACTGCTTGACATATATTCGATTATAAGTTAGGGTTGAATAAATATTTATTGAATGAATATATACATTTTGGCAATATTTGAAAGTATAATTATATTAGTGAAATGAGGCTAAAGATACTTCAAACCAAACCTGTTGCCATTGAGTCAATTCTGACATGTGGCAACCTTAGAAAATATTTTATTTTTGCTGGTTAATGATGAATCAATCATTTATTTGATCGATAACCTTCATACTGTACCCTAAAATAAGACAGATACTCTGTGGGCAAGCAGACAACTGACTAATTTCATTTTTATCTGTTAAGCTTTCTTGGAAAAGAAAGCAAACCAAACCAGTTCTAAATTTAAGAAATAGAGACACTGTTGGAGCTCATTATGCCAACACAATTTTAATATTCACAACCTCCTCGTGAGGTATTATCCCCTTTTCACAGACGAGGAAACTGAGGCTCTGAGATTACCTAAAATGGGCAAGACCACATATTAAATGGGAGGCACAACCTGGATTAGAATCCAGATCTTACTTCAAATCCCATGGTTTTAAAAAAAAAAAAATATTTCTTCCATTATAAAAGTCACACCTGCTTATTTGGGAAATTTTGGAAAAGTAGTAGGAAGGAAGAAAAGAATTCATGATCCTGACTCCCAGTGGTAGCCACATCAAAATTTTGGTACACTATTTCCAGTCCTTTTGCAGTATCTATTTTTTAACGTAAGTGTGAGCAAATGGCATAAACAAAATGGATGTATTAATATTTTAAAAATTAACATCTGATTTTAGAAGGAAATACACATTATAGAGAACTTGCAAAATACTGAAATGTATAAAGGAAATTAAAGTCACCTAGAATTCATTAGCCAAAAATAATCATAATTAATATTTTCACATATTCTCTTAGTCTTTTTCTATCAATTTTTTTCCCACATAGGTAAGTTCATACTGTACAGAGATTTTTAAGTATATTTAACAAAGGTCTACATGGAAGATGACAAAGGGACTTGGTGACAGTATTTACCACTCAAATTGTTCAACAAGCTTTAAAGAGGCAGAAAATAATAACTCAAGTTCCCTGTCTATTTATATAGCTGTCAAAGTATCTGTGAGCCTTAAAACTTGTACTAAGTTTTCACTAAAGTCAACACACATATGGATGTTCTTTTTATATCCAAGGGAGTCTGAATCATGCGCATAGGAATACTCCATACATTAAAACTTTAAATACCATGTAAAAGCCCCTCTGGAAGAAGACAACAGCTGTCGTCTGAGTAAAGTTTTTAGTATCTCACAGTGAAAAATATATAATGTGCCTTAATCATTTGCATACGTAAATTTGCATAAAAGTGGGTTAGCAAGAAAATAAGGCATGATTGACAATGGCTTGTGGAAGTGCTAAATGCTGTAATAGTCCAGATCATATATTATTAAAATTCCAAAGAATTTATTATCAAAGCTAAACACAAAACTTCAGCTGTACATAAAGTAATAAACCTTTACAACAAGCTGTTAAGGGTAAGTGGTGATGGAAGTTTACACACATTACTGAAGGCAGAGTAGGAGCAAAGGAGGAATGTTGGTTACGTTCATACAGCTTCCTCTTGATTTAAACACTCATGACACACTGAATGAACTGAAAGAGAGAAAAGTCAGTGCTGTATTACAGACCTCGTAACACTTAATACACACTGTCCTATTTTTAGGCAGTTTGCATCTTGGTTTTCTAATTTGAATTGTGAATTAAAAAATTTCTAAAATAAAAGTAAGTGATTGATGCAAAGGTTTTTTGTGAAGCAAGCAGCCTAATATAAAAAATAGAGCTCTCATACCTAAGTTTCTTATAGGAAGCCAATCTCATTCCATAGGATAAAGAATTATTTAAATTCCAAATAATATCTGAGACTCCAGAAATGGTCGTGGTCAAAGGCAGTAACCCAAGAATACAAATAACAGTTGAGTTTACACTGTTATAGCACATAGGGACCTCCAAACTGCACAGTACTCCCCCACTACTCTAAAGGAATGCCTTTCAACAGTTTATTCCCTTAAAATCTGCTTTATTAGAATAAATCCTAGCATGCAAGTATATGTTAGACAAGCAGAACATTTGACCCTTCCCTGTAGTTTAGAAACCCAAATTTAGAGGCTCCAGTATTTGCTGTGAAATGTTTGCTTCACAACTAAACACACAGCAATAGACTCTGCTAGGTTCCCAACACCAGCGAGGCACTGTGCTTTACCCACGTTACCACTAATTCCTGTGGCACTCCCACAAGACCAAGCTGAATATCCCTACCTTCAAGTAAAGGAAACTAGGATCTGGGATTTAGAAATCTATTAAGTGGCCCTTCTGAGGCCAAAGCTTTCCACTGTACACACAGCCTCCGGATCTTTGGAAGCAGTGAGAGACTGTCAACTGAGACGTTAATGTAGATTAAAAGGAACACATCTTCTAGCAGAAGGAATATACTTATTTACACACACATATGGGGCCTTTTTAAAGTATACTCCTAACTGCGGCAGCTGTTAAGCCAAGAATATGTGCATCTTTGTACTTTGCAATGAAGAAACATTTTAGAATAGTCAGTAATCACAGTGATTTCAGGTCTAAAAGTGATTTTTTTCTCTTTTAAATGAATGACTATGCAAAAAACTGAGGAAAAACCTAAACATCTCCCTTAGTTATGTACATCCAACTAATGCATCAAAGATGGCACTTGGTTATGTCTACCCTATTCTACCTCCTTTAGACTGGCTGTTCAGTAAATGACTTGTTTTACATTGAGACTTAAGCTTGAGCCTTATGTCCTCAATGAAGAATATAGGTGTGCAAAGTAGAGCTTTGAGCTGTTAAAGCAACTTCTCAATAACTGAGATGATTTGTATAGAGAAGGCAAAAGCAGACAGTAAATGTGCATGATGTTTCTCAAGGACATTTCTAATTTAAACCCCACAACAGCTCAGTGAGGAAGGCATTATTACTACAACTTCTTTACGCAAACAGGCTCAGAGAAATGATGGAACATGCCGAAGTCGTCCAGCTAATAAGTGGTATAAGCTGGACCTTGAACACAGGTAGTTTTAAGGCAATGGCAGCTAGACAGTGGTCTAACTATGGACAAGCCTAATAATAAATAAAATTTATTAATTTGATTTTCTCCTCCAAGAAATTTCTCAATTTTAGAGTATTTCAGTTTTGGAAAGAATAAAAATTACGTAAACAAAAACTTTAAAACTGTAACTAAAATTACTTATTCTACTGTTATTAGTTGCCACTGAGTCGATTCCAACTCATGGTGACCTCATGCATTACAGAGTGGAACTCTTCCATAGGGTTGTTTTGGCTATAATCTTAACAAGATCGCCAGGCCTTTTCTTCCGTGGTACTGCTGGGTGGGTTCAAACTACCAACCTTTAGATTAGTAGTCAAGCACAAACTGTTTGTGCCACCTAGGGACTTTCCAAAATTACTAATGAGTTTTAAATTTTGGTCAGCAACTCACTCTGACTTTGATTTAATCATTCATTGCTCTGATGTCTTTAAAATGTCCTTAACGGCTAACTTCAAAAGGCACACTATTCAAAGCACATCTTATCCACCTGCTTAGCCCTTAATTCACTGAGACTTACATCATCATATGGGAAGTTCACAACACCTTGCTGACCAGTATCACGTCTTCGAAAGCTGTCTGTAAAGCAACACAGTAAAAACTCATAGTTTACCTCTTTTCTAAAATCACAATAGTTAATTATTTTGGCATTGGATTCAAACTGAAATAACACTTAAATTGTACAACCAGACTATCTCAACAAAAGACCAAAGCAAAGATGCCAACTATATGAATATGAACAGGTTTAATATGTAACAACTTCTACAATATGCAGAAGTTTGCCAATTTTTTTTTTTCAATATGGAGATGGAAGGAATAAAAGCTGTGTGACTTCTGAGGTGATTGTCTAATTGTGATAAAGGCAGAATTTCAAACTTCTTAATAACAGCAATATTATTTAGGTAGGAAATGGATCTGATCTAGCAGGTGATCAAATATCCCAACCATCTGAGCTCTGCCCAATAAAAAAAGAACTACTTCAATAAAAAGTTTGCCCTCAAGTGTTAGGATGTAAAGAATCACAAAACCAGATACTAAAAGGAATAAAAAACTAAAGACAGCAATGAACAAGAAAAAATATACATTAGAAAAAGAACAGAGGGAATAGTTAAGTAGAGATGATTGAAGTAGCCTCATTTCAGGTATAACTGAACCACGTGACCACCATTTTTAAATTACTTTCCAGTAGGAGGAATTAGGGAAGAGAGCTAAAACTGGTTATTTCACTCTTCTGAAATATTTTACATTCTAGGGAGAAATCACAGAATATTGCTCATAATCTAATCAAAAATATACAAATTAGCTTGTTATGTTCTGGAACATTTTGGTAAAATTTTGCTAAGACCATTATAACGGCAAATTACTTATTATTCTAAAAAATTTCTGAAAAAACAAAACTATTCTGTTTGATATGCTTGATGTTGTTGCATGCTGTGAGTCAATTCTGACTCAGAGTGACCCTATATAACAGCGTAGAACTGCCCCCTAGGGCTTCCTAGGCTGTAATCTCTATAGGAGCAGATCACTAGGTCTTTTCTTCCGTGGAGCCACTGAGTTCAGAGTGCTGCTCTTCTGGTTAGCAGCTGAGCACTTAACCATTATGCCACCAGGGCTCCTTTGGATATGCTTGACAGAAATGTTAAAAATTCACTGATGTTAGGGGAAAAAAAAATACAAGGGCGAAAATAAAAGTTCAGAAGCACTGAGAAACGAGATGTCATAAAAATGACATCTTGGCCCATGGCAGTGACATGACCTCATAGAACACACCTGTGAGAGCCCTCAGTTTGACGCAGCAGGCAATGTAGTCATCAAACGTGATCTTTCCATTGGTGCTGTACCTCTTTGCAATTGAATTCACAGCCTGAGGACTCAACCTAAATCCTGAAAGGGAGAAAAATCATCCAGTAAAAAAGTTAAAAGGATTATGAAGGAGACCATTGAAAAAATAACCAAACACAATTTTTAAGACAGAGAACTCATTTTAATTATGAATGCACACAATTTCTAAGACGTACAGAAAAACAAACCCAATAGAGAAACTGCCTTCAAGTAACATTTATCTTTAGAAACAAAAAAACTTCTACCAGTTAACTGACAATTTGGAGTTAGTGATACCCACCCATAGTTGTCAGGGCCTTCTGTAATTCTTGAGGATCCACTGTTCCACTTCTATCACTGTCAAAACTGATGAAGTGTTGTCTCCAGCCATTCAGCACAGACCAGAGTTCTTTAAATTCATTGAAACCCATTGTGCCAGACATGTCTCTCTGAACCGTAATCAAGGATCAAAGCATCTTTATTTTGCAACACTTCATCAAAGATCAAGGATAAGGGGGATTTAATATTCTTTCTGCTAAAAAAAATGGAAAAATTAATTTTTTCTTTTCTTGGTATAATAAAAAGACAACAGCCTATGGAGAAAAGGCTCTGAGCACCTATTTCCACTGTGGGAAGAGTATAATCTATGTGATGTGATTACAAGGAAATAACATCTTCATCATAAGCTCCATGTAAAATGTAGCCTTGTTACTGGAACTGGGCCTCCCTTTCTGGGTGCCTGAGGTTCTGCTGTCCACCATTCTGTCCTAAGGTGCTCTTTGGCCCCACCACTCTCTTGTTAAGCTCTCCCATACCCAAGAATTTCCCTTTTGGAAAATGAGGTAGGACGGAAGGCACTGCAGCGTCAGCACTAGTTAACCTCTCCTCAAATGTGCTACAGAGCTAAACTGAGTCTAACAACTGTGATGTGAAAAATTCCATCACTTGAAGGTCAGGTGTGACTCATGCAGAATGCTTAATATTAAACGAAAGAAAAAAAGCTTCCCTACTTGTTTCTATACTTGCTCTACTTCAATGCTTCCTTAAATTCTTGAATGACTAATACTCTATTTACTAAGCTTCCTTCCTTTGTTCACATCAAATTACATCTTAAAAGCTAATTATTTCAGAAAGCTCTCTAGTGGTCATTGGTCATTTCTGTTCACTGGGTATTAATTTTGAAATGAATTCCTTTAGGAAGGAAATCTTTTTGTCAGAAAAAAGTACTTCAGGCAACAGTAAAGGATACATCCAGCATTGAAACCATAAGCCGACAAGTTTCCAGGTTAAAAGCTGTTAAAGCAAAAAAAAATATAATCATATTAATTTCAAAAATTCACATTATACTGGATCCATTCAAATTAATTAAGAATGTTATTATTTACATACTTTATATACTACTCAATTTATGTGGAAACCAAATTATATGGAGCTTCAAAGCAGATTTTTTTCCATATAGAACCCAAATTTCATTATAGCAATTTTAATAGAAAGCTCTTTAAAGAGCATTGCATACTACTATTAATATTTTTAGGTGTGATTAGTGTGTTGAAGTTGGGGGGAAAATGTATTTTTATCTTTTAGAAAGATATATACTGAAGTATTTGCAGATGAAATAAGATATCTTGGATTTGCTTCAAAATAAACAAGGACAGGGTTAGAGATAAAACAAGATTGGCAACACATGATAACTGCTGAAGCTGAGTGATGGGTATGCGGGAGTTCACTTATAACATTACGTCAACTCTTGGATATGTTTAAAATGTTCTATATTTTTTTAAGTATCACACACTATCTTGCCTTTAACAGTGTAATATAATTGATTCAATTCACCATAATGTTTCATATCCACCACACAGGGAGGGAAATTGCTTTGTTCCTGCTCATAGCTGACTATAAATAGTTGGCTTTGCTAGTTCTGTGTGTTATCATTTGTTTTCCTGTTTTTTCTCTTTAATGGGAGGCACTGAGTGATGACCTTCTACCTCAAACAATCTATAACTTCTTACTTCTCATATATAATAAGCATATATGTGAAACCAGATAAGTATATTTGTTAGAATTCTTTGTTAAATAAGAGCTCTCAAGGAACAATTCAGGGATGGCCATTGTTCAGAAGCATGTTTACTTACAGCTTAAATGTGTTTGGAGGGCACTTCCCTTAGGCAATAAAACTAGACTATATATACCCATTGCTTAATTGCCTACTGGTAATCTACCTAAGCATCAGGAAATTAAAAATAAAGAACCCTACCCATCTTACATGTTAAAGGAAATCAATGACGTTGAGGAGATATTGTGTAGGTATAAAGAAACTGTAAGGGTAGAGGGCAGAAGTGAAAGGGTCACATGGACAAAGCTAATATAAATTCTGCAACTTTGTTAAGAAGCTCATAGAACTAACATTTTTAATAGCTCCTTCTAGCTTCATTTTTCTCCCCTCTAACCAAAGTGAATTTAAAACCCAACTGAGCTAAGTGAAACTCACTGAGCTTACTCTTACTACTGTGAGGTCTCTAAACAGCACAACTATAGGTTTTTCATGTTTAACAAATTCCTGTGTTACTGGATATAAAAGTCTAGGGACTATTTCTGTCTTGGTCCTTCAATCTCCAAATGATCTGCAGATATAATTCTCTGAGGTGGGAAGAGGCAGCAACACTTTTCTACCCTTCTGGGAAAGAGTTGCTCCATTTTTCACTCTGACCTTTTAAGTTGTGTGGAGGTACGATGTTCCTCTAGTCTAGACCAGTGGTTCTCAACGCTGGGTGCACAGCAGAATCTTCTGGGAGCTTTTAAAGATTCTAACACCCAACTGCATCTCAGAACAATTAAATCAGAATCTCTGGGCATCAATTTTTAAAGCTTCTCAGATGATTCCGATGTGCAGCCACGGTTGAGACCCTCTTCCACTAGGAGTGTCATTCCAGGATCAGTAGCATCAGTATCACTTGGAGCCCGTTAGAAAGGCAGAATCTCAGGCCTCACTCTACACCAACAAAATCAGAATCCTCGTTTTAACACGATCCACAGGTGAAATCTGTTCACATTAAAGCGGCACTTCTCAATGTGTGTAGTCCTTGGGCCAGGAGCACCAGCATCACCTGGAAACTTGTTAGAGATGCAGATTCTCAGGTCCCACCACAGGCCTCCTGACTCAGAAACTCTAAAGCTGGGTTCAGCAATCTGGTGTTAGCAAGCCCTCCAGGTGCTGCTGATGCTGATAAAGTTTAAGAACCACTGATAAAGACTACAGGACCTGACAACCACAGGTTCAAGGGGACAGTGCCAGTTATGTTGGGCTTAGATCAAGGTTTCTGAGAGGCCATGAAGCAGACAGCTTCCCTGTTTCCCATTTTATGAATGGCACCAGTTACCCAAGCCAGAAACCTCCACCTCCCCCAATATTCAATCAGTTTCTAAATAACTTAGGATCCATCCATGTCCAGTTTCACTGTCATTTCCCTGGTTCAGTTAGCATTTCTCCCACTTGTATGGCTCCAAAGGCACCCTGACCGTATTTGTGACTCCAGTTTTACCAAGCCACACCTATGCCCCCACCTATAGCTGGGGTGGTATGGGTTTCTCCTATTGAAAATCAAGTAAAGGCTTTTTATTGCTCTCAGGATAAAGTCCAAACACCTTATTAGGGCATATAAGGTCACAGTTATTTCTCCAGTCATTTGTCTCTCACTCTTCCTTCAACCCCCCTATACTATCTTCACGGTGAATTTCTCTCAGTTCTTGCCTGAACTGTGTTCTCTTATCTCAGTGCCTTTTGTATGTGCAGTTCTATCTGTGTGGTACACAGCTCCCTCATTCCACTCACTTCTTGGTCTGCCTCACTTTTGCTCAACGTTCACCTCTTGTCAGTTTAGATATCAATTCTGCAAGGAAATCTTTCCTGAACCCTGCCTAGGTTATACCCACCTCCTGTGTGATACCACAGCGTCTATGCTTCACACATTCTGGCACTTTTCACAATGTCCCATCGGCACTGTTTTGGTTGCACACTCTAGCACCGAGCACATGGTAGGTGCTCATTAAATGTGTGCTGGCTGGATAAATGAGTGAACGGATGAGACTGAATTCTTATCTCTGCGCAAGAAGCTATATACCTCCTCTCAAACAGTCTAAGGAAGAATGTGTTTTTAAAATAAAAACTTCTGATTTTTACAAATACTGAAAAGAATTGTATGAACTTAAGTCAAAATACTGTTATGGGGAGAACCAACCAAACACCAGTTGCCGACAAGTCAATTCTGATGTGTGGTAGTCCCATGTGTTTTAGAGTAGAACTACGCTCCAAAAGGTTGTCAATGGCTGTGATCTTTCAGAAGTAGACCACCAAGTCTTTCTTCTGAGGCTTCTCTGGGTGGATTCGAACTGCCAACCTTTCAGTTAACAGCCTAATGCTTAGTCATTTGCATCACCTGGGGACTCCTAATAAGTGTTTCTGTTGTCTGCCGTTGAGTTGATTCTGACTCACTACAACCCTATTTGACAGAGTGGATTTACCCCATAGGGTTTCCTAGGCTGTAATCTTTATGGGAGCAGATCACCAGGTTTTTTCTCTAGCAGAGTGGCTGGTAGGTTTGAACTGCCAACTTTTCATTAGCAGCTGAGCTCTTAACCACCACACTAGCAGGGCCTTTTCTAATAAGGGTAGAGGACTATAATTTTCCATTTTAGGAATTTTTTCCATATTCATTCACTCAACAAATACCTGTTAAGTACTTACTATGGGCAGGCTTAGGATACTAGGAACTTTGGAGATACAAATGCAAACTCAGTCCCTGCCCTGGCTGACAGCCTAAAGAGAACAGAAGTCATGTACACATGCAACTCTAATCAAGGTAGAGAGACATAAGTCATAATGGAGGCACCAAAAAGGCACCATAAAGTACTGAGGCAAGGCTCCTTCCTAGTAAAGAGAATCAGGGAAGACTTCAAAGCAGAGGTAGCATTTAAGCCAAGCCGAAGATGACAGGAGAGCTGTAGACATGTGGTGACAGCCAAGTAGAGGTAGGGACCAGCATAAGCAAAGAAAGAAGCAGGAAAGGCCAGGGCAGGCAAAGGGTATGCAACAGCTCATCTGACTTGCAAAGAGCATAAAAGGAAGTGGGAGGAAATACGGTTAGATGAGCTAGATCACAGCACACCTTGAATTCCTACTACATTGTTTAGACTTTCTATGGTGGGCACCGAGGAGACACTGAAGATATTTTCAGGAGAGTGACAGGTCAGAGCTGTGTGTTAAGAACAACAGAAGCCTGGTCATCTTTTGTGAGAAGGATTTGAAGGGGACAGAGTGAGACCTGCAGTGAACAAATGGAAACTTCACTAGATGGTTCAAATGACCTAGAACACTCAGGTCTAGTTTGGGTGAGGAAAATCTTTGCTCAATTTTGTTGACTGTATTTTTTTAAATCCATAAATAGCTTTTATTAATGTTAATTCTATTTTAAATAACTCCAAATTTCAAATGTTATTTTAAATAATTTTACCTTTACTTTCATTCTCCTTTCCCCTGTTCACTATACTAGATTGCCTTAGAACTATACACTGTAATGGACCTAGCAGAAAAGCCCTACCTCCAGTTTTCTCTCTCAACCTTACCACAGAGAAACAACTAAATTGAGGGAAATAAGAGACGTTGAATTACTATCTTATAGACTAGAACACCTTCCTTCACCAACCTTATCTTAAACTGGTTAAGAAGAGGCCCCTAGATACTGCGGCGGAGTACTAAACCCCTCCCTTTCCCCCACACACACTTGGATTTGTGTCTTTAGGTTTTAGAAGCTGGGCTTAAAAGACCAACGGCTATATAATTTTTGTACTGCAAAACCAACTGTGGTACCCTGAAAGCAGGATATGGTTCATTACAGCCTCTACTGTATTAGAAAAAATAATTCAGGACTACACGACAGTAAGCAAATCAATACAATCACATGGTCCTGATGACTGAGGACATGTCTTACATATTACCTACCAATTCACTAAAAGAGGCTTTCTTAAATGAAACTTTTAAAAGGACTGCTCTCCAGGGATATACAACCCACTTTGTTAGTCAGATTTTAAAACCTGCCACACCTCTTACTACTGAGTAAATCTGTGTTGTGATACTTCTGTAAACCCTGCTATTAGAACTTCTTTGTTCATAAGCCCAACTGTTCCAGGTTTAACAATTTACAATTTCAATGTGTCGCCTACAAAAGTAAGAAATCTCTAATTTAGAAAGTGCTTCTTTTGTTTAGGACCATATGCAAAAGGTTCCTCTTTTGTAATAATTCCCCCAACAAGGGAGTATTAATAGGCTAGTGAAGCCACCTAACAAAAAGGGTGAAAAAAGAGAAACACAAAGAATTCAAGAAGAGAGTCAGCTGGTAAACACCTTATAAAACGGTCAAAAAATGCTCCAGTATGTCCTAAAGTGTGGATTCTAGCTTGAGCATTTTAATTCACAGCTTTGCATGAAACTGGGGTTCAATATGATGTTCTGTCTCAATTAACAATTGGCAAAGAAGTTGGCAGGTAACACAGCTGAGCTAAGACACTGTTCTTTCCTGGAAATTTGTCATGGTCAAGATCTGAAGAGAAAACATGAGGTGTGTGTCTGGGATGATGACTGAGAAGGCCCCAGTCAGGATGCAGTGCTGTGGCAGTATTTCCCAATCTGCAGCCATGGCAGGAAGGCGGTGTAAGGCTGCACTACAGGGCAGAGTCAATAGGTGGGAAACAGAGGAGGAGAAGGAGGTGAATTAGTGTAAAGAATTCAGAAATTAGGAAGGGTACTTCCTACTTCAGAGCCCTGGTGGCACAGTGGTTAAGAGCTCGGCTGCTAACCAAAAGGTCAGCAGTTTGAATCCACCAGCTGCTCCATGGAAACCCTATGGGGCAATCTTCTCTGTCCTAATGGTCACTATGAGTTGGAATCGACCCAATGACAAGGAGTTTGGTTTTGGGTTTTGACTTCCTACTTAACGCATTCTCTAAAGAGGAAAGACCTGGGGGATGTTATGCAAGCACTCATCTTGCAGTACCTGCCTGGAGCTCAAGAAGACCACAAGAACCAGCCACTGAGGACCAGGACTGCGGACAGGCCACTCAAAGCCCTGAGTGCCACCAGGATTCGGGCAGAGCAAGCTCTTGGCAAACAGTGAGCAATAAATGTTAGTTCCTGTTATTAATGACACCTGACCTGGCAGATTTCATTTTAGCACCTTAACTTGTCCTCTGTGAAGAGGCCATATAAACTGTCTCACCGCTTCGAACAGTTCCAGACACATGGAGCCCAAATCCAAGAAATCCATTAAACTGGTGGGTAGAGTGGGATGATAATTTATTAAGAATTGTTTTCAAATTGATATTGTGAAATAATAAACCTAATTTAGCTTTTGAAATTCTAAACTTTGCTGGATCATAAAAGCTTTGTTTTCTTGCTGGCAATAATCACAGCTAAACTATGAAATACCAGAGTACTTTTAGAGAAATTCTGTGACTGTTAACTTACGTTTGTATCCTCCAGCGATGCCTGACTGTGTCAGACATCTCTGCAACTCATCAGCATCTATTTGCCCATCCTTTTGGGGGGAGAAAAAATAGGAAGAGGAATCACAATAGTGATTTGTACTTACTGATTCTTTGATTGCCTTCAGTATTCAATGCAACAATAATACCAAAGAAATGAGTATCATCACTCATAATGAGATTTTTTAAGGAATGTCTTTCAAAAGTGGGCATTCTTTCCTCACTCTGCTTCCAAAAATAATTTAATGATGAAAGGCAGTTATCAAATTATTAAGCCCTCTTCCACAAATGGATAATTTGGGACATAATATAGTTCCCAATCCCTAAGTAAAGCAGGTATTCAATTTCAGGCTATACTGTAAATAATTACAAAACAAAAACTGACCAAGTCTGAATGTTGTTTACTTCTGTACGTCAGTATTACAAATACCTTTTCAACATTTCCCTAACCAAATTCTTGAATTAGATTTGGCAATAGTTTCAAGCAAAGGTTCTTCTTCTAATTTAAAAAAAAAGAAGAAAAAAACTGAGGTGAATTCAAAGTTTCTTCCATTGATACATGGTATTTTTTAATGTATGAATAAAACTGGTTTCTGTCTTGGCAACTATTCATCTTTCAGTCTGAGCTGGGAAACTGCCAAAGCTAATAAGCATTTTAAATTAAAATTTTCATTAAGTGCTTAAAAATCTTATTCCAGTCTTTCTAGTAAAGGTTTTTTGTGTGTGTGTTTGTTTTGTCTTTTGAGGGGTAGACAACTGACATCAGTAAATAAGAAGCTTAGTTCACATGGATAGAGGATGCCTTGGTCACCTTTTCTTGTGATTTGGGGAATGGTTTTTTCACACCAACCCAATTATATCTGGAAGGTACAGGTTCCCAATGCCCACTCACTGGCTGAACTAGATATATGCCATTTTTTAGGGATTTCAAAATAAAACACCTAAATCCTCAAGTGCATGGGTATTATAAGTCATAAGTGCAGGAGTAGGATCAATAATTTGAAAGACAATGGATATGCTGAATATAGGCCAGGGCTGCTGAAAGCTAAGCAGGTAGGGTCACTTACAAGCTGCAGGCATTGGCAATCTAAGAATGCTAGGCTTGAGGTTGCTGTGTCTTGTGGTTTCAAAGATACAGATCATTAACCGATAAAGCAGATACTTAAGGAGAAGCTCTTCAATTTTCCATTCAATTTCTCAAACTGTGTTTCTTAGGGTGCTATTTTAAAAGGTGGTCTTAGGTTTTTATCCCATAATAGTCTGTGGCACATTCACATTAAGATCTTATTTCTAGCTTTTGATCATAACAAAACTAAGCTGGATTTACAAGGACAAACATCCTAATGTCTGAGTTATATACACAGTGACCTCATGAGCTAGAGACAGTATCCTCTCTCAAGGTAAGCCAGCATGTGTTGATTCTTTTGTCATGCAACTCAGAAGGTACAGAAGTGAAAGATCTTGGGGAGCTGACCCTAATTCTCTCTATAGGTTAACAGGCCACAACGCCAAACAAGGACATAGAAGAGCTGATCTAGCAAAAGCATCTGCATCAAAAAGAAACTAAACTGTTCACAAGATTAACTTCCTGATAGTAGGAAAGAGTAGTAAATTTCTTATTTAGAAGCTGGTGGGTTTTTACCTATTTCCTAACAGAGGAATTGATTAACAATCAAATTCAACCCAAAGAAAGTATCCATCAGAATCTCGCTACATAATTACTAACATATTTCTTTAAGGTGTACAAACAGGAGTTTATGTTCACCAGATCTTGAATTTCTTCTCTTGCAACCACCCTGCACCTTGAAAATTATTATTAAAAACTTCTACCCTGCAGATACTCACAGTATATTTATAATCCCCTATATAAACTGACCCTCATTCAATCACGAGTATAGTTTGGAACTGAACCAACATAAATAGGATGCCACATTTTGTTTTGAATATTCCGAAGTGAATTTTCTTTCTGTAAACTTTCTTCTTTCTCTCTTTTGCAAAAGCAAAGGGATTCGTTTCCAAAAGTAAATTCATTTTTCTGCACCACTATAACAAAAGGGAATACAAATGTAGAATCTGATTGTTTAATATTAGAGGGAAGAGCTAACCTGTCCAGCTACAGCAGCAAAGTAACTGTACAGCGGATCCTGAGTTTGTCCGGGAAACGCAGGCCCTCCGGGAGCCCCTCCATACTGTGAAACAGAAAACAATTTAGGTATCATACTGCTGAATCGTTGTATTCATTCATCACTGAGTGCCTTTGTGCAAACCCAGGCAACTGCGCACTCTTCACATCGTTACCTCCCCCCCTCCCCCGGACCGAACACATTCTAACTGCAATTACCCTACCCCTTTCTTTCATTTCACCCCCATTATAACTTAAAAACCAACAACTTGAACCAAAATAAGTTGTCATGAAAGTGACATCTGCGTAAGTGGAGCAACTTTAAAAACCCCTTAACCTGCAGGTTACTGAGATGAATACAACCCAGGCAAGCAACTCAAGGGCAGGGCTCGGAATTATTTTTTATATATTTGTACAGCACTTTAAAAAGGTTCTAAGAACCATTTAAGGCTGGAGTTGGTAAAATACTGTGACAGACGTAGCCTAGTGAGGGAGGAGTAAGATGCCTCGGCTGGGCTGTTTCCAGGCAGCATCCTGACACTCTCTTGGAAACAGCTCCCACGACCTCTCGCATCCCAGACGCCGGGCGAGGCGGCCTTCTACCGGAGGACTTTCTCCCACTTTTTTTTTTCTTCTCACTTTCGTTTAAAGGGAAGTGGCTCTTTGGACCATTCTAGGTTAAAATGGCTGTTGTTTTCAGGGAAAACACAGCAGGAGGGGGGAGGAAACCAACACCCAATTTGCAGTTTCACGCCGCATAGTCGGAGAGCCACACAGTGAATTTCCTGGGTCTCAATCCACCCGCGCCCTCATCCCACTGAGCCACTTGGGAGGAGGAGAACCGAGGGAATCCGAGAGAGACAGAGAGAGAGAAACGAAAAACGCGACCCGCAAGGGCCTGGGGCGAGGGAGCAGCCGGGAGCCAGCGGCGCCGGGGGAGCGGCCCAGCAGCAACTTTGCGCCGGCCGCGGGGTCGCCAAGTGTGGCCTCTCGGCACCGCGTAGCCCAGGGATCACGCCCGGGCAGCGAGCCTGCGCGGGCAGCACTTACCCCGCCTGGGTAGAAGCCGCCGCCGGCGCCAGGGTGCCCTGGGTAGGCCATGGTGCCGACTGCGCCACCGCCGCGCCCAGCACCCAGCCTGCTCGGCCGCCCGCCCAGCGCGTGGGTCCGCCCCCGGGCGCGTCACGTGTCCTGCGGGGGACGCGCGTTTGCAGCCGCATCCGCTCCGGTTAGGTTGGGGCTCCTGTTGCTTGCCCACTTGCCTGTCTGTGTGGGGTTTTGTACCAAGATCTACATAAACGGAGGTCCGGTGGTGACCAGCGATCTGTGATGCTATTCCCAACAGGTACCTTCCTCCCTTTGAAACTAATGTGGCGTTGCAACACCAGTACAGTACCCAAACCCATAAACCCATTGCCCTCTCCAACTCACAGCCACCCTGTAGGACCGAAAACACTGCCCCATAGGGTTTCCAAGGCTGGAAATCTTTATGGAGGCTGACAGCCACATCTTTCTCCCACGGAGCAGGCTGGTGGGTTCAAACCGCCAACTTTTCTGTTAGCCGAGCGCCTTAACCACTGCACCACCAGGGCTCCTTCAATATAGTACAGTGCCACAGAATTTTTTTTTTTCCTCTTTCCTATTTTGCTATTCTCTGTCACGTTTTTTATTTTAAACAACTTTATTGGACGGTGCCGCCAGCTCTAAGCAGAGTGCTGTATTGCGAGAGAGGTATGAATTGCGTTAGGGCAACTCTTAGACACATGTCCGTGAAGATCAAAATATGAAAGTGCCCTTGGAAAACAGGGATAAACTTCAGGAACTGTGTGCAAGGGGCGTTAGGCTTGTGGTTGCACACATCACTGACAAACAACGGTGTGTTTCGTTGCCAGGAGACATTGTCATCCCTTGTTAACCTGGGCGCTGCTCAGATATGGCCTAGGAGGGACAGAATTTATTTTACTGGGCAGGACAACCTAGTCCAGATCGTTCTTACGGAAAGAAATTGTTTGAATTATGTGGATTACTCAGACAAAACAAACCCTTTCCCCCAAAATTACTCAACAGCTTCCTGTACAAGAAAAATTTAGAGCAAAGCAAAAGCGTGCTGGAAAATATTCAGGAAGGTGAAAGATCCGATACTTCACCTGGTTTATTTAGAGAATGGTTTTCTTCATGCATTTTTTTTCCCACTCAGTTAATGGTTTGAAGCAATTCAGACATGAGATTTTGTTTGGTTTTGCTTTATGTAACTTAAATCACACAGAAAACTACTTGCTTTCCCTTGACTGTTAAGGACTAGTCATGTTTTTCAGAACGTTTATGTCTTAAGGAAGGCATTAATGAACAAGATTTACCGTAGTTACTGTGGAGGTTGAACAGAAAGTTTGAAGGAGTCATTCAACATTTAGGTCTGCAAGAGCATAGGTGGCGCAAACAGTTTGTACTCAACTGCTAACCTAAAAGTTAAAACCCACCCAGTGGCACCACGGAAGAATGGCCTGGTGATCTTTCATAAAGATTACAGCAAAGAAACCCTGTGCTATGGAGCAGTTCTGCTCTGCAAAACATGGGATCACCATGAGTGGGAATCAAAGGCAATGGCTGGAGAACCTGCTGAGGGTGACCCTGGGCTTACTGAAGGTGCTAAACATGGTTCCTCCACTCTGAGCTTCTGAGTGAAAATTCTCACTAGGGTTGTTGCCTCTTACGAGTAACTTCCCTTTGTTCATTCGCAGGTTGTCTTTTTAGATACTCAGACTCCAAAAATGAAGGTCCTGACTCTTGAGAAAAATTCTAATTGCCCTCAGGAAGTAAATAATATGTTACCTGTTTTGTGTTTGATTCAGGAAGTAGATTATTGTTTTTAAACACTGTAGCAGTTGTCAAGGTGGATTAGTCATTTTATGAGTCCCTTCACCTCTTTGTTGAAGCCTGTTTCTTCAGAAAGGTAACTAATTACAAGGAATAGATGGTGAAGGCTGAATCCTATTACTCAAGTATTACGTAGTCAAAGTTGAGTGTAAACTCTTTCAAGACCCGCGTTTGAAAGAAGTATGTAGTATATAAAATATTTATAAGTGATGCAGAATTAGTTTTGTGAATAAATGACCGTTAAATTTTACTAAACTCATTTAACTTGTCTTTAGGCATCTTGCTACTTAAAGAAGGAATTTTAATTGAGTGCTGCAAATGAAATTCTTAAAATTATTGCTAGCAAATTGCTAACAACACAAATGCCGGTGATATACTATGTTTGGAACAAATAAGTAACTCCTTTCTTTTATATCCTTATTCTGCAAGAATTACCTAGAAATGCGTTGGTAGGCTGCTACTGCTCCAATTTACAAAAAACAGAAAAAAAGTTACCGGACCCTGTTCTAAGAACTTTACATATTTGCCTAATCCTCATGGAACACCATGAGATAGGTGCTGTTATACACATTACACATATGAGGAAACAGGAGCTGAAGGAAGTTGCCCAGTTGTGCTATGCCGCCAAGCTGTCTGGCCCCAAATTCTGCTCTAAACCAGGGGTCAGCAAACTTTGTAAAGGGCCAGATAGTCAATATTTTAGGCTTTGTGGGCCGTACAGTCTTTATAGCAGTTACTCAACTCTGCCACTGTAGCAGGAAGGCATCCACGGACAATATCCCTATGGAGCAGTTCTCTCTAACCCATGGGGTCGCCATGAATGGGAATCAACTTGAAGGCTATGGCTACAGAAACTGCTGAGTGTGGCCCTGGGCTTACTGATGATGGTGGACAAGGTTCCTCCATTCCAAGCTTCTGAGTTACAGTGGGTGTGGCTCTGTTCCAATATAACTTTATTTATGGACACTGAAATTTGAATTTCATCTAATTTTCGTATGCCATGAAGTGGTATTCTTCTTTTGATTTTTTTTCTAATCATTTTAAAATGTAAAAGCCATACTTAGCTCATGGGTGTACAAAAACAGGAGGCAGCCCAGAATTGGGCCTGAGGCAATAGTTCACCAACCCCTGCAGGAAACCCTTCCAACATACTGGTTTTATTACTCTGGAAGTGTAGCACCTTAGCAAGAGATTATCTTTCTGGCTTTAGGATAAAGCTTATGTGTAGTGGTTCAGTCACCCTGAGGAATGATGCCTTCCTCTAGACGGGGTCCTATGTATGACTTCTTCAGAGTCTTCCCCATTGTCTAAAAAGACGATCAAGAGGAACGCTGTGAAACCCTGACTTGTCTGCCTTACTGTGTGTGGTGGTAGCCAGGGACATCTAAAGTAGCAAAGCTGAATGTGAGGCTATCCATGTAGCATGGGATCCCTTTATTCATAGGGATCAAACCTAAACATTCAGGAAAGTATAAAGACTCGGTAAGAACTCTGTGGAATTCCTGGGTGGTGCAAATGGTTAAGGCACTCTGCTGCTAACTGAAAGGTTAGAAGTTTGAGTCTACCCAAAGGCACCTTGGAAGAAAGGCCTGATGATCTATTTCTGAAAAATCAGCCACTGAAAATCCTTTGGAATACAGTTCTACCGTGACATGCATGGGGTTATCATGAGTGGGAATTGACTTGATGGCACCTGGTTTGTACTGGTTTAAGAACACCACAAAAATAAGGATTAATATGGGAATTTTCTTTTATGTTTTTGATATTCATTCCAATGTAAGGGGTGGAGGTGGAGGGAGAGAGAAGTAATCAACTTTACTAAGTTCTTGGTATGTGCCAGGCATCATAGGTACTTTCTTACGGCATTTTCACTTAAACCACATAACCTTCAAAAGAAGATGTAATTACCTACATTTTACAGATGATGAAACAGAGGTATAGGAACTTTCCCGATATTACACATCAGAAGTTAGTTAACACCCAGTCTATCTAACTCTAAAGCATGGATGTTTTAAAAATAAAAATAAACTACAAAGACCCTAAACCACATTCACATTGTTTTCCTCTTTGTACTGCTTCCTGAGGACTGAGGACAGAGGAGGGGCTGCAGAAAAAGAATCTTAGAGGTGGAAAAGCTCTCTAAAGGTCCTAAGTGTCTGCCTGTGCAAGACCACACAAGTCATCAAAGAGTAATGCTTATCTCCGCCATTCCTAAAATATAACCTAGGGGAAGAGAATAAGAACTCATTTTTATCCTCATACCTTCAAGTCACAGAACGCGAGGTACAGACCCTACCATCCACAAGCCATTTAAATAAGCTCAGCAACAGAGCACTTAAGCTATAGATTAATATTTATAAAGTTAGAATAGGGATTCTTAACTGAAGTGGACAGTCTAGGGAGCTAGAATTTGTCCTAACAATTTACTAAGTCCTGGAAAAAGACAGGGAGTTATGCGGTCATGCCACAATGATTGAGGGTTAGGCAGAAGACCATATGAGGTTTATGATAGGTAAGATATAGGAGGGCCATATGAGGTTTATAGATGAGGTTTATAGATTCTGACTCATGGCAATCCCATGTGTGTCAGAGTTGAACTGTGCTCCACAGGTTTCCAGTGGTGGATTTTTCAAAAGCATATCACCTAGCCTTTCTTCTGAGGCACCTCTGGGTAGACTTGAACCTCCAACCTTTCAGTTATAAGCCAAGCATTTGCACCACCCAGGAACTCCATAGATGGGGCATAAACCTAGTGCCTCGACTCATAGGGACTCGATAGGACAAAGTAAAACTGCCCCATAGGGTTCCCAAGGAGCAGCTGGTAGATTCAAACTGCCAACCTTTTGGTTAGTAGCCGAGTTCTTAACCACTGTACCCCCAGGGATCCAGATAGGGTATATTGTCGGAGTTATTTTGGAAGTCACTGGAATCATAGAAACCTCTGTTATCATCTACTTCAGTCATCTCACTTTACAGATGAAGAAACAGAGTCTAGGAGAAGGTAAATGACCTGCCCAAGCTCTTGAACAGCTGATTTAGCTTGATGTAAATATTCTACCCTTCTCGTCAAAAGCTGTGGCATATCTGTATGTGCCTTTTAGAGAGGATCCCATTCTATTGTGGTGTGTTTCACCGCTCCAATCCATTTCTATTTATGATTTTAAGACAAAAGGCCATATGGACACTCTCTTTGTCTCTGGAGAAAAGTTAAAGCACTAAGTAGGGTATCCAGCCAGAACTTTCTTACTCAGATAAGTGGTGAAAAAATAGTCTA